TCATAAAAAAGGTACTGATGCCTGCAATGCAGCTTTCCTCATGCAGTGCTTTCGGGGTTTTTTTGTTGTTTCTTCAGTGGATTCAGTTGGTGATGGAACCATGTAGCAGAGACTGAAGCTTTTTGTGTGCACCATGGCAGACTCCCTCTAACCTAGTGCGGCACATTTGCAGGAATTTACCCCATGCACCACGACACATCCTCTGCCAGCAGCAGCCCAAAGTTGCCTGTGGAGCAGGCTCCAAAATCAGCCAGTCAGATAAAACCTAATCATGCTCTCCAAAAGGAGAGATAACTACATCCATACCCACATCCAACTCAAAACAGCCTTTGTACTGAGAGAGCACTTTGTTAAAGTGCACATTGCCCCCCTTTGCTGGGAGACACTCTCCATCCTTCAGTTTAGGTAAAGGCAGAAGGAACTGCTTGCAATCCAGTCTTGCTTCCTGCCTGCTAGAGCAAAGCTACAGCTGCTCTGCTGGAAATGAAGAAATTGGGCTCCTTTTTTTTTTTTCTCCTCTCACAGCATATCAAACCACACACTACTTAGAGCAGCAACCCCGATTTCCTGTCAAGGAAAACCTCTGTCCTGCAGTGAATCTGGTAGCAACATTCCTGCATATGCCATAGGGGAACATCCAGCCGTGCCTAAGGAAACACGCTGTGCCTAATCCTTCTTGAGGCTGCACCTCTTGAAAGGCAAGGAGGGCCTAACACGAGGATCCCTCTGAGATCTGCCCTCTGCCTCTTGCCTTTCTGAGCAGCGCTAGGTGCTCGCACAGGAGCGTGCGGTGGGAGTCTGCGGAGCAGCATGGTTGCCTACGAAGTCCGGGAGCCTCCAAGAGCTTGTGGGAAGAGAGAGTGAGGGCTCTCCCCCATGGCAGGTGGTCTGGGATATTTGGGCTGCAGATGCTCTGGCAGCTCACTGAAAGGAAGGGGCAAGTTGCAGTATCGCTGCCTTTATTCACTGTTTCAGCTGAGGGCAAGATGCTGCGTGCACTAGCTAGATAAAAAATCAGGAAATCGCCTCTTATGGGGGATTTTGGAAGCACAGGTTCATGGTAGAGCCATTGGTTTTATGCTTCATCACATGGAAATGGTTTGATCACGAAGCAATGAACCTGGGTAAGGTGCCCTGGAAAAGAGAGAGTAACTCCTACCTCCAAGCACCATTCGTGAGCAGCAGCAAAGAGCCAAGTCCTGTGTAAAACATCTACTCCATTTTTACAAGTCCAGACCCTATTGCTTAGCCTCAGTGTCTGAATGGTCAGTGTCGTGGAGCTGTGTGTCCTCTCCAGTTTTTGGCCCTGCATTAGGAGCTAGAAATCTATGAGATTTTCTTGCTAGAACCCAGTTACTTTCAGGGCTTGCACTGAGAAGCTTTTCTTGTAACGTGTTTTTATGACCATCAGTAGCTAGCTATTAATTTTGAAACTCAAGACATGAGTAGCTAAATCAGTGCTCCAGAAACATGACTGTAAGTCTATAGAAAGATTTATCAGAATAAAATTGCATTTCAGTGGCTGAAGAAGGAAAAGCAACACACTTAAACACTAGCATAGAAGCCATGTGACATCTGCAGCTTGGTTTTAACAGCTCAGCAGCAGCAATTTTATAGCGCCTATAATGCTAGGAACAGTCAACCCTTTTCTGTAGAGCAGCTCTGAAACTGGCAGCGCTCTGAGTTTCGCCTCCTGCCACATCAGGGTGGGCAAGAACTTGTGATGCGTTAGACTTGGTCTGATTCACATGCAGGATGTGGTGCTGCTGGTTCAGGTCACCGAAACGGGCCAGGATGATGGGGAAATCTGAGTGAAGAGGGCAACAGACTAATACAGCAAGAATGTACCTTCCAGTGCACTAAAGCTCTGAATATATGTATATATATATTTAATTTCTGATTACATATGGTCCTCTGCTTGACAGACGCTCACTAGAACTGGTGCCACAGTTCAGGATAGCCTATGCCGCTGAGCACTAAATTGCTCTCTCCTTTGACAAGCTTTCCAAGTTTTTCTCCTGTGTTTGTACTTCTGATCAGGAAGTCCTGCAAGTCCTTGTATTCATAGACTGGTTCCTAAGTCAAAAGGCTTGTTTCATCTTTTTTTCTTCCTCTGACAGACTAGCTGTAGTTTAGCCTTACTATAAACTCCACGATTTACAGTGTCCAAAACAATGTAGTCACAGCAAAGAAATTATTAAATAAAACCATTATTGATTTACTTGAAGCCTCAGAGAGGAAAGAGTTAAAAGCAAGAAAAGGCCCATATTGCTATTTTCTCCCTTGAGTGTTGCTTCTTTACAATCTAAATTAGGTCCCAGTTGTCCCAGAGCCATTCTCCACTGTGTCTGGAGGAGACAACCTAAACCCTTGCTTTTGTCTCCGAGTGCCCCTAAATCTGATTTCCCTGTGTTTCCTTTTACTTGCTTTATTCTAGAAGTCTACCACTGTCCTGGAAAACCTCAGTGAGCCTGGTACAGTTCATACTTCTTAATGCAGAGATGAAATTTCAGCAGTGGATTTAGAATATTAGAGTACTAGCAAATGAGTGATTTAGAGTCAGTGCCCGTTTGAGTAGAGAGAAGTAAAATCCTTCAGAATTGCATTAGCTTTTCTATTTCCCTCCATGTTGCTGAAAGCATGACTGTTTATGTATACATTTTTGAGAATTTTGAAAATTAGTTAAGATTGTAGAGACATCTCCCATGCTTTTTCAATCTCAGACACAAGGCTGCGGAATCAGTGCCTATTATTTTAAATTCCTCTTGGGGATTTGCCACCCCAGCTAAATTACAGATGCGGCCTCACCGCTGATCACGAATGGTTCAGCATCCAGGCCACAGCCGTCTGCTCCAGAGAGCTCTCAGAGCCCTTAGCCATCGATGCCCAGAGCGCCTAGTGAACACGCAGTATTGCAGTATTTTCCCTTTCTGAGTGCCCTGTGTTTTGTAAGGATAAAAACGGCTCCGCTCACAAGCACATTTCTCAGGAGACTCTGCGCTTTGGAGGCAGCGGTCGGGCTTTGCTGGGCTTCGCAGGGCGCCAGCCCCTTGTGCCTCCTTCCTTAAACACCCGCGGGTGGCGAGCTCTGCGTCTGCCGCCGTCCTGCGTGCTCCGCTGCGCTCGGCGGCGAGGCGCTGCGCGGCAGAGCCCATCTTCAGCACAGCTCTCTGCGCCCTCCCATCGGGATGTATTGCTGTCCTGGGGGCTGACACCAGCCCAAGGACATGCACGTGGAATGAGCACGGTGCTCTGCTCTGCCAACAGGCAAGAGCTCTGCGTGTGTATCCTTCATGGCTTCATGTGCCTCTGCTGTCAAGCCATGCCAAGAAGCCTGAAATTGAGGCTTTTGACCCTTTCACCGTTCTTGGATAAAACGCTGACCTCTTCTGATGGCTCTTTTTTTTTTCTCATGTGCCAACTGTATTTGGTAACAACTCTTATTTTTGCCTCTCTACAACTACCTGAAAGGAGCTTGTAGTGAGGTGGGGCTCAGTCTCCTCTCCAGAGTAACTACTGATAGGACAAGAGGAAATGGTCTCAAATTACATCAGAGGAGGTTCAGCTTGGATATTAGGAAAAATTTCTCTATGGAAGGAGTGGTGCAGCATTGGTACAGGCTGCCCAAGGGAGTAGTGGAGTCCTCGTCTCTGCCACTGCTCAGGAACCCCGTAGATGAGGCGCTTATGGTAGACATGGTTTAGCAGGCCTGGTGGTGATGGGTTTACTGTTGGACTCGATGATTTTGAAGGTCCTTTCCAACCATAATGATTCCGTGATTTCTATGACTGCCACTCTGGATCCACTATTTAATCAGTCCTATAATGGTATAAATCCATGTGCAGTCACACAGAGCTATTTTTACTGAAGCATATGAAGGTGTGTAATTTTTGCTATTTAAACTGTGCTAAATGGCAGAGCATTTTGTTGGTGTTGGTTTTTTTTTTTTTTTTTCAGGATTTGCTATTGGCCAAACATATGCACCCAATTTCAGAGCAAACAAAGCAATACTGAAGTACTAAACACTAACAGCTGCGCTGTTCAGGCAGCAGCCACATGCTGGCCTGCTTCATGGAAATTAATTGGGAAAACTTCCACACAAACTAATCATCCTATTTGTATTTTTAGAAGCCAATTCAAAGTGTTTTACTTCTGGAGGGATGGCTTCAGAGACTTCAGGTCTGCATTTTGTTATAAAAATGCCTTCTTAACCAAACAGTATTGCCGGAGAGCATGAAATGCAAAGCCCAGAGTGATTGCTACAAATCACCTGGTCGTGGTCCAGTCCTTACCAGGAAGTCACAGCAAAGTTCATCTGGGTCATTCCGGACAAGTCCTCAGTTTTGAAAAAAAAAAACAACCCAGTTGCCTTGACTTTGTGCAAACAGGCCATGACTTTTAAACTTCTTTTCCTTCCTGCAGACCTGCCCTGGCGCTTCCCCCCAGTTTTCCTGCATTTTTCATTTGGGCATAGAGCCATTCCACAGCCTAGATGCATTTGTGACTATTTGGTCTTCAGTAACATTATGTATTTGCCAGATTACTGAAGATGGACCTTTGTACTTTCAAGCTGCTCACAGAAAATGAGGGGTCAGCAGAGCCATAGGTTATCAAGTGAATGTTTTAGCCCCAGTAAACACACACTTTATTAGTGCCCCTCTCATCCTTGTATTTTAAAATAATCAAAAAATCCATGCAGAACATATTTTTCAGTGTTTGGAATGTAATATTATTTTGCTAGGGCTTATCTTCCTTCTACTAGTTTAGCAATGAACGTTTTCTCACAGGTGTCAAGCAGCTTAATGCAGTCTGCATAGAGATTATTTAAAGATTACTTGTCAGCAACATTCATACTTTCCTACTTCCATTTCCAACTTCTGGCATTAAATGTACTTTATATTTAGCATTTTAACGTTTTTCACTCACTTATTCCTCAGTCCTTCACTACAAAGATAGAAAGGTCCCTGGGCTACAGAGGTTGCATTTGGGCCAGGTTAGACTCAATGTTTGCTTTTCAATTTTGATGCCTGCGCTCCTTGCACCTCTATTTTTTGCCTTGGCCTGAGAGCAGGAAATGGGTTGCTAAAAAACGGAGTGCTGAGAAGGCCAGCAGCGAGTTTTCCCGGCACGAGACACGGCGACGCGCGTGGGTCGAGGATGGAGGAGAGGCTGGGAAGGCTGTGCAGGGCCTCACGTTCGTGGTGCTGGCAGATACCCGCAACCTGCCCGGGCAGCAGCTGGGACAGACACCCGGGAGGCCCGAAGGGAGGAAGGGGCAGCTGTGGTTGGGCCCAACTTTCTGCAGCGGGTACGAACCGTGTAGCAGCCTTCCCTGCGGAGCAGCCCTGCAGCAGCGCGTTTGCCGGCGAAGCCCGCGAGCCTCCCCCCTTGCCTGACAGCTTCGTTGGCTGCTGGTTTCCTAGTCCCTGGTTATCTCCGTGCCTTGTGTGTTCAGGGTTGGCTCCTGCCTCCTGGCACACGGTGCCCGGTGCCGCGTAAAACCCTTTGTGTGGCTTGTGCACACAGACCCGGCGAGGGCCACGTAGAGGAAGCAGCGCTGGCTGCAGCATCTGACAGGAGACAGAAAAAGCCTAAAACCGTGTTGAAAGACGGGGGCTCCTGCAGGCACCAGTGTCTGTGTCCCTGGGTGCCAGCTCTTCGTCTCGGGTGTGCGCACTGCGGTCTGGACGGTGCTGCGGCGCGCTCAGGAAAGCAGCCTGTAAGGTAGAGCTGGGGAGGAGGAAAGTCATCAGCTGTTTGTGTAAAGGGGAGGTGAAGGGACAGCCGCCTCCTGGTGCGTATTCCAGCAGCGTTGCTTGTGTGTGCGCCCCGGTCACAGCGCTGTTGAGAAGGAGCAGCCAGGAGAGCCAGTCCGGCTCGGATCATTTTGCCTTCTTTGCCTTAATTTGTTGTTCTATCATCGTAGGTGTTTGAGTAGACAATTCATGTAACATTCTTTCCTTTTTTTTTTTTTCAGAACTATAAAGCGGACATAAAACCAAAATATCTCAGTCACTTGATGAGATTATTTTTCCTTATCCAACAGTTAATTTAAAAGATAATTTAAGAAAGCTGATGGTACTGGAAGCTGATGCTTGTCCAAGCAGACACTGACACTTCCAGAATGAGATTAAGTGAAGACAGGAGTCTGTGCGTTATCTCCTGGGGCTCAGTGAAATAATGAGCAGCTTACGGCTGACCCGGCTTCCACTCCTCTAAAATAAAATGCAGTTTCTCTCCTTGCTTTCCATCGGGGCCTTTAATAATCCTTTCGCTTGCCTATTTTTGAAGGGCTCAGAAGCACACATGCATGTACACAAACAGATCTCCTGGTTTTATAGGCCTTCCTTTTGGGGTTCAGCCTACATTTTCCCCGCAGGTTCTTGAGCTTCAGATCATGTAAAGTGCAGCAAAAATAGTTCACAAATATTATTTTCCATGATGCAAGGGGGAAGGAAGAAATACGTGAGCCCACCAATCTGTCAGGCGCATCTCAAAAGCAGTGGCTTCAGGAGAGGTTTCTCCCTGCGGTAGCACCACAACACTGAAAAATGAGCTGAGAAATGGAGCTGGCAGGTCTGGTGCTACAGACCCGAGCACGGTGGGAGCACCGTGGTGAGGGGCAGAGCGGCGGCGCTGGGCGCTGCCACGGCCCGAGTGCGAGGGACGCGCGTTTGTAACGACGCGCTTGCCTCGCGTGGGAGGCGGGAAGGGCTCCCCTCTCTCTCTCCCCCCTGCCTTGAGCCCCGCTGGCCCTGCGGCTCAGGGTGTCTCCGCAGGCAGCTCCTGCGGCCGTCACATCATCCTTGGGACCAGCGCGTCGCCAAGGCCACGTCCATGCTCAGGGAATTAGCTCTGTGAGAGCCCCGCTGCGAGTCCCGCACGGACGTGGTGAGCTTTCCTGTGAGCACAAATCCATGCCTACCCGGTCAGTTTGCTTAAAATCAGCAGCCCACATGTTTTTGAACTCTCTGAGGACCCCAAATACAAAATAAGGAGTTGGCCTCTCCGAATAGTAAAAGGCCCTAACAGTTTTGTCTGGACTTGGCGGAGGAATGTGCTCCACAAGCACAGCTGTGCCAGAGCTGCCAACACCTGTGGGGCGCTGCGTGGCACCAGCGGCGCTTTCCTAGCGCGGTGCCAAACACCTACATTGGGATTCCCTGATGAAACACCAGCACGTTCCTCCTCATCTGTGAAGAGCAAAGCTGGGTCCTCACACAGGTCCCTGGGCCTAAATAAGTTTCTCAAGCTGCTGTTTTCAGAGTATAGATAACGCGAGCGGTTTCTGCCATTCACTGTCACAGCATCTGCCGCCGTTCGCCCTAGCGGGGAGCGCGCGGCTCTCGCTGGGGCCCAGATGGTCCCTTCTTCCGTGGCAAGCAATGCTAACAGAAGGGAAAAAAGGGGCCTGGCCTGGCCTGGCCCTCCCTTTTTTTTCATGTTTCTCTGAATTTGGGAGCTCACAGGTGCAGCCTGTGGCTGGGGGGACAGATTTGCATCCTGGGCAAAGCTGCTCCCAAAGGCTCCTGCACTGGTCCCTCAGCACTGGGACATTTCTCCCTCTTTCTGGCCACTATTAAGGCTTCTGCGGCTTCCGCTTATCTACTGTGCCTTCTTTAGCCACAAAATCTTTCTTTTCTTTCTATCCATCCCTCTAGGTGCCTGTTCCCTGTGCAGTTTTGTGCTGATAAAAGAATGTTGCATTTTTTTCACAGGAAGTGAATCAAACCTTCTTTATTTTAACACTTTGCAGCAAAGAGATTTTTTTCATAAGAAGAGCTGTACTTTGTGCTCCCAGCATTTAAAAGCAATAGGCTATGAGGGCACGACCAGCTCCTTTCCTCCGTAACTCTGCTCTGAGGAGACATCAATGGAGCAATGTTGATTTATGCCAATCATGCACCTGGCTTTTATTCTCTCTGATGGCACTGCAGTGTCTCTTGGGAAGATTAACCTATTCACTGCTTTTTAATTAAATAATCAGGATGATTATCGGTGGTTTTGCAGCGTCTGTTTTGAATTAAATTTGTCCTGAGTACCCACACGATGTCAGGTCGCTCTATCTCCCCCGGTCAGTGCAGTACCTGGAGGTTCAACGGGCACACGTCTTCCTGCGTGACTCGGGAGCGGGAGCGTTGTCTCCCTCTAACATGGCACCACAAGTTACCAGGATCCGAGTTTCTGCACCTTGCCACTTCACAGTGCGGGTTTGCTCGTCGCACACTTGCCCCTTGCAGGCACTCGGGCCGCTCGCCGGCGCTGCCTGCACCGCTCGTACGGGTCCGTGCGAGAGCTGCGCTGGCTCCATCTCCTTGTTCCCCGCTTCGTTAGTGCAAAAACCATCTGCATTGGGCAGAGCTTGCAGTTACGTAAATGTACACAGGGAGGGTTATCTTAGGTCTCCCGGAGACCGTGTCCTGCTTTCTTGCATTACACTTCTATTCTTCAAGAAAAAATCCTTATAAACCTTGGCAGTATCCTAGGATATATAAAACTTATGTAAAATTTGCTGCAGGTTTTACTAAAGTGCATAAATGAAAGTCCTGTTAAATGGTTAGAGCTTTCCACTAAGCCACTGAACTCTGGTTGACGCCTACAGATTTTCTTGGAGAATTGCCCAGATCGCCTTTAGCTTCTTTAATACTCAGGTTACTCTGTCCCCAAGGGTACATCATCACCTTAGCTGAACACAGCAAAGGGAAGGCTGCAGTCTCATTACTGCACACCTTGTTGTCACAGCTAAATTTTATTAGCTAAAATCCACGTCTTAGCCAGAGGAACTGCTGTCTGTGCCTTTGACTAACTCTTCACGTTTGTAGCTTCCAGCCAGTGATTTTGGCCAGAAAGTGAGCAGAAGCTGCTAGAATTGATATTTATGGCAGCTGCTATTCCACAAGAATAGTAACCCAATATACCAAGGAATACATTCATGGTTCATTGGCTCATGGCTCATTACATTATTAACACAGTGTTAACTAAAACTGTAGCTGCAAGACTTGGGCACAGAGCTGTTAATATCGCTATCCTTTACAACTACTTTCTCCACCTTTCTCCAACCGCTTTCTTCAAGCCTCAGAAAGCCGATCTCCAAACAGCTCTTTCTGGATGCAAATTCCAACAGCGACAGCCTGTTCCTGCGCTCTTCCCTGGGATTCCTGCGCCGGGGTGACCCGCTGCTCGCCGCGCTGCCGCGGCAGGGGGGGGGCAGCGGCCCCACGTGCCGCGCTGCGGGTGCCGCGCTGCAGCGCTGCTGTGAGCAGCCTCGTGCGGCCCCGCTGCGCACGGCGCGGCTCTGCTCCCGCCTTCCAGCCCCAGGGCCTTCGGAGGCTGCGCCCTGTATCGTGGCGCGCTCCCATTTAACAGCGTGAAGTGCTTCCTTCTGCCAGGGACATCCATTTAATGTATCTTTAGAAAATACAGATTTACAGAAGGCTGGACCATTGTGCCCTGAGCTTCCTTGCAGCACCGGGGTAGGATGCAGCAGTTTGTCAAATGAGGAAAGCACAAAGAAAACAGTAAGAGGCAAAAAGCAGAGCAATAGTCCATCACAAAGCCGTCGCGCAGGACTCGCTGAGACCACGTTTTCCAGGCTACTCTGCTCTTTATGAGGGGCAAAAAGGAAGCAAAGGGGAGCATAAAAACAAATTGCACTGAAGATCCAAGGCTGCTACCGGGGGAAGGGCTGAAGCGAAGCCACTCAGGGATGAACCCAAACAGATCCTTACAAAACTGGAGAAAACTGACCCACCCGATTCATTTTGCTGCTGAAAGCAATGAAGGGATAAGAGAGCTCTGCATTTACATGAAAGCTCTACAGTAACAAAAGACCAGACCTCCAGGCACAGATAAGGGGATGCGGTGAAGCAGCTTTCCTTGGAGCTTTTGTTGGTTGAGACTTAAGTAGCAGTATCATTTAGAAGCAGAAAGTAAAATGAAAAATGTTTTCCTTGCATATCTTCTGCTGCTTTCCACAGTGCTTGTGTATTTCTTTCTACAATGCCCACGATCTATTCTGTTTTATTTGCCTGCAATTCTCAGTGTTAGGCTTATTAGCTCCCTTTCAGCTCCCATTATAATCTGGCTGTGTTTGTAGCTGCAATAAATGGGAACTCACGGACCTTGGTGTCATCCACCTCAAATCTTTATCCTATTAAATCTAATCCAAATTAATTTGAGGCAGAACTCTTTGCCCTTGATACTTAAATAGATGAGAGAGAGGCTTGGCATTGGGAAACAAATGTGGCTTAGAAAAATCTTCCTTATATAATTGTTTGGAGATTCAGCCATTCATGACAATCTAAACATACATGCTGAGTTTACTGAACACTGCATTTGATATTTTTCACCAAGCATTTCCAAACCTTTCTCAGAAGCTTGACTCTCTTGAGGTACAAAAAATAGAGCAGAAGTTAACCAAGAGGCATTAGCATGTGCAGTGGCTTTGGTTACTATTTTTAATTATAAAATGAATGACCCTGTTCCAAAATACAAACTGTGGTATCTTTGCTCCCTTGAATAGTGATAACGCAGGCTGGGAAAGGGTGGCCAAAGTTAAGAGCTTTCACTGTTGAACACAGTATTAGCAGTACTTCAAGGCTTGAGGCAAACAGTAAAGAAGACTACAGAATAATAATTAAAAAAATACAGGTAAAGCCTCTCCTGATGGAAAGTTTTACTTTTATTGTGATACCAGAATGGATAGATTTGGATGTCTCTCTGAAATAACCAACAGAGGAGGATTATCGTGGCAGTTACCTACAAATGCCACCACTAGAGTGACAAAAGCCTTGGAAGTATTACTTGTAACAACGAAAAAAACTGGCTAGGTATGCACTAAGTGCCCCTCATTGCTTCTGCTCATTCACTTGTCTTTTCATCATAGTTGTTCACTTTTTTTGTTCATTAGAAAATGTACTGGGGGGATTTTATTTTCACTCTGTCAAATACCTTTCCTGGTAGACCTGAACAGAAGGGCTCTTTAGAGCTTGAATTCTGTCTCCCATCCATTCAAGTTTTTCAAGTCAAGGGGAGAAACCAAGGCTCTTGTTTTCCAGCAGATGTTTTCCTGTGAGAACATTCAGGGTGTCTGAGGCACACATCGGGCCATACATGTGATGTAGTTCGGTGCCCATGTGGATTTCTTTAACAAGAGTTTGTCAGACTAATCGAAACAAGACAACTTCATTCTTCAGGTAAAGATTTTCCACTGCATTTCTGTGCATAAAAAAGCCTTTTAGTAAGTGTTTATCAGCCTGATGTAGATTCCTCTGTTTCTCAACAACGTGTGACACCAGACTATGGAAACAACATGACTCAACAACCTGAAAACAACCCCAAACCGAAAAAGAGAGACTCAGCAACACTTTTGTTAGTGGTGGTGTTATGTTTTAGGATCGTACTGGAATTAATGCTGGCTTGTTGTGATTAAACACTGTTACTTAAGTCTTTATACTTTTTTCCCCTGTGTTTTGGCAACGCTGCAAAGGCCGGCGGCGCTGCGCACAGGGAGGGCCCCGTTGTCACCACCTGCAAAGACCCTCTCCAAGGCCAGGCGGGTGCAAGGGCCCCTCACCCGAGCATGGGGGCAGCAGCTTCCCGACCGCTTTGCCATCACAGGGACTCAAAGCTGCAAGGCTGAATAAGGAATTAACGCCCAGGCCATAAGGGCTATCGACCTATCAGCTCCTCCTGATAATGCAGCCAGCAGCTCCTTCCAAGCTTCCCATCCCTGAGGATAATGCTGGGCCCTGGGCGAGGAGGCCCAGGCAAGACGGGTGCCAAGAGGGGCCGGGCGGGAGGGAGCTCTGCGCGTCCTGCCGCCTCAGGAGGTCTGGTCTGACAGGAGAGAGGCCGGAAGGGCAGGAAAGCAGCACCGACAGGCTGCTCCTGGAGGAGAAACGGAGCCAGGGCTGCTCGGGCCAGCCCTTCCATCCAGGAAAATAAAGCACAAAGCGGTGGTCGTCCATGGGTCGTGATGGTGGCTCTGCAGCTTACAAGGAAAATTATCCTCTTCCAGAGGCTTTTGTGTAACCAAATCCTAACAAGCAGAGACAACAGACTCCTGCATATTCAGATAAACATTTGCACAAAGCAAGCAGAGTTTAGTTGCGGGTAAAAACGCGCAGAAAGAAAGAAAAACCCAAGCCGATTAAAATAACCAAACAAGAAGGGACAGTTTACAGATCATACTGCATTTATTTGGCCCCCAAATTCCTAGTATTGTAACAAACTCCCAGAGTTTCACTCCTTAAAGTGCTTCAAACTCCACTTATATTATTATTATTACTTTTTAACATTAATGTACATTTCTGTATAAACATTCTGTTCATCACTCCAAAGAGATATTTATTTTATAAAAATTCTTTATACTAGTGGATCAAATTTGCTCTCAAGATGACCAGCATTAAGGCAAATTTCTATAATTAAGACAAGGGAGTTACTTGATATTATGCTGGTACAGGTGAGAGTAAAATTTGGCCCAGTAGGTGTATATATACAAGCCTTTTTTTATTATTTTATTTTAGGCATCTGTCTTCAAAGGACCCAGTGGATTAGCTTGGAAACCAGTAACATTTAACAGGGAGTTTACCAAACCGAATACAGGCGCAGCCCACGTGCAGAGGCTGCATTTGCTCACCAGCCATTCGGAAGGATCAGCCCGACGTCAGCAACGCAGCGGTCAGGAAACGGGAGCCCACGGTGCAGGAATCCACAGAGTCCTTCAGCAGATCCAATCTGACGCACGCATGAGCAGGGTAACAGGAAAGTTACTCGGCAGGGCATCCCTGCAAACTCACAGCACCATGAACCTCGGAAATTCTTCTAGGGGAGACAGGTTTGTCATTTAGGATAATATTCCGAAGACAGCCAATGAATGGATCTTTCACTGGAAGCCATGGCATGGCCAAATTTGCTATGTAAAACAAAGTAAAAAGATCACATTAATAACAAGAATGATTTTAAAGAATGTTAATCACTGCAAAACTTGCAATGTTTTGATAATTACTCTTAGATCTTTAATCTTTTCTATTAAAAGTAGTAGGAAACAAACATCTCAAGAGACGGTGAACTATTTTCTACTACATGTAAAATACTTAGAATATTTTTCCATAAATTTATTTATCCTGACTTGGCCCAAATATGACAGGATTTGACCAGAGTCTGTTGTTCTTCAGACTTCTTTCGCCTTGAGGACCTTTTTCTCATGATCTGCCTTAGGAGCAGAAACACCTCCCATGCATTTGGATTCTCCCGTGCTTCCCATCTGAGGGAGAACTCTCAGTAGGAGCATCACTTCCCATTCCCGTGGGTCACCTCAGCACAGACTAGGACACCGAGCCCTAGCACTTCTGAGGCCGTGATGCGGCCAGCTCTTCTGACAGAGCTCAGCCAACTGGAGCTCAGCTCCCTAAGGAAAGGGAGCTTTCTCCTTTTAGGAAAGCTCCCTAAACACGCCCAGTGCACGTGCGGGGCCCTTAGCAATTCCCACCTCATTCTCTGTACAGTCCTGCTCCTACTGCACTGCCCGACCGGCTAGCTAGACAGCATCTGAGTCTCTATCAAAAAGAAGCTGTTAAGAGCGGAGAAGGAATGATGCAGGGCTCCACGCTTGTAGGGGAATTCCTGGCAAGGAATAAAAAGGCAGCAGATAACTGAAGAAGTGAGCAGCAACGGTATTACCTGGGATTCCGCCCAGGTGGAGCGGCTGGCGCCCGTGTCTGGGCAGAAGGGGAGCGAGCGCAGCGGTGGAGTTCCTGTGAGCGCCCACCTCCAGCTGCAGCGTGCTTTCCTTCCGAGAGACTGTGAAGAAACAGGTCAGTGAGGACACTTTCTCTACTCTGCTGAAGAACTCACCAGACAGGACACTATTTTAAGACATGTCTATGTCAAAATGTAATTCACAGGAAAAATATATTTTATTCTCATTCAAAAGCAGACTGACATCTAGATACTCTGGGTCTAAATAATCTCCCTGCCCGTCCTGCTCTTCTATAATGCCCTGAATTAGCACAGGACACTTGTTCTAAAGAGCATTTTCAGAATAAACAGAAGTGAAATGGTTAGGAGAACGCTGGGTATGCCAGGCTGTGTGCCTTTCGGGCTCTCAAAGATGCACCTACCTGTGACCGTGTGCCACTGCCCATCATGCAGAGACTGCCCTGCCGTGACTGAGGTCTCAAACTTGCCAGCCCCATTATTTCCAGCAGCAACAAGCTGTAAAACAATTTCCTTTTAGTGTACCGTAGTACCATAGTAAAAAAAAAAAAAAAAAAAAAAAAAAAAAAAACAAAAATTTTAAAAAACCAAGGGGGGGAACATTTATAAATTCTACAGGCATAAATGAATGTTTTTGTCTCTCTTCCCCTCAGTCTTACAAAATAATGCTAATTCCTTTTGAACACATTATTTCTCTTCAACATCTTCCTTTCAAATTCTTTTTGGCTGTGCTGCTTACAGCAAGCTTGATAATGGCCAGGTGACAGACATGCTCAATCCACTTCCTATGAGGCTCATTGAACTTTTATTCCATCCTGTTGATTTCTGTCCACACACACAGAGCCTGAATCCAAGTTCCTACTGAAGAGAGAGCTCTTGCTCTTAAGGAATCCCCAGGTGCTGATGCTCCTGCCTCTGTTTACTCATCGTGCCTTGAACCAGATGAGTGTTCTGAGTGAAACCAACTTCAGCAACAACACACAGTTATGTCTGTCCCTAGGCCAGTTCACTGGTGTCTGCCCCAGTGATGTCCAGGAAGGGGCAGCTGTGGCTGGGGAGCAAGAGGTAAAGCTGACCCTGACTGCTGTTATGGGGGACACAGGCCGGTCTCGAGACCAGAGGAGTCTCTGTAGAGCACAGACTAGCTTTTCCTGGGATGCCTCGGCAGCAGAGAGCACACAGGGGTTTTGGTTCAGGACTCACACTCTGAAACAGTAATGTTATGAAAAAGCAACAGTGATAAGAACCACAGTTACTACCCCTCAGCTAGAGGCAAAGATACTAAAACGAAGCAAGACAGCTGAAGTTGTGTACTGGAACTGCATCAGTACTTTAGCCAAATGATGACTAAAGAAGTGGGAATAAACACGGAGTGCTGTGGCCTCTGGGGGGGTTTGTAAGTGCTAAGAACTCCAGGGAGATGAAGCCTGTGGCCTCCTCCTGACCGCTGTGAAGGATCAGGCGCCCAGCAGTGTGCGCACACAGAAAGTGCCTTAGGCAGGCACAGAGAGAGGCTTCATGCTCCAATTTCTGTAGGATAGTGTTAAAGCATTGGAGGAACCACATGAAGAAGTTGTTTAATGTTAAATCTATAGATATGCATTCTAATAAGCAAGTGCAGTATTCAAGGTCAGAATTTTCTCTGCCGAATGTTGGCAATACAACTGCAATGGAAAAAACAGAGCCTGTAAAACTTACTTTTCCTCCGTCTAGGTAAACAGTCAGGTAGTTGTCTTGCCCGCTTCCAGAATGGAGGAGGACACTTGTTGAGCTCCTTGGTCGAACAGTAAATGTAATTGTAAAATCCAAGCCCATCATTAAATGATCTGTAGAGGAATAAACAGTGGGTAAAGGAAGGACCATAGAAGATAACTGGAAGAACATGCAAAAAAAAAAAAAATCCTTGTATATGCACGTTTAAGACATAATTCCATATAACATAATCTCTCCCGGACTTACCAATGGTGATATACCCTCCTTCATTAAAGAAATAAATCCCAGTCTCCATGGGGACATCCAGGCAGGGAAGTACACCATTTCTTTGCTGAGGTGTATTCATGGCTTTTCCATTCATCTTAAAATTCCTCAGGCAACCTTTGAAACTGTTCACTGGCATAATCTGAAAGCGTATTTCAAAACATGAATACTAAAGCATGATGACAATCTTTTTAGTGAGAACATCATGCATTTCTTTTTATAGTTTGACTGTAGAAAGCCAGCTATCTTTAAGGGCATCTAAAATCTGTCTCTGATGCACTGAAAACATATCCTGCAATTAAAACAAACATCTTAAAACATGAAAATAACAGCTATTTTGAGTTCACACAGATCCTACATGCAAAGCAGTTGCTTCCCGATGATGTGTCAAACAGACAACACAGCAGGAGTTGTGAGATCTCAGATATACCTTTCCTTTCTTAAGAGACTGTGCATTCAACTCTGACTTTATAAAAAGCCTTGCATGATTAACTGTCCTTTTTTAAAGTAACAGGGTCAAGTATTCCAGATTAAAATCAGGTTTTACATTCATAATTCCTTAATGTAAAAGATTCCTTTGCTCCTCTACTGAGTATCATTAAACCCATTAAAATACATATTCTATTGGAAGACTGTATCCCTGGAATTAACAAATGTGACTTTGGCCTTTTCAGTTTCTTAAACCATGTGCAGTTTTCATTTTTATCACCAGCGTCTCAACAACACATTGGAAACAAGGATCCCGCCGACAGCCGTGTGCGCAGCTGAGGAAGAAACCTACAATGAGCAGCTACAGACACCAAGCAGCACAAGCGGTGCTGGGTCAGTACTTGGAAATACCCCCACACCCTTTCACCATGGAACATCAGCACACTAATAATTTCACATGCAACGGAGGCAGCACGGGGAGTGCGGGAGCGCACGCGCAGGGCTGGCTGCACCCATGCCTTACCTGGTGCTTCAGGGATGGCAGCCCTCCCAGGTAGATCGGTGCCTTAATGCTGAGGGCGGAGTTTGTTCCCAGTCTGCCATGCTGGGCCCTGAGCCCATCGACAACAAGACGGATGTTCTTCCCATGTCTCCCGAATACGACCTTCGCCGGGAGCAGACATAACAGAGTGAGAAATCCCGAGCCCGGGGAAAGACACTGGAGCTCGTGCTCCAAAGAGCAGAAGGTGATTTTAGAAAATTAATCAGACACAGTACAGCTTTAAAGCAAGAGTATCCTTTTCTGTCTAGTCTGAAACAAGCAAAACGTGAACTGGAAGTAGATAAACAAAATGCTTCCATCAAGTAACAAGATGGCAGGAGCACCTTGCACCTCCCTCGATCATTCAGCCTTGCAGAGATCCCTTCTGGTCACCCTTGCCACAGTCTACGTTTGGGATAATTGCATCAGCTCTCTGCATGTGGCAAAAAAATCAGAGCGCTGCCTGCTACACCTACATGTCACCATCTCTGGTATGTCAATGATCCCTCCTGGAGAACTTCTCTTTAACAAAGTACTTTTGAAATATTTAAGCTGAAAATACCATGTTAGGACCTTAGGTCACTAAGAGCTCTCTCCCAAGATACCTGACAACCACATGAAAATTCAGCCACATGAATTAACTTCAGGTGCCCAAAAGGAACAGTGTCGCTCCTTCCAGCCCTGCCCAGCGACTGAGGGGGCAGGTCGGCTGCGCCTGCGGAATGCCAGCTGTGCTCAGCCGTGGTTCCCATGCCGTGTTACCTACCGTGTGCCATTCACCATCATTGTACTTAGTGTCTGTTCTGATCTTGATTCGTTTTCCTCCAGACACAAGTGAAAAGACAAAACGTCCTTTTGAAATGCGGAGAGCCAGGTAGGAGTTCTCAAATCCCTCCTCCACAAAAAAAATTAAACCTCTTGATGATCGAGTCCGTACATCTACAGAAAAATGTAACCTATAGTGGAAAGAAAGCACATTCAAATGTAGGCCTATTTTGTAAATTCCTGTACCTTTCTGCTCTTGAGAAAAATGCCAGTGAAGCTCCACCCAGGAAATCCAGAATAGCTTTTGGGTAGAATCACTGCTCGACATTCTTTCCATTTCTAAATGTGGATGAAAGTTGGCATATTCAGATTCAGGAGCTGGCATCAGTATGTACTATAGTGGTTGACCCCATCAAAGTCAATCATACTGCTTTTGTTTGGGAAAATGTTAACTAAGAAAAAAAATCCTGAATCTTTAGAACCATTCTTTTGTTCCACGCAAAGATACTAGCAAGAAGCAAACCTAGCTCTTAGCACATAAAGATTCAAGCAGCATTTAAGAATAAAGTGAGGTGAACAGAAAATTTGCATTACCTGTCTGTGGGGTACACTGGGGAAAACGCGTATGACACAAAACTGTTGGGAGTGTTTCCAAACAGATAAGCTCCAGTATCGACGTTTAACTGAGCGACATTTAACAAGACCAAGCTTTGCTGGTCCTGCTGCAGTTCGGCATCGGTTAGAGAACCAAGGTATTTTTCATTCTGCAGTGGAAGACAGAATTGAAGTTTCTCAGTCCTATAAACCACAGTTGTGCAAACGAAACCTCAGTATCTATATGGAGAGGAGAAGACTGTAAAAATAAACATACCTTGAGCATCTTAAACGTGACAGAATTACTGAATTCTTGCAGCAGCATTGGTTCAAGGTTTTTGTATTGGTGGCAAGCTTTTGAACCTCGGGGAGCTGACCTGCCCTACAATGGTAAGAACAGCAAGTGCTTTAACATACCACTCCTTTTCTTCAACAGATTCAGCAACATACTGTACAACTGCTCTCTGTACAGTATAGATTTCTCAGTGACCTGATGCTGAAGTACCAATTTTCACCTCCTCCCATTAGAGTTGATTTCAGTTTTTCTTCAAAATATTTTTTTAGGATGGTTTGGGTAAAAAGTGTGTGGCCATTGAGAAAAGCGGAAAGAATGACAGCAGCCTTGGTTGAATAAGATTCTGGGTAAGACTGCAAAACTTCGCTGGTTAATATGTGAATTGCCAGTGGCAGATCAAGAAAAAAAGAGAGAGAAATCAAGTCCTGCCAACTCAACCACTCTCTCCTCACTAAGATGTTCTACTGAGATTTGTCAAGGGGTAAAGTCTATCTCAACATGATACGCAGCTCCGCTATTATAGCCAAATTATCAGAAAGACTGTCAAAAGCAATTGTGTAAAAAGAATTCTTGTATCATTTTGTAGGTCTTACAGAGTATCTTTAATCCGTAAGCTACAATACACTTTACAACAGAGAAAAATCAGTGAGGCTTCTTGCCCATTGATTTCTCTAAGAAGATGATCTGGGAGCAGAACCTAGGTTTCTTGAAATCCATTTCAGTTCTCCCTTCACTTGATCACACTAGCGATAGTATAAATTGTCCAGCTAATAATTTTCATTTTTGTATTGAAAGCTACTCTCCAAGTTTGGCTTTTGACAGGGAGGTTAATGCGCTTCATTGTCTTACAGGGTCCTGTTCAAACTTTAAAAGATTTAACCAAATCAAAATGCATTACTTTTTGTAAAGCCACACATGTATAAACATTCATCAAACATTTGATGAATGCTCAAACATCGATGAACAGCTGAAACAAAGTCCCATTGGGAGAACATTTGTGATTGAAGAAATGCTTTTACTTAAATAATAAGTTAATGCCAAATTTCTCTCCTAAATGTCACCTGTAAGATATCTCTAATAAGCAGATAAACATATGTGAAAAAGAGAGAACATAAATCAGACATCTGCTCCATTTCTTTGTGGAACTGTTCTGGACTTCTCTGTAAGCTTTGCTCATTCATTACCTGGCTCCTGTGTGGTTATAAAGACAAAATCTAGGGTGGGACATGGTCAATTCACTATACTAAGTTTATTCTTTGAGTAAAAGACTATTAAACACATATAATTCAGCTTAAAATTCCATTATATCTGAACAATTGATTTCATCATAACTTGATACTATGTGTGATCTGTCTGAATAAAACATATTTGGGGCAAAGTTATGTATTAATGAAGACTTCATGTATATGAAAGAAAAGCAATTTAGCAAAAAATAATCTTTATATGATCAAAAAGGAAAGCAGATCAAAATGCCTGAAACTGAAGATCTTTCTAGGCCAAATACCTTTCTATAAAGATGTTTGAGATGCAACCTTCAAAATCATTTCCACCAAATCTTATAGGCTGGATTAATGTCTGTCGTCCTGAATCGCCAACAGTCATTGTCACAGGCTCATCATCAACCAGCAGCCTTAGTCTGAAACAATGTTAACACAAGTAAGCACAAAATCCGAAGAAGAGTAAATGAAAGAATGAAAAAGGAGAGGTATTTGAGAGGCGTCCCCCTGTTACATTCTAATAATGCAATAGAATTGCCTGATTGCTGGAATTTTTACATCAGTATGTGCTTCCTGACTTCTGTGGAATCACCTGGCTTCTCAGTGGTAGATATTTAGCAAAGTTGAAGCTAGACTTTCAGTGCTAGGGTTATGATCTCACAGAAATTCATGAAAAAACTCCCATTGCCAGTGATGGGACAGATTTCATTGTTCATATCAAAATGCACTTGAGATGTTAGCAACAGCTACTACAGAAAATATTGAAAGCTATAATTAGCCTAGCTTAGAGATAATCTCTGAAAACTTTCTTCTTGAGCAAACAGTTTTATATGATCCTCAAAAATCAGTATGATTTAGAAGCTTTTCAGGAAACTTTATTTAACTCCCGAGAAGAAAGACAATTATTACCCTCTTCCCTGGGCTTTTAATCACCTGGGCTGGGTAGATTTATAACTCACAATGACACATGTAAAGGCTATGGGAAGAGAGCTCCAAAGCTCAGGCTTGTCAAGCAGGAAAAAATCACAGAGTACACACAAAAAGACATCTGTACTGATGCACAGCTGAAAATTAGAAGGTACTAACATGCAAATTCACAGGCCAAATAACTCCTTCATTATTTCATTATCCTTTCTTAATACAGGCCATTTTTAGCTGCGTGCCCAAAGAACAACCCACACAAAATCTTAATCTTTCTTCAGCTACAAAATTAAACAATCAGATAAAGAACTGAACTCACGTGTCACCATTTTTTATGACTGTCACATAATGGATTGACCCATCTTCATATTTCTTGTCCAGTTTGTTTTCTGTTTCTCCCATCCTTACAACTACAGAGCCAGGTCTCAGGAAGATAAGAAGAATATTAGGCTAAAAAAAGAATCCCACAAAATGATCAATAAATGCAAGTTCCTTCAGTTCTCCCTGACGTTGCCATTAATACAGCTCTCTGTGGTAAGAATGGGGTAGTGTGGCTTTTTTCTGGGTTGTCTGTATCTTACATTGCCTTGTGGAAATATATCAACCTATCCTAAAACACATTTCTCAGGGAATCTATTACCAAACTTTACTCCCATTCTTTACAAATTGCATAGTGCCTGTTGTAGAATATCCTTGCACCTTGAAGACTGATAGTTATTTACACTTCTTGTTTAAACAGTTTTTGACAAAGAATAGGGGATTTGATTCTCCACTTCTCAAGCACCTGATCTGCACTCGCTTCTCATCATCAGCTCCTCCAGCTAGCAAGAATGGGGGTTTGATTCAACCTCCCTGCTTCCTGAGGAAATATAGCCCAAATCAGCCCTTTTCCACTGAATATTTGATCACAGTAAGATTTTGAACAGAAAGCCAGTTTTTCCTCAGAAAATTTCCAGCAGATTATGTTAAGCAACACTTCTGGTACTGGGATGATGGTGTTATGGGGCATGCACTGCTTCGTTACAGAAGGCTGAAATTCAAAGCTCTGTTTCTCATAAAACAAAGTATTGGTTTGGGAGAGCAATCGTAAGGCTGTTTCTTTGGTCTGTTGTATGCAAGGTGCCATTTTCAAGAGACTGATTTGTGATGCCAGAACTGACATGGTCATAAACACATATGACTGATCAAGAAACAAAACACAAACGCATATTCTAAGATAAACAGGATTCATACTCATACACTGTAACTTAAGAGTGTCCCAGTTGATGTCATAGTGCGAAAGCCAAAGCTGACTTGGAAATCTCTGGGAAATTGGAAACCTGCTGAATTCAGGCTCAGTGTTCCCGCTCCGGAGAAAGCTGCAGATCTGACAATCTGAAAAAGAGGTAAGAGTGCTCTCGGTGATTTTCCTTGTAGTCTGGAGAAACGATAACACAGGACAATAACTGCCCTACCCAACATAATTGTGATTGATTTCAGTCAAAACCAAACAGAAGGTAATCTGAAAGCTCGGTATTTCTGTACAGACAGATTGACTAAATTGGCTTCGCTGGAATTACTCATGATCTGAGCAACTCTAAAGGCAGATGAGGCCGGCTGAGTATAATACATTGTTTGTCTCTTCTGTTTGCATTGACAGGACAGTTTTATAAGGTTTCACAACCAGAAGCATCAAAGTGAGCAGCTGGAGAAATACCTTGTAGGTACAGAGATGTGAAGAGGGACATGTATACTTGAAGCTGTGGGAGTCATGGCACAGAGTATACCTGAATCCTTTTGAACAAAAAGCTTTCTAATACATGACAAGTTATACAGATATGAACAGAGAATGAAGGGCAGACCCTCTGCATAGGGAAATAGCCTGCAATCAAATTGCTGTGTGAAAGGTTTAGAGGTCACAGACGGAAAGAAAGTGAACGCAAACTTTCTGTGCCATGCTATAGTAGGGCAAATGCAATTGTGCACCATGTAAACAGCAGTAAATAGAAGCAGTAGGGTAATTTTCATCTCCACATAGTATTGGTTAAGCCAACAATGAAACATCATATTGTCCCGTGGTAGACTATGTGCTTGAATAAAGTACCAAAGAGTGGTTTCTCCTTTCTTATTTTCATACTAATCTGTGGCTCTTCATTATCATCACATGTTAACCAAATATAAGTAATGACTTCATGTAAGTAAGTAAAATATAGTTTTATAACTGAATCAGACTCTAGGATCTAGCGATCACTTTCGGTCATGAATTTTATGCCTAGCAAAGTTTATAAAAGCAATTGGGTTAGTTACCTTCCAGTCATCTGAACATTTCTTGCTGACACCGATGGTCTCATCAAAAACAACAGATGCCCCAAGGATTTTAATGTTCTTCATGCAGCCCCGGAATGGAGGTGTAGATATATTAAAGCTGGTTTCAGGGAGTGGAGGAGAAAAAGAATTCATTAACCTGCTATTTCAAAGGATTCACCAATATAATAGCCTATAAATGTTGACCATAAAATAAGAAATAGAAAAATAAAAGCAATCTTTATTGCACACATGTGCTTAATGCTGATCAAATCTTTCATCGGGGCACACTCCAACAAAGAACCCAACGTTAGCCAAAAATCACAGCTTATTATCACGTATTGTAAACTCGTGATTTTCAAATCACATAAGACACACATTATACAATCTGAAAAATTCACCCAAGGAAAGTATTTAGTTGAAAGCCCCATAAAAAGGCTGTATATTATAGTCTTTTTATAGTAGCTTACCGTTCCCGTAGAGAAGATGGAATTCCACCCAGGTAGTATTTAGTGAAACTGAAGATTCTTACGTTGACATTAATACCAGGAGTGACACGAACAACATTTCTACTTCTGGCAAGCAACAAGCCAATCTGAAATAGATGAATAATGAGAATTACTTCACTTACCAGCCTTAAGTCTTAAATAGCTGTAATAGTCAAAGGTGCTTTGCAAAATTTCGGCATTTTAGCCAAACAAATGTCTGAAAAAAATGCTGCACTACCCACACTAAAGGTGAGTTTTTATCCTTCTCAAGGAAACTGCCCTAAACACACACCTCATCTAACATCCATAGATTGCCTTCCATGTGCAGCTGAACACTGAGGAGCTGCTACCTGATACAAAGACTAGATCAGTCAACTGACTGGAGATGACTTGACCTAGCACAGCGTAAAGACTCCTTTCAGCAGGCCCTGAAACCTCTGCTGTCTAGTTGAAGATGCAGGAAGGGGAGAAGGGCGAATGAATCAAAACAACTATCAAAGGTTTTAACAATGTTATTAAAATTTCACTTTTGTAACACAGCGAAACTGATGGACTCAAGCTAAGCAGACGAGGAACAACAAAAAGATTTCAAAAACTAATCTCTATAAGGATCAGGCTTCCCTGAAAAAATAAACCTTTCGTTGCTAAAACCACTTCCCTTCATACTAAAATGAGGTCGATAACTTACAACAAACACAGCACTTTATTAAGAAAGCAATGCACTCACAAAGGCTGTTTTCTCTTGTGGCTATTCCATAAAAATCAAACGTGGTCACAGGAATACATGAGTAGACAGTTTCTAGATTCATTTTCAAGGTCAAACTAATCCTACCTATCTCAGTCTTCCCAACACAAATACAAAACTTCACAGCTAAGCCTTAAAACAGGGTGCTCAGTTTCAGCTAATGTGTATTTTCACAAGTAATGGTAACTTGATTGTTTGAAAGGACATACTTGTACATATGTTCCATAATTTATAGTTGTTGAGTTGTTTTCTATTTCCTTTGGAGGCTCAGAGCCAATTTTATATCTAAAAACTGGATGACCATTTTTAATGAGTATGCTGATGAACTGGTCCTGCAGTAAGAACAAAATGATAAACAAAAATTAAACTCTGCAACCTTTAATGTATATCTCATTGTCATGTGAATTAATGAAGCTATCCAGTTATTTCAATAAAGCTTAGAACTTATATTAGTCATTGTAATAACTTTTATGAACAAGCATATTACAAGCTCTCCAACTCTCTAAGGGACTTTTTCTCATTTCAAGATGCCTACCTATTTTTAACAGCATTAAGAAATTATTAGTACATGTTAACAGTGATTGTAAGCATTCTTATAATATTGCTAGATAAGTAGTATCATTGCTGTATTTTGACCAGCTTTAATCACTTTCTAAACTTTTTCCTACTCAGCTACCAAGTACATCAAGATTTGGGAAAGAGGGGGTAATCCCATTTTTGGAGAATTTAAATATTTCAAAATTGAGCTGATTTAAATTACAAAATGAAATCCCCCTAATTAAATTTTTTTTTAAAAAAAGTTCCATCTCCATGTGAGGAAGAACTTCTTTACTGTGAGGGTGACAGAGCCCTGGAACAGGCTGTCCAGAGAGGCTGTGGAGTCTCCTTCTCTGGAGATCTTCAAAACCCACCTGGATGCCACCCTGTGCCACGTGCTCTAGGTGATCCTGCTGGAGCAGTGGGGTTGGACTAGATAATCTCTAGAGGTCCAACCTCAACCATCCTATGATTCTGTGATCCTGTGAAATTGGAGGAGTTCCTAATGGAGGAACTACCTGGAATGATAGTTTCTCAGCTATGACAAAATGAGTATTCGAACAGCCCTAAAACAGCAGAATATACTAATCTGTAACACAAAGCAACATAACGGTTTCAAGAAACTTTATCACAGTTATTACTTAATCTAGCATGTTCTCTATTAAGTGAAGTTTTTTAAAAAATTCTTGTACCACAGAACACCACAGACAGAGTCATTCCATGAGTTACCTCATTTGCTGCAAAAAACAGCAGGCCTTCATCTGCTGTAGTCTGAATTGTCTGCTCATAGCGTGCTGTTATGAAAGCATTTGTTTCTTTAGATGTGACACTGGCATAACCAGTGCCTTCAAAATAGCTTTGGTCAGACTCTTCTTTATACCTGCAGCAATGTCACAGATGAGAATAAATAAGAGCAAAAACTCCCACTACATGGACTTACTGTCATTATCATTTATAAAAAGCTTTAGCTAAAGCATTTGGAACAATGCCACTAACAAGGCCAAATTCTGATCTAACCCAAGTGAAGAGAAAACCTCCCATTGGTGTCCACTGGATTTGTCTATGGTCTCCACAGAGGAAAAGAATTTACATTTTTAATGCCTGAGTTTTTCCACTTTATATAATATTTATCCTATAAGGAAGCCGGATACATTAGTCCATGTGTTAGGGACTTTAACTTTTGTCTGGGTACTCAACATTCAAAATCTTGGCCATTGGATTGAGATTGCCATAGACAGGAATGTTGTCAACACCGAGGATTTTCTCTAGGAAATGTATTTCATGATCAGGAGTCAGAGAAAAATCGCTAGTTCAGCTGCAGTACTTATTCTCCTGGATGCAAAGAAACAAGAATTCCCGATGATAAAATAACAGAATTGTGAATTTGTTACTGTAAAACACTTCTGTGCTTATATCATACCTTCTGCATGGTTGTACTTCAGTGGTATTGAGATTAAATGTCCTCTTAAAGTTGTACAGGCTGATAACATTCTCATTTAGGCTGTCTAATTCAATGCAGCCTTCATAATGAGGATAGTCTAACTTTCGTGGAGGCTGCAAAAATAGTGTTATCAAGAACATACTGTTAGCACCAGCTGAAAAAAAATTACATTGACATGTAACTTGTACTCATTGCAAATTTTAATAAGACACAGAATATGATATTCTGAATTAGCATAAAGTTATTGTTTGGATATAATACGCACATTGTCCAGCAGTACCCCAGGGGTACTACAGCACACTTATATGGGGTCATGTGTGGGATTAGACGAAGAAAACATTATGCTCCCTTTGTGTTCCAGCACACTGCAAGCCAGGCAGCTTCTGTAGAATAGAGCATCTTTTTTTCCCTGCTTCATTCCTGCATTTTATGCAGGCAAGAGCACAGTCTGGCAGCCCACCTTTGAAAGACTGCTAGATACAGTCTCAGCTGTAAGAACAACAGAATTATCAATACTGAAATGTTTTTAAAAGCCTGAGCAATTCCTTTTACCCTAAAATCTGGTGGGTATCCTCCAACATAAAAGACAACATTGTTGGGATCAAGGTTGAGGAGAGTGTGACTGTCTCCACTGCTCCCATGCAAAGGCTTTTCATACTCTGGAGAAGTCGATGTAGCTGCTTTGATGTAATTCAGCTTCACGTACTGGTAAATCCTAAAATGAAAACAGAAAGGCAAAATAACACATTTCATTAAAAATGATGTTCTTGTCAGGTTCTGGAAAAGTGTGTCTGCCACGTAGAGTGGATCTGCTACCTTTCTAACTTGACTTGATCCATAATGGCTTCCTCAGAGTTGCTCTCGGTCACCAGTGGCTCCACATCTACCTCTGCTTCGTTGCCTCCCAGGTTGTAGACACAAGTGAGGCGACCACGCTTCAGGGCCATGCCAAGGTAGTTCTGGGAAGCCTAAGAACAGCAAAGCAAATCATCCTTGCTAAGTGATTCATGTGATGATTCTCAGAGATAATATCATACTGTGAAAGAGTCACAAGAAGGCTACTCTTCTAACACACAGAGCACTGTGATCAGATTTTTATTAAGTTTATCATTTCTGTTTTGGGGAAGAAAAAATTGTAGTCCCCTGTGTTATACTGAATGTATTTATATTATTGTATCATTTTAATAATTAATAGTTAAAATAACTTCCACTTTTATAACATCTTTTAGCTAAAATCAAGAAAATGTGATACACTTAGTACAAATATAGACTAAATCCTTAGAAATAAAAAGAACATTAGGAATAACACTCTGTCAAGTACAATGGCTCCTACTGAAAAGACTAGAAACATTTATTTTCCCCCCAAAATTGTGTTTTATTTCTTCAATATACCATCTTTCCCAAGGGAAAAAATAAATCTCTATCAATAGGTATCCTGGCCAGATGTCCAGGGGAGAAAAAGGGTGAGATCCAGTATAGAGTAACTACCTTTAAATAGCTGACAATAGACATAAGCCTCACTAAAGATACAAGACACAAAAATACATGGTTAGGCATTGGCAGGAAAAATTTGAGATGTTCATTAGTGCTTGTGTAAGTAGGAATGCACAAACAAGTCTATGTTATTCTGCATATTCAGGAGAGGCAGAAATGAAGTGAGGGACTAAGCCTTACAATGAAAAAGTCATTTTTTCTTTTTTTTCAATTTTCAGCTAATACAGAAACACACAGTTCCTTTTATTATTACAACAAAGACCTGAAACAAGAGTTGAACTGAGTGAGTGTGTGCTGAATGCTGAAGAAACACACCGTTATGACAAGAACATAGGATGACATCCATAACTGAGGAGTAAGTTCTGAAGCACTGAAACAAAAAGCTAGCTAAGAGAAAAATAGTTATTCACCCAACAAGTTACCTTGCCAGTGGAGGAATGAACTGCTCTTAGCAAAATACTTCTTCCACAACATAATGGCTATTATAAAAAGCTTAGGCTAATGGTAGCTACAATCTTCAAATAAAATAAATTGCGTCTCATTTATATCTCAAAGCATGTTGCTTGTTTTAAAAGTTGTATTTGGTTGCAAAATATACCTACATCTTTATTACCCAGGTACAGGACAAACATATTTGGTGCCCTCTGGAGGACATCCGATCTTTTCTGAGGTCTTTGGAGAAACAAAGACAGGGAGGTGTAGCCTCTCAAATCTTCAAGGTTCCTTGGAGGTCGAACTTCTACCCCAGAGCTGCCATTGAACCTCATAGGAATAGCAACCTATTAAGGAAAAATAAATCAAATAAGTGAAGAGTAGCTGTTGCAGGTATTTCTGCTTATCTCACTGTTGCATGAATGATGGCTCTGTTCCTAACAAATAATAGAACTAGGAATCAGGATGGATAAAACAGTATTATCAACACTTATCACTTACACAGCACTTCGTTTCTTCAGCATTTGGTAATCGATCCTTACCACACCTGTGTCAGGTAACTGTTACCCTCACTGTACACCCAGGGCAGGATGTGCCTGGCAGCTCTGAGGAGCAGCCTACAAACATCTTGCATGTCTATTTACACACCTCCATGCCCCACTGAGCTGGGCTTGACTGTTAGAAATTAAACTGCACCACTATCAATAAAGACATCTTCTATTATAGCTACTTACACCAGGGTCACAGACTCATATTATTCATTGTAAGGACACTGCGTTACTTGCAGTTACCTCAGGGACACTCCTGCTGCCACCCGAGACCAATATCCCTTGAGCTCAAATGGAAAAAGAGCATTTGAACAAGAATATTTTAGCAGCTGGATTCTAATGTAGTGAGGCACCTAGAGACACAAGAGCCAGCAGCACAAGCTTGTGCAGCTTCTTAGGATGTGCCAGCGCTCCCCGAACCACGCGCTGGTGGAGAACCTGCCTCCGAGCTACAGAGCTGACTCTGCCCCTGCTGGGGGGTCACCACAAGAAAAAGGAAAGGAAAGTCACCACAATGTATTTTGGAAGGAAAGGTACTATGTACAAATAGGGATTTAAGAGACGATCTGTGGAAAAAAAAACTACAAAACAAAGGAAGGAAGCCGTATCCACCGTATCCACCAATCTGTTATGTATGGATTATTATGTTTCCTATCCTCATAGGTGTTCTAGGTGCTGGGTGATGCTATTGGGTTGAATGTATGTCCTTTCATGCACATTTTAATAACATGATTTAGAAAGAGGCATTTATAAAGGACTGCTATGTACCCATACCACTGAGGTCAACCATGACAGCACAGTTCAGGACAGTGTTCAGGACAGACCTTGTTTGCAGCATCTCTTGCCTGCTGAATAAGCTCTCTTATGCGATTGACATTCTCAGAGATGTTGTTTAGTGGCATTAGCTGTTGGTTAATGCTCTCAATCTTGCTGAATAGATCTGGAAGTGTGTTTGTCAATATTGTTACTGAAATGAAAGAAAGAACATAATTCGGTGTAAAAAGGAGGAGGAAAATGCATGCAAAATTTGAGACATGATTCCATGGTTATCATAAAAGGGATGACTGCAGAACTGTTTTTATTAGTCCCACAATACTATGGATTTCCCATTGAAACTAGTAGTTTAACAGTAGCTATTATATTCCTGGAATATGTGAATAAAGGTATTTGTGGAAGCAGACAAAACTAGCAGTTTCAAAAAGGGTCACAAAAGGTCCCACAAATAGCTACTAAATAAGGGAGACATGAATGTTTCCTTTAAAAGTATTATCAGACCTGAAACCAGACCTAATATTTAGATAAATAAAACAGCAGAGATGATTCATGATAGGCAACAACACGCCTGCTAGCTGTTACAATTATCTTCTTTATTCAAAACGTTTTATCTTTCTTGAACTTATCATATACAGTTACTAAAAAGATGAAAAAAGATCCCTGTAAGTGGTTTGGCTTTGTGATTGCCCCTTGTTCTTTATTTTATGTGGTCTTTGTATACAATTGATGCTAAGAGTGGAATCCACTTCATTTCAGCTGACAACCTAATCATCTAGGTCTTTGCTGTTGTCAGTGTACTAGGAAATAAGCTCTCAGAGGCAAATCATGATATTAGATGTAAACTCATATCTCAGCATGGCCTGAATTACCTTCTGCAGTGCCTGTCTCTTTCCACTGGCAATAAAGGAAGCTCAGCTAATCAGAATAGGCTCCATGCCTAACTTGTGGATGACTAAAAAAAAAAAAAGTCAGAGAGTGAGCACTTGCAATAGCACTTGCAAGACCCACCTGAATTGTTTGCCTCCGTCAACATTTTCCTGAAGTCAGCACTCTGGGTGCTTCCATAGGTACCCTTCATTTTTTCCACATCTGCTTGAATTGGGAGCAGTTCACTCAATACATTAGTCGTGACATCCTTGGCGCTTTTTATCATGCTCTTTGCATCAGTGATTTTGCTGTCGATATCATCTGAAACGCACACAAAGGCATGTGCAGATTCAAGTGGGGACAGGTGAATGAGACACAGCAAAAGTGAGCAAAACTAAGTAACTGACCTCTGCTTATGCCATTGAGATTATTTTGAAGAGTGACAAGATCAATTTTTAGTTCATCCTTCTGTCCGTCAACAACACCGACTCGTCGATTTATGTCTTCAAGGTTTGGACCAATAACTGCAAAACAGTAAATCTGCCTTAAGAGTTTTATATAGAAATGCCACCTGTCCGATGGACAGATGGTGTGGTAGCATCAGCCTGCACAGCTGAACAGATCTTGCATTGCCACTGGGCTCTGAATGCACTGCACAAAACCAGTGCAAGGCTTGGAAGTTTTGCTCAAGAGGAATGCTGCGAAAGGAGAGAAGAGGGAACAGCTGGGCACATCACAATCCCAAAGAGAGCAGAGGTAAGAGATCTACCTCCTCGTCATCGAGAACAACTATCATGACAGTTTCCATCTTAATGACACTATCTTTGTCTGCCTAAATATGCGCAGAAATGCTCGGCCGAACTGTGCAAAAACTGCATCATTTCATGACAATTTCTAATATTGTGCCACCATCTCTATTACTGTTTTATTTCTGGGTACCTTTCAAGGTCCTTTCAGTCTCCTGTGCTTGATTCAAGAGCGCACTGCTGTCAGCTTTTAACCTTGCAGCTTTTCCTGATAGGTCTTCTCTCTTCACTGTCTGGTAATAGAACCATTGTACTGTAAGTTTGTTTTAATAATTATACTGAAATCTTAAAGAATAACAAAAGATTTTCCAATCCAGTTTAAAAAATAAATACACAGGGGCTGAGATTTCATGTAAAGAACAAGACCCTCCAACTACAATTACCCAGATTAACCTAGGCGTAACGCAGCCCTAGTCTTCCAGGAAGTTCGGGCAGCACTTCGGGCGTTAGACAGTGATTACAGAATTACAGCTGTTTGTTAGACACTACTCTCCTGCTGGAAAACTCAGGGGCATTTCTAGAGCGAAGTAAAGGAGAAGAGCTGAAACCACCTTCAGTGATTACCAGTGCTGGTTCACATAGGATGGATGAGGAGTATTCACGTGGACAGCCTCATCAGGGAGGCAGGAACGAGCCTCCCTAATGCTCAAGCAGCACGAATATAGGAATATGCAACATAGCAACTTCCTCATATAATGGCCACAGACAAATAAGGCATGCTAAAACACACAGCTCTCTCATTTTCATGCCCCTCTGATAGCATACAATATTTTACCTAGCTGAAACAAGCTTACCACCACCTGGCTACTCATGGGGACTTACCGACAGAGCCGAGTCAGCTGCACTCCCAGCTCTGCTGGCCGCCTCCTCCGCCGCCTTGATGGCATTAATAATGTTGTCGTAGGCAGTCGAGGCTTCCACAGCACAGCTCACCAACTCATCCTGCCTGGCGTTGTTCTTTATTCTGCAGGGAACAGGGTGAAAAATGCAGCCTTCTGCAAAGGCCGCAGACTTTGGGAAGCATACTGAACAGACCTGAACTCAGGAATTTTTAAATCAATAGCAATACAGAAAATGTTTATTCACTTAGCTCTTTTATTTCATTCTGCCAAAATGTCAAACCTAGAAGTGGACCAGTAAGAAAAGATTCTTTATAAGACAGACAAGTTCAGGTACTTGGCAAGATATCAATACAGATATCGAAAGTACTCTCTAAGTGGCTAAAATAGTGAGACTCAGGGTCAGTGAACCATCTCCATCCCAGCCCTCAAAATACTGCTCAGTTCAGAGGAGCAGTGCAGAGCACTACAGCTCCCAGGTAACTTCTGGCTGCTCCAGCAGTCTCCAGAAGTGGCTGCTGATGGAGCACAAGACAGAGCAACGCTGAGACCACTTGTTCTTGCTGCAACAATCAGTGTGATAGCTTTGAAAAAGGAAAAAATAGAGCAAATATCTTGCACCCGTTCCACCTGAGATATGCAGCCGCCCTGCATTAGCTACTTTGTGTGAATGCTATCTTGTTAATTGAAACAGTCACACTGAAAACTATCAAAAAGACATTTTTTTACTAAGAACTTCCCAGCTAAATTTTGTCTTTTAAATTTAATTTAACTTTGAGCTGGTATATGCAGCTCATATAATGACAAAGTGTAAGCAACTTGCACAGAGGAAAATTAGGGTTCTGGTTTTTTGTTTCTTCCCAATATACCGTAAAAGGCCTTCAAAACCTCACTCATACTTCCAAGGTAAAGTACAAATAATGGAGAAAGAAAACTTGAGTCTGAATCATATAAGAGTCATAAGTTTTTTCCTGTCTTTGCCTTTCCAGAAGATTCCTTGAAGGATGACAAAACTATGGAAATTCATCAACTCATTAAATGCTAATCAGGCATGTTTGAAGACTGCCAAGATAACATTTGTTCCAGTTATTGGTCTCAATTCATTCCCATCATAAAGGCAGGAGTACAACTGAAGCAACACTAAATAAACAAACAAAAGAAGCAAAACACTAAACATCCCTGCATGAGGATTTTCTCTCTTCATGCCATGTTGCTGTAGTGCAGTAATGTATAGTTCTTGAGCCCAAGCAGTTCCCAAGAAAAATACAAGAAAAAGATCAGGAAAAATAGGTAAAATAGAGAAAGACACGTTTCTGCAAAAACAAAGCTTGCAAGAAATTACCAGGTATCATGAAGAGACAGAAAAAGGTAAAACCAGATTTTTTTCTGGCTTTGCACTTGGTCATAAAAATAAGTGAAGTTACAGACATTGCAATTTTGGATGCTATGTACAAAAATTGCTTCTTTACAAGAAGGCTAACATACTCATCCAGTTGTTTTGCCAAGGCTTGCAGAGATTTGGCATGCTCCTCAGCCCTCACCACCAGAGGTTCTTTGCTGGCTGATAAGGAACCATTTGTCAACTTTTCGTTCAGATCCTTCCTTGCTCCATCAAGCTGAGCAGCCAGACTTTCATATTCCTATGGGTTTATGAAGATAAAATTTAATCTGTATTCATACATGCTTGATTTTGTCCTTGTCACCGCTAGTGTGACATATACCTTGCCCCAGAGAAGTTCAAGGGAAAACCAACCTTTTACAACATACTCTGGAGTTTGTTATAAATAACTGCTAGTGGTTACATTCTGCTTTTAAGTCTGTTATGTAAAAACATGAAAACTGCTATACTGAGTAAGACCAAGAGTCTTTCTAGCACAGCGCCTGGCTTGTAACAGCGGCTAAAGGCAAAAGCCTAGAGAGATGCACAAGCACCATGACATAACAGTATTTCTCCAGCTACCTTCCCAAGCTTCTGTGGCTCAGTGTCTTCCTCAGACACACAAAAACCCTCTCTTCTAAGAACTTGCCCAGGCAGGCTCCTCAGAGCCTGAAATCCCTCCCTTCCTTCCCCCCTTCTTGTGTGGCTCAGATAGCCTCATGTTCTAGACATGGATATGTGCTGCCCTTTACACTGATAGCAGGCAATTTTCTTTTTAATTGTAACTTAAACGAGTTAATTTTACCTCTTTGCTCTTCTGCAATAACCCAAGTACACTGCTTGCTTGTGTCAAGGAAGTTTGGGCAGAGCTCAAAATATCCAAGATATTGCTCTGCTGTGCATTTGTCTCATCCATCCGTTTCTGAGGAAAAACACAGAGTTGAATAATATGACTGGCTCAAAAATGAGGAACAGGGAAAATCATACCTTGCAGAAGGATTTCTCAAAGATATTTTTACTATGGTAATCAGGTAGCTATAGTGTTTAGGATCTAATGCCAAATTAATGATGATAAGAGTTAGAAAACTCAGGAATTTGCAGTAGTCACAGCAGAGCACCTCAAGACAGCTGAGGAGCAGGCGACAGAAGTTCTGTTATTAATGCTCAGACAATGGAAAAGTAAAACCAGTCAGCTCTAATGGACACATCATCTAAGTCTCTCTCCTCTCAGATTTGAAATCTATATCAGCAGTTCCCTGGTGATTACTTCTCTTTCTCAGAGGCAGAAATCATATCTTTATATGATCCCTTGCAGTGAGAATCTCACCAGTAAGGCAGTGTGTGAAGCCTTCCCATCGTAACCTCTTAAAAAAGACTTGGAGGGGGAAACAAATGAAATCTCTTGGTCTAGAGCAACCCTATGGCAGTTACACTGTTGCTCTGAGATGGCGGCACAATATGACCTCAACCAGACAAGTTTTATGGGTAGATAAGCCAGTGTTCATCCTTTTCCATGGGTTTCCCTCACTGTAACATGTCCAATCTCTAACAGAGCAGTGTATCAGCATATTTGTGACACGTACAGATGCATCCATCTTTTAAGAAAATTATCCTTAATGTGACCCACATGTGGTACTGTCCATGCACATAAAGGTACGACTTAACTATTAAAGGCAAAACTGAATGTAGAAATTACTTTGTCAAACAGTTCTGGCAAACCAGAGAACTGGAGTGTTGTAAAGCAGTGGTATATTTCATCAAAGATCCAATTCACTTAAAAGGATAGATCCTGCAGCACTCTGGTATTTCTTACATTATTAAAAAATAATAATAATAATAATAAAACCTCTAAAAATTAAGCAGGGTCCAAGAATGACAGCTTTTCTTTTCACCTTTCTGATGACAACTTAGAAGCAGTTATGTAGACTATTAACCCCCAAATACTTTAACAGTATTACATGCTATTGTTCTCATTATTCATGTCTTTAAAACCAAATATTTTAAGGACATTATTACAAGAACTATACCAGAATTAGGAATTTCATCTAAAACAGGAGAAAAAATGGCTAGTTACAGCTGAAGAGAATGGATAGGCAGAGACTTTTCTTCCTGTCTCTCATCACATCTACATCCTTTTCATACTGTCCTAATAACTAAAACTGCTACCCTTAGAGTAGACTACATTTATATCTGGCTGTATGTGGAATCACAGAGACTTCAGAGAAAGTTTAAAGAATTTATGCCACTTGGCTTTGTAAGGCCAAAAGCAGCAATAAAAACACTCCCTATCTCTGGAGATTTAATCTCCCAAACTTCCAGTGCTGTTACCTTAATGTCTTCCAGCAGAACTCCGTTATCTCTGTTCATATTTTCAGCCTGCTTGACTTGTCCAGTGGCCTCATTCAGAGCTTCACGAAGATCAGTGAGTTTGGACTCATACTCATTCAATGAATCCCTCACAATTTTAACGAGCCCATGATTTTCTTGGTGGTACTTCTGTAGTTCATTCTTAACATGTGCCAGTACTGCAGTATTGGAACCAGAAAGAAAGGCTTTGTTCAAAAAGGGGAACCAAAGCAAACCTCCTTCAATAAGGCTTAACATTTAGGATTAGAAGCAGTGGTGGTGTGACTAAGCATCCTTTGCATCACTACAGCATCACTAATACTATAGCAGAGATGTTATTCTGGCCAGAATTCACTCACCAAACTGCTGCTGCAGACAAGGAGCATACTCCTCCAGGAAAATATTTATTTGGCAAATTTTAAATTAAACAGGAATGAAGATGATCTTCTAGATCTTTTTTAAGAGGAAACTAACAGTTTCATTCAGAAGAAACTAACACCATTTTCATCTACAATGTAGACACCTACACTAAAGCTTCCTCTGCCATCAGCAGAGATACACATGTACTTCCAGGTCACATTTCATCTCACTCGGGGTAGAAGCCTAAACCAGGTAAAGTGAATCACATTCTTTAAAAGTGTCCATCTTGCTGCCTACACACAGGATACAGAAGAGTTGCTGAGAGGTACATACCAAAATTCAAAACTGAGGAAAACAAATTTCACTCATAAGGTCCTTCACACTTCCCAACTCTGCCCCTGCATGGGAGAGGCCTGTGACCCTGCTGCCCTTGTTGTCTCTGCTCTGCACAACCAGGTTACTGGCTGTCCCAGCAAACACACACACAGAACATAAAATGGAGCATGAAGAAAACATCTGCACTTCCTCATCCTTTTATGACATGACCCTTCTACTACTCTAATGGCTTCTTAATATGGGACTTTGAATCACACGTGTAATTTTTCTAAAATATCTCACATATTATAACACACAGAAGCCCTGGGTAAATATATATGATCAGCTACATTTTTAGTGATATTTCTGTATTATTAAAGAGGACTGTACTGGGTTTCTTTCTCAGTGTATTTCACAACAAAATAAAAAGGCCTTTAAATCCCCTACAAAATGATCACTTTGTTTTTGACTAATCATTACTACAAACCCAGCAATACATTTCAAAATATTCCTCCTTGCACTCCATCCCAAACAGCCAATAATGGTTCAGATTTAAGACTGATCTTTCTAAAGAGCCAAAAGAAGCAGCTGGGAGAAGAAGCGCTTACACAGCTGAGCTTCTCTTCTTTCCTGCTCTGCATCTGTTTGCAGTTGGCCAAAGTTGCGGTTTCGCATCTCTGTCATCATTCGCTGAGCATCAGCCAGTTCTTTGGCAGCATCCCCCAGGGGCAAATTGTTACCTTCTGCATCTGTACCAGCTATTTGTTCCAAGAGCACTGAAAAAAAGAAGTCAAAGGAAGTAAAACAGAGGATGCACTTAAGCCTATGCAACAGACACAAAGCTGCTCTCCTTTATGAAAAAGGCATGTCTGTTCCTGAATTCATTAATGAATTTTGGGTTATTTACACAAATGGGAAAAGTACCTTGTGTCACTCTGTCCAAAATTATCAAACTCCCAGCAATAATTTTAAGCATCTAATTTAAGATACCCTATACTAGCAATCCAGGCTAAAGTCCGGACAGTGAAACACATCTTCTAAACTGCCCTCTGAAAAAACTTCTCTGTCCCTATTCACTATATAGAATATATAATAGAATATATTCACTATATTAAGAGTGAATTATATTTATTTATTATATTTAAGAGTGAACTTCACAACTATGTCAAACTTTTTTATTTTATGAAGCTGTTTTCCAAAAAAAAAAATCTCATGATTTGTTTGGGAATATTTAAGTAGACTGTAAAACAAAACATACTGGAAATCTTTGGAACCGTTTTACCTTGTATATTACTGACAACTATTTGTATTCTTGAAATCAAATCCTTTCCTTTCTGATTAGTTTCACCAAAACTATTGAATAATCTTTCTGCTGTTTTGTAGTTCATTTCAGCCTAGCAAGAGAAGAAAAAAAGGAATTGCATTAAAGATACCTGGATACAACAAATTAATATGCAGTTAAGAGAAGCTTACTTTTTAATTAATTTAGCAAGTCACCTTTTCTTGGAGAGCATTTACATCACGATTTAGGTTAATGAAGTCTGTCTCCATCTCATCCACCTTTGAACCTTGATTACGAACAACAGAACGGTAATTGTTCAATAAAACCTGAAACAGAAGTAAAAAGAGTTTCAATAAATCACCCAGACACAGGAGATAATGAGAAAAAAGTCACCAGCTTAGGTCTTTACCCTAAGTAATTAAAGACAACGTTACTAACTTTATAGCTGACCATCTTACCAGCTGGCCCTTTGTTTCTCTAAGTCCAGCAAGTGCTGTTCCAACTAAGGAAAATTCATTTAGAGTGTAATGTTTGCAGTAATGCAGAGGCATGAAGTGCTGAAAAAAATAGGGCTATGGGGACATGGAGCTTTCATGTTCAGTAGGCCTAAGAAAAAGCAGAGATGCTCATTGCCCTTCAGAGCACAAGATGGAACTAATAACTTTCTGCCAACAGGTGGAGCCCAGTACTGTCAAGATTCGGTACTTGAAACTGAACATTCATCTAATGTCTGCGGGCTGACCAAAATGGCACAAATTCCCAGGTTCAGCTTTTGCAGGCTTCATGTGCAGCCAGTGCAAGTCTGCTCTTTCTGTGTGTATGTACCTTTAAGTCCTTGATGCGTGTCTCCAAGCCTCTCATCTGCTCCAGTGTGTGGGAACTCGCATGGACGTTTTGCAGCTGAGACTTAATCAGCTGAAGCTCATCACCTATTGTGCTCAAATCCTTCAGCAGTGTAATTACACAGCTATCACAGGCTGCAAGCAGAAAGCACAAAGGAAAACAATACATATTGCTGAGATTTTGCAGAGAACATTTCTCTGAGCGCATTAAGAAATAAGATGCAATGGAAACTTTCTGATGCTTGTTACCTTGTGCTACCTGAAGAACAAAGGTAACAACACAGTCCATAGTATGAAGGTGAGGGACCAAACCCAGAGGTAAGAAGGAGGCCCCACCTACATTTGGCTAAATGGCCTTTTTCATCATATTTCCCAAGTGTTTGCTTGACTGTTTGCTTTTTAAAGATTCACTGCAGGATACCACCACCTCTTTTTAAAGTCTGCCATCTTTAAACAGTCATCAGTATATATCCATAGCCAGGAATCAGCAATCTAAGTGCAATTCTATTTTATTACTTACAGTCACAATCTTCATCGGGATCCACATCTTTTGGTTCATTATTTAAGCATTCTGAAATCAGAAAACTATCATCAGTAACTAAGATTTTCTTATGGAAATGTTACTATTGCACATTTACACTCTCCCTCCATGGCTGGCAGCCATGAAAACACTGTGTAGCCCTTTCATAAATCCATAATCAAGGTGAACGAGCTAGAGTGTCCAGAAGAGTTAAGAGCGCTGAGTTCAGCTGCCTCTTGCTCCTTGCTGAGATCTACATCTTACTCATCCTTCCAAAGCTGACTGCTGCCTCGTAACACGTCACTTGTGTAGCAGCAGGAGGCTCTCTGGCAACAAGGCTGCTGAATCCAGTCCATTCTGCCACAAATAATAACACCATGATTGAAGCCCAGGCTGTACAGCCTACCAGTTAAAGCATTTACCCAGGACATAGTTTCAAACCCTTTATCTACCTCACCATCTACATTCAAACCACAGATTCTTATTCCCAAAAGGATTCTAACCCACAGGGTACTGAGAAATGTTCATGGCTTTCTTTCATAGCTGCTCCAGGTTGCATGGTTAAGAGATGAGTGGGGCTTGAGGGAAGCACAGAGTGTGTCCACGGCACTGTCTGTAACCTCAAGCACAGAGCTTGGCCCTCAGATACTGGTAGTACATAGGAGGTAGAGATGCTGCCATCAGACTTGCCAACAAGCTGGCCCAAGGACTGCCTCTCCCGCATGCCCTGCTCTTACAAAACCTGGTGCAAGAAGGTTAGCAGGAAGTCTCCAGGAATTTGCACAATTCTTACCCTGAATTCTAACTTTTAGGAGGCAGGAGAGGAGCTGGCTCCTAAAAATATCATCATATAGGACAGGAATCTCCCCATCTTTATACCTAGGTGCCTGTTACAGATTTGGCTACTGAAAAATTCACGGGGCTGCCATCACCTGTTGCAAATGAAAAGGACTGCGCAAGTCTTTTCCTTCAGAGGATGCACTTAGGATCTAGCAGCCTTTGCTGCTGCTGTCAAGAGTCAACAACAGCTTGCAATTGTGAGAGGCTACAGTGATAAAATTAGACCTGAACTTTAACAGTAGCGTGAAACAGCCTGGAACAGGCCGCCTAGCTGTGCCATTTCCTTTGGCACTTGCCCATTAAGTCATCAGCACTGATAGCGAGCATTCCTGCCAAAAGAAGAAAAGTCACAAAGGACCTATTTGTAGGAGGAAGATGGAAATTATTTTGAAAGCAAATGCACATGCAGTCCTGCTGTTGTATAATTCAGCTAACACCAGATACATTTCAGCTGTGGCTATGAAGTATCAATTAAATAAAACTATTATTGCAGCTTCTGCACAAATGACATCAGCCAAGAAATGATGAAATGAACACACTCAGCCAAGTGCCAAACATCACGCACGTATAAACCTGCTAGAACATGCTGGGCTCATCACAGAAGGTTTTATTGCTAATGTAGAGAAAAAGATGGCTGATCAGAATATATTGTTGGAGGCAAACTGAAAACAAACCAGTTTGCTGAATTTTGCCCTGAGGATTAGTTTGTCCTAGCAAACTCTTTCTTCAAAAAGAAAAGAATGGTAAAACATCAAACACTGCTTGGATCTGTTCCACACAAAATATAAATGTAATAAAGAAGCGCTACTTTAATGATGAAGTGGAAAATGAGAACTAGCCTTTGAAAAATTGCATCAGGTACCAACTGCAGTTCACATCACGATCCTTAAGTCACTTGATTGTAGTCTGAACAGGAGTGCAGGGAAATGTGAAAAAGACAGGAAGTCTATTAGTCTGACACTTCACTAAAATGTGAGAAGGAAAAGCTGCCTCTGGTGAAAGAAAAGTATTTTTTCTGGAGAGCAAAAATATGGGAGAATCAAGAACAGCAGCTTGCATGTTTATGAATGAAGACTATTTCAAAGGAAGGAAGAGTAAAGATGGGCTGAGGAACACAGAATTATAGTAGATAAAGCAAACATATACCTGTGGTGTAACAGTCTTTGAAGAACTTATCTAGTAGTGGAGTATGTATATAACTGATACTGGGAAAATTAAGGAAGTCGCAGTCTGCAGATGGGTGTAGAGCAGGATTTATAAAATAGCCTCCTGAGCACCAGCTCAGATGCTTAACTTCCACTGTAAACACAGTTAGCTTAGATACCTCATACAGTGGTGCCTGACACACACTATGAAGCTGTTTGTTACTCATCTGTCTCTGATACCCTTAAAAAGGCATATTAAGGCAGCTCCATGAGGCGTGTTTCATAATCCCTAACACAGACTGACAAGACACGACAACTATTTTAGAGAAGAAACATTAATGCATTTATATATATGCCCGTGAAATAGAAAAGCGAAATATAATTGATACTGTTTAGAAAGGCAAATACATGATAAAATGCCCTGTAAGGGTGAACTCAGTGATTCAGCACAGCTCTTCCATTACTATGCTATTATATTTCACAAAACGTGCCATTTGTTAAAAAAAATGAGCTACATTTCTTTTAAGTCTAGGTCTTTTCCTTCAGTTCAGCTTATCAGAAGATCTTACTCCTTTGCTTCCTAGAGGGTGAACATGTTCACAGGCCCTTGCATACCTCCAGTCAGGTGGTCACAGCTCGCCAGCTGCCAATTGTTATTACAATTACATTTTTGACAGTAGCCTCCATATTTTTGTGGGTTTCCAAAATATCCAGGAGCACAGCTAGATAGAAGAGACACAAATATTGTTTTATTAAGTATTTGAACCTACTTTTGTCAAATATACTTTCACACAACAAAAAAACAATTCTCCCTCCGAAGAAACTGTCAAGTAATAATTTCATTTCTTGACTTAGACAAAAATCATCTATTTTTGGCCTACAGTATACTCTGCACTCCATTAAAAATCTCAATCCAAGTGCTATAGAAAATGTTTCTAAAAATAAAAGAACTCCCACAGTGTTCATCTAAAAATAATTCACTTGGTCTATAAAAACACACAGGCACAAAAACACCTACTTAAAGAGAGTTTTGAAAGGCTTAACCTGGCATATCCTATCATTCTGTTCTGTGATCCCATCAGAATTCATGTATCCACTAGCATCATGCTGCAAGCACACACTGAGTTTTCAAAGAGCCGTGGCACTGAACACTGCCACCCTTCTGCTGGATGCTACCTCCTGCCATCTGCCAGCAACACAGCCCGCGTGAGCAGTTCCTAAATATTTTCTAGGGAAAATATATTGCCTGAATTAACTAGCTAATATATCTAAAGTTACTTTTTTGTATGATCTAAAGGGCTAAGTTGCACTCCTAAAAGATAACGTGCTACTGGAGATACTGTCTTCAGGTGAGTGACCCGTGACCTACTAGCCTCAGGTTTCCAAATCAGACAACCCCATTCCATTATCCTTAAATCCTCCAGGATTTGAAACTCAATGAAATTGCTTCCTCCTTCTGCCTGAAATTGCTACACTGCATTTCTTTTTGTATGATCTAAAGGGCTAGTAATGCATGATCAAGGGGCCACGATGAATGGCTGAGAGTGGTATTATTTTCCACTCAGAGTGGTATTATTTTCCACTGGAACTGCTAGACCTGGAAGAACAAATCACTTCATAACCTACTGCTTTTATGTCAAAGGTAACAGTCCTGAAACACTGTTAAGTTGCACTCCTAAAAGATAACGTGCTACTGGAGATACTGTCTTCAGGTGAGTGACCCGTGACCTACTAGCCTCAGGTTTCCAAATCAGACAACCCCATTCCATTATCCTTAAATCCTCCAGGATTTGAAACTCAATGAAATTGCTTCCTCCTTCTGCCTGAAATTGCTACACTGCATTTCTTTTCCTTAGCCAAACTGTTGTAATGTTCCAGCAAAGGAGAGAGCTTCAGTGTGGTGTTTGTACCCTCCATCTGCAGGGCACATGGCAATGCTCTGGGCTGAAGGGTACTGAAGTGGCTGAAGTGAAGAGTACTCAATGTTACAGGGTTGTCACTGGATAGCTAAGAACACTGAACCACCAGCAAGTACGTTAGAAGCAATGTTTTCAATTGAAAATGGGACAAAACAAGTGGAGATATTACTATTAGCAAGAGTGAAGGATAAGACACAAGACACAAGGCACATATTCAAAGTGATTGACATTTCTCTCATTGATAAAAACTGTGTAGTCAGTGAATTTCTTGTGGAGAGTTATTTACATTTATTCAGGTATGCTCAGGTCTCATCTGCAATTCCACTACAGCACCACACTACGGCAGCTATTTATACAGTTATATGCCTCCTTAAGTGTGTGCATATTTTGCATACAAACACTTGTACACATATTAAATACTACAAATCTACCTCCTTTTGTGGTGTTCTCTGGAAGATATTTGCCCTGAACTTACCGTTCACAGCGAACTCCGGTATAGCCTTCTTTGCATAGACACTGAATTTCTTCACCATTTGCCACACAGCCAGTTGCAAATCTGTAAGAAGAAACACAGATTTCATCTGAACCCATAATCAAATAGGTTTTACATTCTAGATGCTAAATTCAGTTAAATGAATTTCATATTAAAAGGCTTTTATACCAAATTATGACTGAGTTAATTTAATTGCCTCCAGATAAATTGCAGTGACTTAGTCCTTTGAAGTTTCAAATTTTCTCTCTAGGTTGTCTCCTTAGACTAAAAAATAATAATTTCCTGACCTTCCGGACAGAATGCAATAGTTCATTACACAAAGGAACGCCTAAAATAAACCTTAATAGTGATGATGTAATATAAAAGAAGCCTATGGGGCTATTTTATCTTACTAGGCAAAAATCAATAGCGCTAGACAAAGTTTCCTCTCGTTTGAATAACTCTTCGCTTATTTATGGATGGAAGCATTAGATCATATTTTTATGTAGCTAATACTCTTTTTTTTTAAGTAAGGCAGGATAGAGTTGTGCCCTACCTTAGAAAGTTCCAGGGTATATCTCATTAACACAATGAACATTTTCTCACACTCTTTTCCCCACATTCAAATCTCAGTGGGGTGGATCACCATTTTTTGCCCATTGTTTGGTGAGAAGAAGGCAGGAGGTGAAGACAAGATAGGCCACCTGTGTTACTTCCATGAATAGTCTCTCAATCACAGACAGGTACCAGAAGTCTGCACTAAGAATTATGTATAATTTGACTACCTGGAAAATTGCTGACTCCAGTAATGGAAAATACATTTCCTGTGTAATGAATGGTATATGCTAGCCTAATGTGCAGCTATGAAATGACTGCAGGTCTCACGCGCTTCCTAGATACTTCAGTGCTCTTACAGAAAAAGATGAGTAAAAATATGCTCAGCCAGCCTCAGGCAAACACCTGCAGAAGAGGCCAGTGCTGTCAAAAACAGGTCTATCAGACAGTCCTCTAATAAATGAAAAAGCTGTCTATTGTCAACGAGTGTAAATCTCTTACTTAAGGCTACCTGGGGTTTGCTCCTGCACCTGCAAGTACTATGTGGTGCCTTTAGCAATTCATAGCTTAGGATGTTTAAAACCCTCTTGGTTTTGTTTAACACACTGTGCATTTCAGAGCTGATCAATGACAATAAACAACGTGGCTCAGCATACCATTCATTTAAAATACATTTACTGCCCAGTTTTAAAAGCCTGGCAACATTGTTAGATCTGAGGAAATTTAATTTTTTCTAGCTCAGTAATATTTGCTGAGTACCATCTGCAGTTCAAATGGAGCTTCTGCCTGAAGAGACAGCACAATCTTTCAGAAATGTAGATAAGCTTATGGCCTCTAAATTATTTTTGCATCTTACTAAATTTTCTGAATTCATAGAAAAGGCTTCTGTCATCATTATGTCACCAACATCATTATGGCGACTTATCTCCTCTATGCTGAAAGAGATGTGGCTGAGTATGACGGTAGTAAACATGAGATTAAGGATAACTTACATCCTACATTTCTTCCCTTTATTTTCTGTCTGGCTTCTGAGGCCCTTTTACCATACCTGTTTGTATAAGGGCAAGGGCACGTCCGACAGGAACCTTGAGTGGCATCTCCAAAATACCCGTCCTTACAGCGCTCACACTTCTCCCCAGCAGTGTTATACTGGCAGTTCTTAAAAGAGGAAACAAGCAACACTGTTAACTGGGCCTTCCCATTCTATGTAGCTTTATTAACGTTTTAAATATTGCAGCCCATCTATTCAGACACTCTTAAGGATGTTTTTTTCCCTACTACATAACTGAGCATTTATTGCCAAACTGCCTTCATTAGCAAGATTGGTTTCTGTCATTCTCAAATTGTAGAAAGCCCATTTTGCTCACTATTGTGGAAGAACAACAGCTAAATAATCAGTATTAAATATATTTTGAAGGGACTCAGTCAGAGGCGTTGTTTGTTAGGAAAATTCCCAATCTATGTCTTGATATTTCAGTGGAACCGATTCAAAATTCACAAGATTTAAAAGTAATTTTAACTTTTGCATCTTAACACAAATTAGAAGGCAGACACAATGCAGTGAACTAAGTCCAAATACATTCTTAAAAAATCCCATGAAATTAATTCCAAAACTAATTCTCTTGGTAGATTCTGATTAAATTTGAATGCCATGCATCTTTCCCCATGTACATGTAATTTGTTTTTAATTTGCTACCTGCAATGAATAATGAAAAGTGAGTGCTGGGAAAAAAACTGTAACTGATGCAGCACAGTTTCCATGATAAAATAGCTGGAAACTATATTTTATTTTAGAAACATTCTTATTCCTGATGTTGCCTGAATGTCGCACACACCTATAAACTATGGGGGAGAGAGGTGGTGATCAAAGTGCTTTTGCTTTAGCTAGGGAGATGCTTATATAGGACAGAACTTGTTCAAATGCATTGGTGAGCAGTCACAAAGGCAAGCCCCTAGTCTCCCCTCTGTTTTCTTCCTAACTTCCATATGCAACAGAGGGACTCAGTGACCCTCAAAGCTGACTGTGTACTAACATAGTGCAAGATGTAAAGAGAGAGTGGGCTGGAAGCAGTCACCTATTTCAGGGACCTCCGATGGCTTTGAGCCATGGTTAAGAGCCCTAGCACCAGGACTCGCAGCAGGAGAGCCACTCTTCCCTTCAGTTGAGAATGATTTTTGTCCTTTACATCTCCGCTTGTACTCTATTCTTGTCCACATTTTCTCATACCAAGATTCCCTTAACAACATCAACAAACCTTCCTGCAGCCTCTGCACATAGTAACCCATAATTTGTTTTGGTTAAATTAAATTTGTGGCTTGTTTATGAAAGGCCCTGGGAATGAACAGGCAAAGCTTCAGTTCATGGTGACTATGGGCCATTTAACTATGATAAGCTAAAGAAATACAGAGTTTATAAAAGGGACTGCTTTAAAATGTAATTTTTTTTTTTTTAATGAGTGCTTTCCTGCAAAAAGCTCCTAGAAATTAATAGTACTGGGATAAACCTGAAGAAAAATATACAGCAAAAGACGCAAAAGAGATGTATTTAATACTGCCTTAAGTGAAAATATTTGTGCTGGTTGGTTGCATCCACAGAATTTATCTACTGACTTTTGTTTTGCTAAAGCCCACTCTGTCTACCAAAATAGAAGTAAATATGTGTATATATATATATATATAAACACACATATATATATATGAAGAAATTTTTCATATGAAAGATAGAACTAGAGGAAATGGCCACAAAGTGAAGCACCAGAAGTTCCACAGGAACTTAAGGAAAAATTTCTTGACAGTGAGGGTGACAGAGCACTGGAACAGGCTGCCCGGAGAGGTTGTGGAGTCTCCTTCTCTGGAGATCTTCAAAACCCACTTGGACGCAGTCCTGTGCCATGTGCTCTAGGTGACCCTGCGTGTGCAGGGGCATTGGACTAGATGATCTCTAGAGCTCCCTTCCAACCTTAATGGTTCTATGAATCTATTATTCTACTCTGCACGTGCCTTACTCCCCACTAGCTACATGGCATATAAAGAATGGAGGGCACAGGCCAGTGCTCTCAAGGCAGAGCAGAAGGAAGCCAGCACCTCCCTCATGGGTCTTTCTTCAAGTAACATCGGGCCTTGCATAAGACAAGAGAAGAGACACAGCTGGAAGTCACAGCCTTTACAAACAGCCAAATTCCAAACTCTGGAAGGAAAATCCTCACCTGACCCGCAAGGACCCATGTGGAACAGGATGCCACTACCCCATGGGTCAGGGTCACAGGGGAGATACCTACGTATATGGTGTTACATGACATGAAATACGACCTCAGAGGACGAAGAAGTCTCAGCACATGCTGCAGCAAGGGGGATGGACCTTTCAGGAGGAAAGGCAGGGACCAGAGAGACACAAAAATATTTCTGTGTTAGAAGGGCCACATCTCATCTCCTTCTCCTCCACATTCAGGAGAGCAGCCTTGCCACCCTGTCATCCCACCACCAAGCAACAGGCCTCTGCCTGAGCTGAGGAGGACTGTCCTGCTGCCACAGAGGAGAGGGTGAGGGCGAGCTGAGCAAAGCCTCCTATGGAAGCTGTAACAGCAGAGAGGCTGCTGGGGAAGGCACTGCGGGCCTGCACCCTCGGTGAGCAGGCAGCATGAGAGGCCGAACGAGCAAGCCCTGCACTCTGGGCCTGAAACGTGACTGCTCCACGGTGGGAGGTGCCTCTGCCTTCTCTGCACCCTGCAGCCATCGGTTGTGCCACGGCTCCTCTACAGAGGGACACCTCGCTCCTCATTACGCGGAGGCTCATAACGGACGTAAATGGGGCACCTTGGGTTTTCTTCTTCACTGCATTGTGCTGGATGACTTCACTCATCCCGAAGTTTGTCCCAGGGCCAAATGTTGATTTAGGGTAAAGAGAAACCCAACCTGCACATTTTGGGAGGGAAAAGTGAAATTTGTGTTTTAGGGGACTTATAGTATTCATCTGAAGTAAACCTCATCTTTACAGGTCTGTGGCAGCAGTTTCCTGTCCCGGCCTGCCCTGCCTCCCCTCAGAAGTAGAGCGTAAGTCATTCCCCAGAATAGGCTCACTTGGCTTCCAGCTTCCACCCGAGCAGCGCGTGGGTTGGGACAAAGCGGGGGCTGTTACGTAGCGCACAGGAATGCACCGCGGGCAGAGCGGATTCACAGCGAACAAGGAGGGAAGGACGCAGAAAATAAACCACTGCAAGACTTTGGCAAGGTTCTTGCTTACACAGTAAGTGAAAAATCAGTGACAAGTCTTAAGTGGGATTTTTTAGGGAACAAATAGTTTAAACAAATGTCAGCTAGAGAGCCACTGTTGCTAGTAGGGACACCAACTCTGATGAGGCTGCTTTGGATTTAATATGGTGTGTCAGGCAGCAGATTCTGCCCCACTCTATCTTCTGAAACAGCTGCAGTTTTTGAATTAATCTAACTGGTATCCCATTTATCTTAATTCTTTTAAATCCATGCAGCTGTAAGACTAAGCTGTAAGATCGATAGAGATTTACTGATGCTGATTAAAAAGATATTACTCTGCAAAGACTACACTATGCATGAATATACTGCTTGTCACAATTTATAAACCCTAACTTAGATGTATAAAACTATACTGCATATGCCATGATACGATTTCACACTTATTAAACATAACTGAAAACATTTACATACGTGCTTAATTAGGTGTCTTTTTGTACCATCAGTTAACCAAAATTATAGGGTAAAGAAGAAACACAACAAGGATACAAATAATTCTAATTGCCTACATTTATGTTACACATGGCAGTGTATGCAAAACTGGAACTTACACTCATTTATAGTACAAGATAAAAAGACTGAGGCATGCAAGGATTTTTTTTTTTGTATTCTGCTAGCAAGATGACAATATTATATAGCCCATCCAGCTTTGAGGTGAATGCTTTTTCTCTTTTTTTTTTTCCTCAAATTCATTTCCTCATTAATATTTTACTTACAATACATTTTCCAGAACCATCCAAACATCTGTTTGAATTTCCATTGCAATTGCAGGGAACACAGCGTCCAGCAAATAATCCTTTATTCTCACGATAAAATCCAGGGGCGCATTCCTAGACAAAGGCAGGGAGGAAAAAAAAAAGAAAAAGAAAGTTGATGAAAATAAGGTTTTCACAGGTTATGAGATACGAAATTGTCTGCCACTCCCAAGGAGTAACGGAGGTATACATTTCTTAACAAAGTTTTCTAAGATCATGCTACTGTTTAAATAACAAGTCAGTAATGTCAAAGAATATCAGTAAATGGCAAAGAATGGAACGGAAGCAGTTTCAGCCTAAGCATCTGAACGCTGTGCTCTACATTTTGTCATTGTAGGGATTTCATGATTTTGGCTCTGACCCATGAGCAAAACACATTTCCTATGGCTATGTACAAAGATGTAGAATATGACTTTTAAACCAAAAAGACTTGAATACAGATTCATACTAGAGTGTGCTCAAAGAATAACATAAGGAAAACTCATACATTAGCCAGTGGTTATACAAACTCTTGATAACAACCACAGTGTATTCTTTGGAAATACTTCTAATGAGATTTTTTTTGTCTGGGAATTCATCATGACTTCCAAAATAAGTCTACCTGGAGCTATATGAAGCCACACTTAGGCATAGCTAGATGATGTTACAAAACACACAGTTTTGTAGACGTACTAGACCGCTGTGAGTACAGGCTTGTCCCAGAGACAAGAGAAGAATGAGAAGAATGTTCAGCCATTGAGAGCACATGAAGAGAGACAGAGCACATCAGATCAAAGTCAACCTTAAACAGGGAGCTGAACCAGAGGAACTTTATGAATGAAGCAAGAGACATTGTTGTTCAGTTTATTAGCCTACACCAGGTAGGTAGTAGCTAGCGTGTTAAAACCAGCGTCTTGCTTGGCATAGGTGCAGAGGAAGGGAAAGTGCAGGGGACCCTTCCTGTGCATGGAGCCTGCCCACTTCCAGACCACTTCAAATGTTCATGCCCACATTCTCTGCTCAGCTTCCTCCTAGGGCTTCTGTCACCCCAACCACAACAGAAATGACCAAGCACAAGTCTATCCCTGCATGTCTTCCCCAAGCTCCCTCTCATTAGTGCAAGGAAGATCACAGGGAGCACTGGGGCAGGGAGCAAGCTGTGCTCCCATGAAGCAAATACCTCCCGGATTCTTGCCTCCAGCAAGGTAGGCCTGCACGGTGCCTGTGCATCACCAGTATATCATACTTAGAGGCTGGCCCCAATGACATTCAGAAATAGAGTGACAGTTGAACTTACTTAAAGGCCATAAATCTTTTCTCACAGCAACTGCACCACCCAGATTGATGGGAGCAATCTGAAGAGCACAGGGTTTGCAGGACGGAGCCTCAAGTCATGTTGCGGTTGGTTGAAGCATAAACATTTGTATAGGGACAGAACTAACAAGTCTAAGTATCAGCCACAGAAATACTAGAAAATCATCTCTCCCAAAGCAGATCCCAAAAGGAATATTGAGTTATTTAAATTAGATGCAAATGCCACTTTTGCCTTCTTCAAATGTGGGATAAACAAACAAAAAAACCCACAAAATACCGATATCATCAACATTTGTTTTAATATTGATTTCAGTGTGAGCAAAGACTGAATTCAGAGCATGCATCCTCTTTTGAATTTTTTTCAGATATATTTTAAAAATGGTGAATATGTCCTCTGAAAAACAAACAGTCAGTATACACTGCTTCTGGAAAAGCCAGGGCCTGAAATATATTAAAGAGCATGACTAAGTAAAATCTAGTCTTTGGTGCATGTAATTTTTATTTACTTAAGTCTTTTTTTCGTAAAGCAAAATTAAACATTATATTTAGAATTATGGATATGAGGACATATCTATACATTTTTTTTCTTTTTTCCTATTTATGCTCTCTTTAAACTTTAAACAATACATCTGGAGTACTGAAAACTTTATTTTAGAAATAATATTCTTAATATTGAAATTTATTCCCCAGGAAGGTAAAGCTCCAGGCACCTTGAAGTGCTTACAAGTTCAGGCTGACTGTTTTTAAGTAAACAGTAACTTAAAGTTTTTGCACATACGTTCATTAGCTAAATGATTAGAGATATAAGATTAGCTGCCTGATTACTCCTACATTAAATAATGTATAAGTTGTTATAAAATCAGTCCATTAAAAAAAGGGGGGGGGAGGGGAAGAAGGAGGCAAGCAAGGAGGAAAAAATGAATAAATTACCTGTCTCAGGTTAAAATCCCTTTGAACTTGTTGCTGGTGACTTCCCCTCTGAAGTTGAGGAAATGATAGTTTTTGTTGCATGTCTTGCACGAAACAGTGCCCTATGGCTACTGAAGTGACAAGCAGCCACCCTGCAGTGTTTAGCCTGTGTGTTTTGGCCGTCATTTTACTTCAGCTCACCGGTTAACACGCGCTGGACTTTCAGTATTCAAATGTTCTTCTCTTATATGCTCCCTTATTCTTCAGCTTCTGACTCAGATTAATGAGGCTCTGTGCTGTGATGAGCCCCACCTTTAAACTTTCTACGTGAGTCAAGTCGTACAGCGCACATTGCAGTTCCTGAGGTTAACAAATAACTCTGCGAGGCCTCTAGCTCCATATATACCTACCTTAAGGTGTGGCAGGCATCACCTTCTCCCCACCTAACGCAATCAGACAGAGCTAGATGATTAGAGTAGTAAATCATGGAATGAGTAACGCTGCACAAACATACAGCGTGTAGGAACTACACAGCTTTGGGTCTTGATCATTTCCTCTGGGCTACATTTTTTTCACCAGTACATGTAAAAGTACCCCTTGCCATATAAAGGCAGTATGTTGCAAGCAATGCGATGGAAGTAGGAATTTCAGAAAATATTCATCAATTTGCATGTGGCACAGAATCAAATGTATGAAAAAATAATTTCTATAAGTATTTCCAAAATGATGTTCAGCAGATGATGTACAATTCCTGAGTAGTGGACATACATAAATTCAAGTGTAAATGTCAGTTTGATCAGTGGCTCTGCAGCTGCTCTGGTCTAGATATTAGCCTTCTGTTCTCTTTTCAAGAATGTTTTCAAGGTTAACACATTTATTGCTGCTTTATGGGAACCTTCAACCATTTTCGCAAGCAATAATGCCTTATATTTTGTGCACTCTGTACACTACTTATCTCTCCACTACTTTTTATGTTACCTTGGGTATTAATTCATGAGAAGAGTTAAGATCTAAGCTAAGCAAAATGACAGCCAAAAGATTTACAGCCTCAGAAACAACTGGCTGGGGCAGGATATTTTACAGAGGCTAGGATTTCACCACTCTCCAGGTGATAGTATTATTCTGCAATTTTCACATTATCTTAGACAAAAAAAATCTCCAAATATTCTGCAGATATGGACAACTTAAGCTTTAAAATGTTTTTTTATAAAAATAGGAATATGGTAGGCACCCCAACAGACTAGGAAAGTTCCCAGCATTATCGAGGCTCAGGTTCTTTCCTTTGGACCTTCTTATGCATTTCCCTACTACATATGGAGCTAATTGTTATCAAGAACTTTCTCCTCATGTAAGGTCTCAGAGGCTCTGATTAAGTCAACTCTGACCTTCTCTACATTAAAGTACTACTGAGATTCTTCAGTCTTCCATTGGGCAGCAGAGAACTCCTCAGGATAGAGTATGTATAATGTATACCGTATATTGCATTATACATTGTATATTACATTTACAGTTCCTAAATGCAATCAAGAGTTGAATATCTCTAAAGAGCTACTTAGCCTGTGAAAGTGAAGCATCAGAAGCACTCACACTCAGAAGAAGCCTATTTAAGTATTTTAGTAACTATTTGCTTTCTCTAATTCAACCAGTATGTATAGCTGCAGGCAAGACAGAAGATAATGGTACAGTATGGAGGCAAACATGTCCTACCTGACATGAGTCACCAGCATACTCAGGAGGGCAGGAACACGTCTCCACAGTGAAGGCAGTGCTGCCACTTCCTGTGCTGGTGGCTTCCTCCAGCCCAACCTCACCAAGGGTTAATCGCTGAGTCTCCGTGAAGTAAAGGCCTCTGATGTGTAAGTCATCTAGTCTAGACAGGATCACCAGCAGTTCTTCCCTGGATACAGGCTTATTGCTGTTGGAATGTCTGAAGTTTCCCTGCACATGAAGGATACAAAATGAGCACAGTCCTGCAGCTTCTTCAAAAAGAGTATCTGCAGAGGTGGCAGAAAATAGAAAAAAAATCGCAGATAAACCCCCATAGCCCCCAGAACAGGTGTGGGGAAAAAAAAAAAAAAAGAACGAATAATGACCATATGAAAGGATGTATTCTGTATTTCACATATTTATTAGCAAATGATAGTATATGTCAATTCCTAGCAAACTACAAAGCACCTGAGACAGATGTCTAGAATCTATTGGTATGTGCTGTAGAAAGCGGTACAGACATAAGGAAAGATAATTAAGAAATAATTCAATAGTCAGTGAAAACAGATAGATTCTTTCTCAGTCAGCAAATTTCTTTGAGAGATCATCAACAAATCAAAAGAGGCAGAGGAAAAATATTTTCTTCTTAAGATTAAGCAAAGTCCTAAAAATCTAATCTTGCAGAACTGCCTTCACACAACCTAACTGAAACTGGCATTTGTCTTGAAAAAACATTATCTTTTTTGCCTGTATGTGGGATGGAACTACCCAAGTTTGATTCTCTGAGCAGAGACTTAGGGTAGGAAATGCTAACTTCATCTGTTTAAATGTTGGACATCCACTCTAAGTACCTGGACTCCTGTTAGGGTAAGAGGAGGAAAAGAGATAACAATTCATTCCACCTCTATTAAGTACACGTCTGGGGCTGGGATGAATCATCTTTTATTGATCACTGAGTCAGTATTACTCCACTGACTCCAAAAGGAGAGCTAAAGACTAGACTGGACATGAGGCATAATTTAAAGGCTAAAAATAGGTGGCATGAATCAGAACCCTGGTTCAATGTGGCAGTAAAGAGAAAATATATATATATTATATTTAAAATTCACAGTATTCAAGAAATTTTTATTCATTAACACTATCAAGTATTTGCTATTTCCGCACAGATTAATGGCATTTTTATGTACCTCAGAGAAGAAAAAGGAAAGCATGTGAAATGGTCTCTTATTGATGAGGAAAGTTGAGCCAATTACATTTTAATTTCTTACCTCAACTAGCTGCACACGGCCATAATATTGACGGTCAGGCAGTGGGTTGTTAGGATCCACATAAACTATTTTCATTTGCTGGCCCTGTGTGAGAATGAGGATATAACATCACCATTTCACTGCTTTTTGTGATAAAGTGTTCAGATGTTGGTGAAGCACATTAATCTTGTCATTTGGAGGACAAGAATCAAGTAATACCAGTAAAACTGTCAGTTTGTCAGCAAGGTAACATAGCAAGCACTGTGTTCTAGTGTCAACAGGTTTTTCCCTGCTTTGCCTATTAACCTCCATGCTTTCAGATAAAACACTGAGATAATAAAATTAATGCTTGCCATATTTTACAGGAACTAGTTATGATTTCTGTTTTGCCTTTGCAAAGTCTCTTTTGCTGCCATTACCTTCTTTTTAAAAAAGCAGCGACCTCCTGTTACATCTTTGGAGTTTGAGTGTTATATTTTTGTTAGTATAAAAAGGGAAGTAAAACAAAATTGGACTGATCAATGCTCTTTGACCCTGATGCACAAACAAGTGGGATACTACAGGAATACTTCATGAAACATTTTCCAGTGAGAATCCTAAAAGACTGAATTAATATTTCCAATGGCCTGAAGCCACTTAGTTGGCACTTTAAACAAAGAACTGAGGTTCCAATTTTGGCCTTCATCTAGCTAAATTAGAAAGCAGTTAACCTAAAATGCATTTTTACTTCAGTCCATCAAAGGCTTATAATTACACTTAATTTTATCCTGAAAAACAATCTCACAGAGAATGAGATTAATTACACACAGAATTCAGGACATATTTTGCAAAGTCAAGGCTATACTTGCTGACAAGTGTGACTTCATTATTTTTTTTTCCCCCCACAGGTGTGATTTATACAGAAAACTCTATTTTATCTTTTTATTTGCTCTCAGGTCAGTTATGATTAATAATATGTTTCTCTGGCAACAGAGATAAGTGTGTTGATGGCTTTGAGCAAAACACAATAAAATCACTTTATAGAAATGTAACATGTTGCTGTAAAAGTCAGGCACACTACGGCAGTAAAATTGCCATAACTGTAGGGTAACAGAAAAAGTCATGGTACTGGTATTGCTTGGAAGAAAAAACTAATAGTACAAAACTTACTGTCAGTTCTATATCAGGTCTCTTATCCAGAAGAACCATGCCTTCACTAGGTAAACCAAATGATTTCATCTGGTAGCTTAGGTAGCCCCCATATGAAGAAAGCTGTAGTAAAACACACAAGAATAGAAATACTTAACTGCACTATTGGTCAATATTAATAAGGTTTTGTATTCAAGGTTACTCATTCATCCAGCATTTTTTTTATACCTGGGATTGTGTCATCTATGCCACAGGGAAATCACGTGTCTTCCCCAGATCCTACAGGAGAGATTCTGCTCATCAGGAACGGACCTGCCATGTGATGCTGCAGCTGGGAATGTGCACCCCACATGCAGCCATGGACCAAGAAAAGACATGATAGGTCTCATCTTATAACAAACCTGAATCTAACCAGGAAATCTCTGTGCCACCTTCCAGCAGACAGGACTTCTATTGATCTCAGCTCTATAAAAAGGTGATAACTGACCCTTGATGTTTGAGCTAAAATTACCTTTTTTTTGGTACACTGTTAATGAACACAGAAGGCCTCAAACAAAAACAAATAAATACACTGCTGTCCAATCCGCAGACTCGGGCAAGTATGTTTGAATTATCTGACAAACAGCTTCCTGGGGCTGTTCCTGAGTGAATAGGTTAGAAATATAGAGAGAGACAAAGAAGCTCAAGACACAGTCTTCTTATACCAAGAAAAGCCTAGATGGAGGACTCTCAGTGAAAGTTAGTTTATAGCACTACTGTAGATTTGACATTTGATTCCCCCTTGAGTTTGTAAACAAAAGACACATATAGAACAATATACTAAATATCAGTGTTTCAACTGAAGTCACTAAAATGTTTAAGATAACAGAAAACAGTATTTTCAGTGTCTTCATATTGAAAAATGTCTGTAGTGATTCTGTACATATTTTTCAAACAAGATGTTATTGGAAACAGACTAAAGACTGAAATTTTCAAAATAGAATAAAATGAATGAAACTTCCTGGCTTGTAAAAGTAGCAATGTGATACAGCCAGTGCCAGCTAAAATATAACTTACACATAACAGAAGGTAAAAGCAGGGCCAAACTATATATTTACAGTGTTGCCACTGTAAATAAATGCAGGTCATGACATGCCTGGTTCGATACTGTCATAAGCAACAAAAGCAGTAAAGCACTGTTCTTTGTAGCTGTGCTTAGGGAGTTATTGATTGATTTATATTTTATTATGGGAATAACAAAAGTTCTTTCAGCTTAATACTATGACAGTAAACAAAATATTTTTTTATAAAACTTCTTCAGAACATAACAGCATTGAAACAAAAATCTCTTGAAAATAACAAGAGATTAAATTAGTCAGGGCTCTTCGCTCTTCCATCACTCCTAGCACTCTTCAATCACTTTGAAACATACTTACCTCTGTACATGGGAGTAGGATGAAACATACTGCTATACTCCTTAAAAGGAGACTAAGAAGAACTTCACAAATTGTATCATCTTTAATACAATTGTGTCTATGACATTATTTTATTATGACATTTTCTCTTCCGAAATAGGAAGATTGCATCTGAAAAGCCTGTATATCTTGCAGCTAGCTAACAGCTATAGACACTGTTAGAGATATAACTGGAGAGGAGTGTGGACACCAAGTTGCATTCAACCACTAGCAAAGTTCACTACTACTACTAGTGCTTGTGAATCCCAGGCTGAGACGCTGCTGAATAGTAACTGTCAGTAAGGGGCTCTCTGCATGCCCAAGCAGGAAGAGCAGCACGTAATTCAGAGAATACAAAGACTAGAAACCAGGTGCTGCTCTTCCCCCTTCATGAAAGTTTCACCCGACACAAACAATAAAGGTACAGTTAAAGAGCAAAAAGTAGTACTGGTGTAACACGACCAAACAACAGACCTTTAGACCTTGCCCTCTTTCATTTAATCAGCCTTTCTGGTAACATATGGAATACCAAGGGGGCATTTTTGTTGATGGTTGAGGACTTAAACACCTTCTATGCCTTGGAAGTCTGCCCAGGGGATATTCTTAAGGAGTCTAAAGGATACTCTGGCACTGGCAAGCTCTGCGTGTTGTGAGTCTCACAAGCTCGGTGAGCTGAGTGCCTGCAGGTGTCAGGTCCCCAACCACAGCTCTGACCATGTTGTTCATGTAAATACCACTCTGGCACTCAGCGAGATGATTAATTCTCTATTTTTGTTTATATGTTTAACATAGTACTCAAAAGTCAAATGTTGTGATTCCTGGCAGGTCAGGGGACAGAGATAAGAATCTTTTGGGGGAAGAGAGATAAATGTGTCCAAGACAGAGAAGCAGACCTTTTATCAAGAGTGGTGGCAAAAAATGAATACTTAATATATAAAACCAATGAGCCAGGTGTCACTTACCTTGTCTCCCAGGTAGGACAGTGGGGCTTTCCAGTACAAACTATGCACTGAAGCAGGCAATTCTTGAACATCAGCCACTACGCTATTACTGATGGGATTGAAGGTTACTGGAATTTCAATGTTTTTATTCACTGTCTCCAAGCGCCAGTTCCTCATGTCCACAAACTAATGAAAAAAAGAAATAAAAGCTTGTTTTATTCTTTCCCAGGAACAACTAATGAGGCAAAAACATCTTGACTCTATAATTCCCTATTATATTCAATCCCTTCAGTGCCAGTCTAAAGGCTTTGCACAATGGATGTTGCAAGGGCCTCAAAAGGGAGCTAAGTGGGACAGATGTGCTAAAGCTGTCGGGATGTAGGTGCTCAACTAGCTAGCTGTGAACTAAATCCTGTCTTCAGTCACATGAAGTCATAATCCTGATGGAGGTGCCCAGTAGTGAATTTGGTGGCAAGGTAACAAAGACATAATTTGCAGCTGCCAAAGACACTAACCAAAATGACAAAGTGTGGGCTGCTGTAATGCAGTAAGGTAACAGGGATATAGAGAAACTATGGGGAAGCAGGCAACGTAACCTAAAATTCCGGCTCTTCACTACTGGACATTTCAATTTGGCTTTCTTCATGAATGAACAGACATCCTGTTATTTATCATTGCACTTCCAGGAAAGAAAGCATATTGTATCTGGACCAGACCAGTTCACCAAGCAGTATGACAAAGAGATAGACATGTTTTCAAGGCTTTGGTGAGGACAGGCAGCCACTAGGGGAAAACTCCCTAAAGCCAATGGAAGTTTGCTACTGACCTCACCAAGGCCAAGTTTACATCCTGTGCTTGTAAATAATGAAGTGCCACAATCTGGATTGCATCTAGCCTGTGTCTAAGCCTAACCAAACTACACATTCAACATTTGAAGACTGCCTCTCTCTTTCTCTTGCACTGTTTCAGGCAACTGTTAGTTATTTTCAGTCTTTGGCCATTTTACATTATTTCTACCACTCATTATGCTATTATTACATAAATATATCACATTTATCATTTCCTCCTTTTTCTTCCTCCATGCATTTTCCCTTTTTTTAATAGGGAGAGAAGAAGGACAGTTCTTGTTTTTACAGTCTCTGTGGTATTTCTTACATATTTCCTAGGTTCCAAAGTGAGTCTATGGTTTAGAGATGTAAAATGACATGTACGCTTATGAAAGCATTTTGAAGGAGACCTTGGCCTTTAATGGTGAACTGATGTCTATAGCTACATCAAGACATGGCTGGCTCAATTACTTCAGCTACTGATTTGTGAGAAATTAAGTGATTTGTAAGCAAACAGATGAAAAAGGCTATTTCTGCTGGAAAGCACTTTCAGATTATACAGAAGTCTTAATGAGGCTGCACCATAGATGTGCAGATGCACTATTTCTTGCAGAATATTTTGCATCCTTAGCAACTAATAAAATATCATTTTAATTTTGGAAGAAATCTGGCATTTCCTTAATGGGAAAAAAGCAGGTTCATGACAGCAAAGAGAAAACTATTGAATGCACCTTGGTCCTACGACGATTTGTGCTGCGGCAGATGTTGGTTGCCCCAAAACAAAAGCAAGAGGTGCATCCCTTGGGATTAGAAGGATCCAGATAAAATGATCCTGGTCTGCAAACATCACATTTGGCACCTTCAACATTCTCCTGTCAAGGCAAAGTTGAAAGAATTCTCAGAATATTCCTTGGGTTAATCGTGAGCCCTCCAAAAAATTCACATAAAGCAAATCTTCTGACAGAATATTTATTTAAACATTCGGAAGCACAAATGAAAATGTATGCTTGTCCGTTTACACCATATTCCAAATGCAAACAAAACTGACTTCTTTAAAACCACCTTAGTTACGAGCTGCTTAGCTATGAGCTTTCCAGCATATAATGTGAATGGCAGAATAATAAATACCAGTCAGAGACAGCTGGTAGCTTCCTTGCCAAAACCCTCCTGCTGGGATTGCCAAGCCTCCAATACAAATGGTCGCTTGTGGAAGTGCCTATTTATCACATTCAATTATTCAAATTACAACAAAAGATTTCCCAGATATAACGACACAGTGAAATGTCAAGTGGCATAACATGCCTAAGAAAAGCATGGGGCTTGATTAACAGCCAAAAACTGAGGTGCAGGTGCATAAAGCAGATGTGTGGGGGGTAGAGACTGTTTCAGTGAATCACTGAACATCTACATGATAGCACCATAACCTCCTGCAAAGATGAGGGCCGCCAGTGAAACTCACAGACAGCAAGCTCATTAAAAAATGGCATTTGTCTGCAGTCATGATAATCTGTGTACTTACTTACTGCATGGTGGGGATCCATTGAATTTAATTCTTACTGAAAACCTGGTGATAAACTCACTTCGTTCACATGATTAAATACAAAATAGTCACCGAAGTGCAAATGCTGTTCATGAATGCATAAGTAACTTGATTTATCTGACCTTGCAGAGACAAATTCCTGTCTGGGGATCACAAACATCTGGTTCTGTTCCACCTCTGTTGCAATTACACGGAATGCAGTTTGGGAAACCGTAAGTACCAGGTCCACACTGATCACACTGCCGTCCCTTTATTCCTGGTTTACATCTTAACAAACAAACACAGCAGCAGTTAGTTCCTCTCACAGAGGAAGGAGTCAATGGGAGAGGCAGGAAGAGAGGGAGGAGGAAGAATAAAACCAAGGGCAGAATGATCTTTGACGTGACTGTAGGGCTCTGAAACAACCACATCCCTTCCGAGCAAGAACAGCCATAGGTTAGTATTGCCCTCAAATTCTAAATGTGAGAAATACTGCAATTTCTCATAGTGGTCATACACCTATTGAAGGATGCATCTGATCTGAGTGGTATGGATGCTCTCAAAGGAATTAGATTTCTGCAGCTGCTCAGGGCTTGCAGCGATGAGCTGCTCTCTGGATACACCGAGGTGTGAAACGTGCTGGCTTGCAGTACACAGGTAAGCAGAGCCAGCAGCAGACTTACAACTGGAGGACGTGACAGAACTTTAGTCAAGGCACTTGCCCCCTAAAAAGGTGGAGAATCCCAGGCATATGAATAATTATGGTGGCTTTGGCCTTTAAAATTTATCTGTGAAAAGATTTTAAAACAGTATGAATTTAACCGGAGGTAATTGTTAAAGTATGTGGACAAGGTACACTTCCCTTCATATAACACCTGAAAACCATTGCTCAATTCAGCAAACAATGGGAGAAGGTTGTCACTGTCACCCAGGTGTGTCATCCACACAGGCAGGTTACTGGAGCTATACAGCAGCTTTGAACTTCATGTAGTCCCCAGAAGGAAGAATATCCATCAGAATGTAACAGCTGGCCTCATACCTCAGTAATCAGCACAAGAATAATTTCTAAATGTCATATTTTGCTTCAGAGGTTTTTACTAATAAACAGTCATTTTCATAGATTTTACGAATTAGGCTGCCCGTGAAAAAATACCACCCTTATAACCAGGCAATACAGCTTTTCACTGAAAAAGATCCATTTCGGAAAAAGATATCCTAAATTTTACTGGAACAGAAACATGCTAAGCACTCTCTTTGGAATATTAGATTTTATTTGAGTTATTGACTTACTTATTTTTTATACAGCTCTGGTTGACTTGTATGAGGATAAAGTATGGGAGCAATGAAAGCAGAGATGAAAAAAAAGAAGATTTAGAGTGCATCAGGAGACGCAGAGTATGCTACTCTGAAGCTCAACTGCTAAGAAAACAGATTTTTGTTTTGCCTTTAGATAAATAATTTACATTCAGGAAATAATACATATATTCTCTGAAAATGAAGTTTCTATCATATTTACAGAATTAATGGCAGAAAGACCATATTTTTTCTTAGGACTCTGTAAACGTGTAGCCAAACCAAGTAAATTCAATTAATCCTGGCTTTATGCAATCTACTGAGTTTCAAATATTTGTGTTTTTATTTAAGGACTACTCAAGAAAGCGACAGACATGTTCAACTATAGTAATGCTGATGGGATGCAAATTTATGAAAATTCAGGATTTTGTCAGTATTACAGATTTTTTAGACAATGTAAAAAGGAGTATAATAAAAAAAGCACCTGAATACACTGAAATGCAGAAAAACAAGCATACATCATATGTAGGACATAATTTTAGGGGCAGTTATCACCTATGTTTCCAATTGAATAAGATTTTCCATGTATATAGCACCTATCACCAAAGTTTCCCAAGCTCTTTACAAACATTATTCAAGCTTTACCATCCTTAAAAACATTACAGAGTTGACAGATTTTAGACAGCTGAAGGTCAACTTCAAAGTTTTAAGTATTAGGGAGATTCTGTATATAATTATAATTGATGTACACGTCTAGAAGCCAAATGATCTGCTACCAACTTGTCACTGGATAAGCCATATGAGACAGACAAAAACTGGTGATTTCCTGTCACTTCAAAATTCACCATTAATTCCCAGTACAAACAATGTTTCCACTAAATATGTCAAGTATCCTTGAAGCAGCTGAGTTCTTACCATAAGCTAGCAATGATTAAACATCTATTCCTCCAATTGCCCATATCTCCTCCAGATACCTGAAGAATAAAGCAAACTACACATGCATTTTTATAATACACATTTTTATATATGAAGCAAGTTAAATACAATAATTCAAACTTACTTGCATTGCCCGTTGATTTTATCACATTCTGGACTTGCCATATTAACAATTCCTCTGTGTGAACAGTTGCAGTTTTCGCAGCCAGCAAGAGGGTGATAGCTGAAATAATGTTCCTTGCATGCTTCACATCTTGGTTTCAGCGTTTGAGGAGGGCAAATGCATCTACCAGTTACTTCATCACAAAGACGCTGGCCACAGTTGCATACTAGATCAAAGAAAGTGTTCTATAAATTAATCTATCTCACTTTTCAATGATCAAACTTCACTGAGTCACAAGTGGCTTGTTTAACTTCAACAGTTACAATGATGTGTGAGTGACATGAGCCACGATCCCAGAAACTAACTGTTTCAAAGAGTAGCTTGAGACTCTGGCTGTTTTCCATGGATTGGTTCTTTATATTAATCACAACATTATTATTATTTCCCCAAGCTTTCAAGCATTATCAATCCAATCAATAGTTTTTGTGTTAAGGGCAATGTTTTTACAAGAATGCTACTAAATTCTAGTATGTGAGGGAAGGCAGCTGAGGAGCTCTGGTCCAATCTATCAGTCTGCTGGTATAACTAGGAATAATTTTATGACTCTCATTATCTAGAGAAAATCTAGAAGGCTGAGATACAACAGTAATAACTTGGAAACTATTTCAGAGTCAGTTCAGGAAAACTGATGAGACTGGAAGAATGATGATATGGATTTTAATCAATAAGACACATGTGAAGGCACACTTCATCTTAAACCAGGTGCCTCTAAAGGGAAGGAAACCCCTAGATCTAAGCTAGCTCGCTCAGCCTCTCGCAGGATGAAGGCCTGAGGAGAAAGCTGAAGCTGCAGTATCTATTCAGTGAGAGCAGAGGCTCAAGGACAGCTCAGCTGCCAAGCAGGTCAGAGCTGGACTTACCCTTGCAGAAAGGAAATCCATAGTAGCCGGTTTGGCACCGGCTACAGCGACGACCGATGACGTTCGGTCTGCACGTGCACTGTCCCCCCACGGGGCTGCAAGCAGGGCTTGTGGCACCCTCTCCATGGCACCTGCACGGCACCGCTCCGTTATTGTAGAAAGCCACCAGCGACCTCGCGGAGTCCTTGCAGAAGGCTGGTGATCCTTCAGGGCTATTGAAATTAAAATATAAACCATGTAAGGCTTGGGAACTGTGATGTACGTACACCGCGGTGGTTCAGGGAATTAGGTTCCTGTGTTTAGCAAAATTCCCTGACATGAGGATGGCATCCTCACACATGCAGAGATATTTTAATTGTAATTAGTAACAAACAGCTTTGAACATGTAAGTAAGAGATGCTTTTTGCAAAGAAAGTGCGTATATTAGACATCTCTGCTCAGGCATGCCAAACAAAATAGCAGATACCAAGGATGGAAATATCAAAGACAGAAAGATGACATAGATTCTTCTCTTTTGTACAGTGAGCAATAAAGCTCTACCCTTACATTTCATTTACATGGAAAGCCATGAAAAGATCACTCATGGAACTACAATGAGCCATCATAAGCCATGAAAAGCCTATTCACGTAGCACAGTGATGGGAACTTTATACGTTTCTTTAATATGGAGTGAAAATAGTAATAATTCACAGTTTGCTGACAGAAGTTATTTTTTTTTTAAATAAAGTGATGCTTACTCAATATAAAAACTGTTTCCTCCACACTGGCTGATAAAATCAAATGATTTGTCCACAGTCTTTCTTTCAAGAATTTTGTAACTGTAGTTATCTGCTGGAACAACTAAGATGTTTTCCTTGAAACAACAAGAAAATTGAATTTTACATTTCAGAGAAAAACAAAACGAATGAGATAAGGCATTTATATATTTAAATGATGTTTCATTATTAGTTTTGGATTTTCTCACAAACCATAACATTTCAACTGAAAAAAAAACAAAATATCTCTCATATCCTCTCCCTCAAGTTGTTACACTACAAGCAGTGCACAATGAAATTGGAGTACTGTGGTTTAAAAATTTAAAATACAAAAATAATGTAAAAGATCCTAAAAATTTGAAAAAGAAAATTAAAAAAACAATTCTGACTTTCCAGCATGCATGGATCCATGGATCTGTGCATCCATTTCTAAATGAAGTCAAAACTGAGAAAAACATCTCCAAATACATTTGTGTAATAAACTTACCAGAATAAGCATTTTTCCATCAGGTATCACTACGGTAACAGAAATGTCAGGTGTAGAAACATCAAGTTCAATTTGGCTTTCTGCAATTACCTGATCCCGACAGCCAGAGGTATGAGGGCAGAAGGAAGCATTGAACGAGCCTAGAAGAAAAGATATTGCTCAATGTCCCAACATGCTGAGAAAGGGAAGGGAAAAGAATGTAAAGTGGGATGCTCACCTGACCACACATGTCCTGCATCCACATGCACTTGCACAGGGAACACTGGGTGTGCTGGTTGATAAAAATGTACCACAAACACATACCTGCCCAAGTGGGGCACTCTCCCATTGAAGGTGATCTGGTTCTGCAGGAAAAAAACAGCTCTGGTAATACATTTCTTTCAGGAAATATTTTTTGTTGTGTGTGCTTTGCTCTGCACTACCTGTCTGCATCTCTCAGGAGGTTAACAACATCTTCCAAGAATCGGGCATTGTGTCTGCCTGCTCCTATCTGTTTGCATGTCAAACATATCCTAATCCTTTCCTGCAGTCTATGGGTTCTATTATGTGGCTTAGAAAGAAATCGGTACTTTTGTTTCTTTTTGGCTTAGCTGGTCTGCAGCATTTCAGCCATATCACATCAAGTTTCGTTACTCTTACAGTACTTTAACTTTTCAACAACATATTTTGTTACTGAGAAAACCACTATTTTCAAAATATCAAGTACCTGTGACGATGTCAAGGTGACTCCATTAACTGAGTCAGGAGGCAAAGGGGCAGTGAGCAACTCATAGACTACATTTCTCTGCACATCAGAAATCCTTCCATCCCTCAATGCATTCAAAACCAAAGTCCCTGGTGGAGTTTCATATGCTGAAGAAACGCATGTCACACTAAAAACAGAATTATATTAATTACTCAAGATTTTCATAACAAAAAACAGTAGGTAAATTTTAAAGAATCCAGTTGGTTACACTCAACAAAATCTGAACTAGTAGTGAATTCTCAGTTCTACAAATATTTATGTAAGTGTATCCTTTAAACATGCAAGTTATGCCACTGAAGTTGATGCAACTACTTAAGTACTTAAAAGTTAAGTACACCTTCAAATATTTGTAGAATTGAAGCCAAAATAAATAACAGTCCTCCTTGAAAGCATTCTTAATCATCTCCTGCTGTGTTTAACTATTTATCTCTTGGTATGTTTAATTTTAATGGTCTTAATTGAGAGAAATATGTTCTAAAGACTTCAGGAGAAAATGTTATTTGGTGGTTTCATGCTAGTCATTTGTGCTATTTTTTCACTTTCTGTAAGTACTGAATCGACAGTGATTAATCTTTATTCAAGAAAGGTCCAGAACTGGAATTGCAAGTATGTTCCAGAGCCAGAACTGAGAGATGTATTTGCCAGGGCTGTGTGGGAAACCACATGCAGCAGCCCTTTATAAAACTATTAAACTGAGCCAAGGCTTTGAATCTTTCAGCTTGGCGAACACTAAACAAATTGACAAAATTAAAAATGCAGCCAAATAGGGTCTTTTATAACACAACATAGTCAGTAAACACTATCTGCTACAATAGAAGCAAATACAACAAGAGATTACAAGCAAAAGTTAAGTGTACATATTCTCACATTTGCTTTAAGTCATGTTTTTCACCCTTCCTCTTTCCCCCATTTTACTCAGAGTATAAATGCCCCAAGATGCAAAATTTCTTTGATGTGAAGACAAGTATTCCAATACTGCATGCTAGAGAGTTTGCCTCTGTAGTAAGACTCTGAGCAGGATATCAGCACTGAGAATCAACATTATGTGAGCTTGAGAGCCAAGTTCAGTCACATGCTTGTATTGCATGCATTAGCCAGATTTCTCTGCTTTCTATTTCAATTCAACCATTATTTCAGAAGCTTTTGTCTGGAAAACTATTAGACCTCGTCACCAACTCTTTCTGCCTCTCAAATTCTGTAAGTGACATTTGCTCCTACTTTAAGGCCCTTTCCTTTGCCAGATCAGTAGGAAAAAAAAGCCTCAGGACTAGATTCCCAAGGAACACTTAAGGAAGTGCAACAGGAGTCAAGATCTCGGGCTCCCTAATTAGGAAGCTGCAGTGAATACTAAACAGAATAGAATAGAACTAAATAGAATACTAAAACACATGGAGTGGGGAAGAGTTTCAATAGGACAGAACAAGAGCTCTGTGAATCCCAAAACAGACTGCCAGTCAGCAGTGAGAGCCTCTGCTTGGGAAGCAGCAGGTTCAGGTCCAAATCTTGATCTTTGTGAAGGCAGCTCCCCAGGAGTGCTCTGATTAGTAGTCCTACACACATGTAAGGGACTCCTCCTTTCTGGATCCTCTAGTACTGCTCTGCACGCTAATGCTGAAGGTTCACCTACCACACAGGCCTCACAGTGAGGTGGCCATAGGAAGGGCTTGCATGTGAAGTGGGGATTTACTTGTCGAGTAGTTTGATCCTGCCAAGTTGAGCTGGGGAATTTGTGAACTTTGGACAGATCAAAGGGCCTTCACATCCCTACTCTAACACAAATTAAAGCCATTGTAAAACAGATGAAGTGGTAATATACAGAATGAAACTGCAGATGGAACTATAACCATTTCAGGTCTGGCAATTCACGACTTTCCACAGAAGTAGCAGTCTCTTTCCAAGTTGGACATCTTTGATACTGTATAGTATGTGAAAGAGTCCTGCTCTCTAAGGCATTAGCACTTAACAGTTCAGACAGGCTAGGAAGAGTATTAACAAAATCCTGCGAAAAGTCTGCCTAGATTAACACTAACACTTCAGCAGTTTACAAGTACTACTTGGTAACATCGGCCTACTAATCATCTCTGAGTCACCGAGCAAAGGCTCATAAAATCATTATAATTCCACTTAGTCTGCCTTTCAAGATGTTTTTCAGGAAACACGAAAGGATAAAAACAAGCAAATTACCTTCTGTCATGGGTACTCTGGTAAGCAGCTATGCAGCGCTCTTTAGGCTTTGTGTACTCTAGAGAAAATTCATCGGCTGATATAATACAAATTTTGTGCTGAAAAATAAATATGAGGCACAATTAGCAATTTATGTTGCAAATAACAAGACCAAGCCTGGAGGGGAAGGATGGACCCTAATATTAGCACAAGGAGAGCTGAATCCAAACCCATGTTCTGCCTTGGAGTTCCAATACAATTTTGGATTCTTTTGCCTATCTGCACCTGAATGTCCCAGTGCTTAATACCATATTTCTGTCCTTGTCAGGTCAGTGTTGTCTGTTGAGAGGTTAACGGATCAAGCTGTAAGGATACATACGGCAACAGGAATCACAGAAGACCAGACTGGTCAGAAGCTAGCCAAGGAGCATACAGGGAGGGAGACAGAAGTCCTCATCAGTGACATTAAGGCTTTTTTGGACCCTGGGGGAATTGCTGAGCTTTCTGAAATGCAGGTACTAACAGTTGCTAGCACAAAGGCCTCTGGAATGAGCGTTAGTGAGGCCAGGATGTTCCCTAGTAGAACACATCTTAAAAGCCAATGAAACTTTGTATAATGCTTTAGACTAAAACTTTGCATAAGCAAATGAAGCTGAGAGAGTTTTGCTATAGCTATGGTTGCTTGAGCATAAAAGACAAGGCTTGTAGGTAGACACAATTGTTTGTATTACTGAAATATATTAACTGCACTTACAAAATAAACTTGTGCATGAGCTATTTGAAAGGAGATAAAAATAGCTGAAAAGAAGATAACTAATGCTACATGACTAATATAAATTAAAATTGCATAAGAAGAATGTATTAATGTGCAAACTGATCTAGCTTAGAGGCAGGTCTTCCAGGAGCCAGCTTGTGTTTTAGCAGTATTGAACAGGGAACATAAAGCTTTAGAGGGAGCAGGGAATTTATAACCTAGAAGGCAGACGCTAAAAATCCCTTTTCTTGAACAGCAAACATTTTTCATGTAATGACCTATAGGACTCCAGCCCATGAAGACAGAACAAACTCTGAACTGTGCCTTAGGAGCCACTAAAAAGTTTGTGTGAACCATAGTCTGGACTTAGATAGCTCATATGCACCAGTCTGAGACGAAGACCACCAAGCTGTAAGAACCCTTCTTGAATGCTGACTGCACATCTCCTCTTTCCCCTTTGCTACTTATCCCAGATTTCTGAAAGCCAAAGTTGGGGGTGGTTCCCCTTTGGACTTCTGTTGTCTGTCTACATGACAAGGATATTGCTGCTGGGTACTAACTCCACGGTCATATTAGAACAGAAGCTCTTATTTTTCTCTCTTCTTCGTATCTTGAGTTAAGTGTAGTCTTTACATCTAACCCAGGGAAACAGCACTTCCTGAATCTCAAGAGAATAATCGAAATTATCTGGCAGCAAGTTTATTCAGAGAATGAAAGTTGGAATTTAGATATCACAATAAAGACACTCTTAGCACATGAGACTTACATAAGTGGAGATACAGGCTAATAATATCAACATCTTTTGGACATGGATCTTGTTAGCACAGCAGTCACTACAAGGAACTAACAGACAATCTGATTGGTATCTGTTAACACTGAGCACTGCCTCATGAAAAGAAGAAAGCGCGCATCAGTTCTGTTACTAATAGTTACATGAAATTTTGGTGTTTAAACATGGATTTCAACTTTAGATTTTAATCAAGTGCACAATCGCCTTGTGTTTCTAAAACAGAAAACATCAAAACAACTTTAAAGAAAATTTACTGTCCAGAAAAATGTTATTACTGGTGTGTCTGAAAGACAGCAATGAAAGCTTTTCAGTCAAAGTATTTTAAAATTCTGGCATGTCCAAATTGAATTCACTACTTCCCACTTTGTAAGAGACTCAGGAAACTCCCATATGGGTTTTGAGAATGGAAAAAAGTGAAAGATCTAGGAAAACAAGTGTAATGATGAAGCAAAAAAAAAAGCTACCCAAAGACTTTTAATTTAAAATTTGCAAGTAGAAAAGACAAGGAAACTGAAATAAAGCACAGGAGAGATAGCAATACCTTTGTCCTAAAAGGCAATTTTCTGTTTACATTTGAAACTAAGCATTGATTCAGTACTCCTTGAATATATTCAAATGAACATCCTAAAAAAATACACATAACTTTACTACAGAGTATGTAAACAGATGAAAGGTATCTCCTTTTACCTTCTCTAGGAAAAATCATTACAAAAAAGGAAAAGAAAAAGGACACTTACCAGAAGAAAATTAATTGATGATGCCTTAAAATGTATCTTTGTATCTGCAAGAAGGTCATATGCTGCAATGCGATTCCTATCATCAACTACAACACTGCGACAAAGGAAACTGTGAGATATAAAGCAGAATTAATCATTAGCCTCCTGCCACTGCTCTATTATTTTCACTATTTCAGCTGGTACTCAGCTGCTGGGCTTTGGGCTGGCCTCGCCGCTGGTGCCCAACCATTCTGCAGGACTGTGAGCAATGACGACCTCTGACCGCTGGTGAACACAGAGCGTCCTCACTGGTGAGGCAAAGGAGGTTACAGTATGAAATGCTGCTTGTCCTTTGCAGGTGAACCTACCCAGAGTCCAAAACTGTGGACTTCAGCTCCTATCTCCATTCAAGCTCCTGCTGTAGGTAGGATGTGAGCAGACACACACACTACCTGCAGATGTTTCCAAGCTACGTAAGGTGCCCTGCAACACTGCGCTAGGCCACGCTCTTCAAGGTGCCAGCGCGCGCCGGCTGCTGCGCTCCGCTGCTGCCACACGCTGCTCGCGGCGGGGATCGGCAGCTAGTGCCCCGTGGGGCAGCTGGGCCGCGCGGGAGTTTTGGAAGCACATTCACACACAGAAATACTCCTAAACGCAAGTGAAAAAATGCAGGCCCATCTCTTACTGATTGCCTTTTGTTGGCTCTGCATCTATGGTAAAGACAAATATATAAGAAGAGGAAGAGTCTTGCCAAAGGCTTCAGATACTGCCTCGTGAAGGGAACATGATCCCTGCACCTTTCCAAAAGCAGCGAACAGGCTTCACTTGTGCTCAAAATGTGGAATTTATAAAATGATCTAATTCCTTATTTGTTTAGCTAAGCTAGTGAGCATGTTGTGGATGAGAGGCTCTAATCGCCATATAGTTCCTTCTCTATTTCTCTACCTGTACAGGCCAAAGAACATTTAAGAAAAAAAAATACAGCTACATTATTTGTGATTCACTAGCAGCCAAGCAAGTTAGTATTTCTAAATCTGGAATCTGTTCTATTGCAAAATTTTATTGAGAATAATCAATATCATAGAGCTATAAAGAGGCTTGGTATAATTTATTCATAATTCTGTGAGGTACACTGTAACTGCACATACTTCACTCTGTGGTTTCTGACTTTCATTTTTTAACAGAAAAGACAAGTAGCTTCCAGCTCAGGAAGATGACACAGCAACTTACCTGCAATACAACCTTGAACTTCCTGCAGAATATCAGCAGGAGGGATTTACTGCATTGATGATTTTTTTTCTTTTTGGTATTTTCACAATCAGATTTTTAGCATATAATATGTTCAAAATTTGTCAGCAAAAGAAAAAGGAAACTTTACAAAATGTGCTTTGGAGTTCCTAAAGTGTTACATAAATGGTTAAAATAAGAGCTTTCCCAAGCAATAACCCAACAAGGTCACTGCTTTATATAGCTATGTTCTGTATCACAAACATGCTGATGCAAATGATTTTTCTTACAAGGCAGTTTCCTCCCAAATATTCCTAAGCTTCCAACATGCCAAACACTTATCTTATGGGAAAACAAAGCATAGAAGTTGTGCCCTGGCATTGGGCAGGCTTTCACAAGGACAAAAACATGTGTAAGGTCACAATCCTAACTTCAGTCTTCTGCTGAAGCATCAGATACTCCCATGCAGGACAGACAAAGTGTCTCCTGAACACCTGCAGTAACTTCAGGAGTCAACAAGGATAAAGAATCTTGGAGCTTAGACTTTGCCTCTAGCCTAGCAGCTTGAGAGGATGGCTACACTGAGAATTATAGGGAAACATTTCTACCCTTTCTTCAGCAACTCCCGTTAGAAATACTGGGAATTCTCTTGCAAACTGGCTGCTACTATTTACAGTTAAAGCCCTCAGCCACGTTCTTAGCTAAATAAGTGCATGCCAACAGAACGATACTTACCACTGGACTCTGAGATTAACAGTTCATAAGGATTTAAAAGCATACGGAAAAACAGTTTGTTAGAGCAGCAGCAATATTGAATGTGCTTATGGCAAAAATGAGGTAACTGAAAATCTGTATGATACACAGGGAATCATACATTGGCTTTTAAATTGCACTAAAATTTGAATAAGCTATACAGTAAAATCCATTCCAATATATAAAAAATACATTGTCTTAAGGGTAGTTTATCCATTTAGTGATTACTTCTGAAATTCTTACCTGTATTTACAACTGTATATTTTCACTTTGCCTTCAGTGACAGGTCCAGGACTATTTACTATCACCTCAGCAGTGTATAACTGATCCTCTTCATTAGCATACTCAAAAACCAGAACGTAGCGACCAACATGAGGAACATTTATGGTCATCTGAAAGCTAACCTAGGTTAAGTATCACCAGAAAAAAAAAACACTCTTTTAGATTTTTCACCCTGTTTCTTGCAGGAAACTCCCTTTGCCTATCCTGCAAGCCAACCAGTCCGCATTAGTCCACAGCCAGTTCTGTACTGCCTCAGCAAAAGACAATCCAACTTTGCAGAATAGAAGCAGTGCTTAAAAATATCACTTTGTTTGCTAACTAGAGACAGTGAAATTCAGGAAACAACTGCCCAGTTATGGGAAGGTGGTAAGATAAGCCTAGGAAACTGTATTATATACTACTATTTATACTCTTTCCAGTAGGGACGAGCAGTGAGGGAAATTCAGTGACAAATACTAAAATTATGTTAGGATAGGGAATTATCATGCCCATCTCTAAGCTATCTTTAATAACAAATCCGAAATGATGCTCTATCTCCACTGAAATTTCCAGGAACACAATTTCCACTACAGCTATTCTCTGTGTTGATTCCTTAAAAAGGGGGAGAACATCTTCACCAAGAAATAGGCAATGATACTTGGTGAAGCATCAAGTTTTTCTTTGAGTTTACTTGTCCAGATTGGTTAAAATTATATTTGATGCAAAATATTTTGAAGTAGTTGCATGAAAAATGTTGTAGTTAGATAAGTTTTTGCTACAGATTGCTATATGATTCTTTTAAATAGTTTTTTCTCAGTATTGCCTTAGGCTATGAACACTTAAAGTGTTCATAAGTAAAGAGCCACCTTGACTTCACTGCAATTATTCATACCAGTAAGGTTTTGTACATACAGCAGTGATGAATCATCAGGGCCTTTGAGTTCTTGTTGCAGTTGGCATTTTTAAAAGCAATTTTCAGAGCACAGTCACAGAGGACATTGTCATTTTACATGTAATTATCAGGTGCTTGATTAAATAAATTATTTTTACTAAACACACTTCTAGAATAATTTTTCCATTTGATAACGTGTTTCTCTTTCAATGGACCTACAGTACTGGCAAAATTGCTTCTGCTTGCTCTTTCTTATAAAGCAAATGTTTTACATAAGTATAGTTATTTAGGAAACAAAAAAATGATGAGTTCAGAGTGACATATTTACACTACTACCCCGACAAACCATTATGCCACTTCTGCTATAGGTAGACAGTACGCTGAACAAGACTGTTTCTCTAAAGCAGAGGGATTTCATGAAATTAGAGTCATAACATAAAACATTTTTGGCAGAATGGAATGTCTGCTCTACTCCCAGCTATAGATCTGCCTATACTTATCTGTCTAAACAGATCTGCATAAAATGTGGCACGTGGCTCAGAGTCTGCTTTAGGGATGAACTAGAGATTTGCAAATGCAGATCTATGGATTTGCAACCTTTCTAGTCTAGTAGGTTTGGAGTTAACAGTGTATATGGGACTGCTGGGAACTATATGCAGGAATCTGACCTCTCTTCCACTGATATGGGACATCTCTGGATGGTCAGGAGTTGGCTGTCGAATGGGCATCGTTCTGTATTCTCCCCCATTTGTGAAATATGCTGCCTCTGAACCAAGGACACAGGCGAATCTGCTCAATGGCAAATGCTGATAATGCAAGCAGCTTAACGAAAAACAAAAAACACAGGATTATTATTGTTAGCAATTACAGTAGTAGAATAATAAAATAATTCAAGGCAAAACCTTATTCTGTAGCATATCTACTAACTTCTCTGTTGAAGCACGTCCTGAATAGGTGCAGGGTTCAGTAACTTGTAACTGCAAGATGGATGCTTCATAATAATCACTAGGTAACAGCACCATATAATCCTAAAAACAAAGAACACAACCAAGGCAAGATCAGGCAGAAAAATGCTAAAGGAACATCTCCAGACTTTCACAATGTATCAATGACCCAAAACAACCCCAGCAATGATTTTTGGAGGGTATCTGCAAGACACATAGGCATTTGTTGATGTTACATGTGGCAATAACAGAGCCCAATAATTCTTTGTAGAGATGAGGGGAAGGCAGCTGGGGAAATCTCTGCAGCTGCTCTATCATCATGTGCTGAACCCAACGTGAACATGAAGGAGCCTCCGCACTACAGCTGCGCCCATGAAGGCCAGGGTCTCTGAATGTACCAGCACAGGCCCCTGCTGCTTAAGCTTTCAGCTAAAAGACCTCCATATTCTACTGCCAGGCTGTGCCTTGCAGATTTTTAAGCCTCTAAATGGTCTAGTCACTAGAGGGGGAGAGTGAGCCATTTGTCACAAGCTTCAGCAGCCTAAATGATATAGCGTAACAGCTGGCCCTGCACAGTTTTCACCCATGCCTGCAATTCCCATGCAAACAATTCCACTGTGTTTGACTCTGCAAGGGAGAGGCATGTGTCCCAGATGCCTGTAGAAAACATTCCAGATGATGTTTCACAAGATAGCATCTTTTTCCTCTACCTTTCCCACTTAAATCAGCATATTAAAGCTTATTTATAAAAACTTTTATTGTGAAAAGCAAACACGCTGGGTTACAATCATTAACAAATTATTTTTAAGAGGTATTAGTAGAAAAGCAGGATATGTAAGACACCTGTATGCAAGCTCTCTGGTAACATTTTACATGATATTCCACAAATTAGGCAGAGTCCCAGACTTGATGATTAATTCACTGGCTATTCATTAACCCTAATACACAAATGAATTTCTGTGTGATATTTTTGTGATCATACCTTTTTAAGGTTCTTCATAAATGATCACCTGATACATTTTGTCTTTTTGTCATAATTTCTCAGAACTACTGTCATAGATTTTTTTTCAATTTTTCAATGAATAAGGGAAAGGTAATGAAGGGAGGACAGCAACATTTAGAAAGTGACTTGCCAATTATGTAGCCCATCTTACAATATTTTTCTGAAGAATCTTTGCCACGAAGCTAAGGACTTGATCATCTGCAATTAAGCTAAGTTTAGATACGCGAGCATTATGAATTTCTGTGAGCTTTTGTGCTCAACCAATTTAGCTTCATATTAACATGATTTTATCCTTTGAGGGTATAAAGTCCAGAGGCAAATGCAAGAGGCAAAACTGTGTATTTTCATAATACTATTCTGCTGCTGTACTCTTTTCATTAATGCTGAATTTCAATCCCTTGCAGAGTTTTTCCTGGCAAATAACTCCAGAGCAATACAGGCTTCAAGCACTTGTGTTCCTCAATTGTTTTCTTACCAAGAGGACTTCCTCTGCCATTATACTGACAATCCATGTGCCTGGAACCAGTGAGAAAGGCTCTATGAAGCTTTTTCCTGGGATTGTGACAAAAGCTGGCTCCTTGCTGGGTGGGAAGACAAATTCTTTGCTCTGAGCAGACCCTGTTAGGAAAAAAAAAAAAAAAAAGGAAGGAAGAATTAAAAAATACTGTGTAAAATTTATCTGCTGACTTAGTGCTCAGAACTGAATATTTCATTCATTAAACTTGGTCTAACAGGAGCTCATCAGTGATTCTCCCCTCAGGATGCACTAATAGTGCTCCCTCCACGCACAAGAAGCTGCAGAGCTGTGCTAGGTATTGTCCTCTTTGTTCCTTACAGTCTTGAGCAATTTGTTCAGAAAAGCAGAGTTCAAAGCTCTGAAGTGCTTGCTTCACTTTCCACTTCCATCATTTCCTACTCTATTTGCTGCTGCGCTGACTCGTGACATGCTCAGCTGACGCAGGCCTGTTCTCCCATGAATGCCAGCGGATACTCAGATACAAGAGCTTCTCAGATGCATCTAAAATGTTTGGTTACCAACAGGACCCAAAGGTGACTTCTGGGCAGAGAAAATACACAGTGGAAGCAAAGCTGCATTATTCTTTTAAAAGAGACAGGAGGATGGGCTGTTATATTAAAATATTGTGAATATTAAAGTCTTTGAAGCTCCTGGACGCTGACAGGAGCTTGTGCTTCCATGTGCCTCCCTGTCTCCCAGTCACTATAACCCCAGCCAGGCCACCAGCGTTGCCGCTTCGCTACGTGCTGACAAAATCTGAATTTTGCCAAGTTACTGAAAGGATCTGTGACTAAACTGCATTTGCTCCCAAGCCATATACTGAGAGTAGGCATAATAAGAGATGATTCTGAATACAGATTTGACATTTATCTACCACTCGAAGAATGTGGCAGGGCCTAAAACCTCAGTCAGTGACATTACATATTGCTCAGGGCTATCTTTGAGGATTGGGTTCATCATTAAATGAATATTTTTCGTGGAATGGAGAGAGAAGCCACCTTTAAACTGAAATATTAAGGGGAACTAAATGAAGATAAGGACTGTTATTCCTTCATTCAAAGCTTCTTAAAACATACAGCCTGTGCCTCCAAATGCAGAACTGAAAAGTACTGAATTTGGCAAATATTTTTTAGAAAGTGATTAATACTGTAAGCAGAGGCTTCATGCAGACACAGCCACATCAGTTACAATAAAATTCATCAGGAAAAGCACAAAAGCACTAACACTGTTAAAAAAATGCCTTTTAAGCACCATCACATGTTTGACTCAGCTGAGCTTGGAAAGGCTTCTCTGACCTAACACGCATCTGTCCTGCTGTTAATTTGCACCTACCTGTTTCAGGCCGAGATTGACAAGCAGATATGCGGCCAGATAATGTTGCACTTCCAGAGTTAATATATCTCAGGACAATGCGAAATAAGTTTGATTTTTCCACATTCAAAGTTATCCTCACTTCATTCTGTAAAAGGGAAGTTAATAAACAAAAACAGCCGTAAAGTGCCGAATAGAGAAACAGCTGGAAGTCATGCAAGCACCATACTAAATTCCTACAAGGAAAGTACACATGCAGGCAAGTACGTAGTGGAATGGCAACACCAGTGTATGACAGATGAAGACAGGTAAGCCTAGTGAGAAAATTAATTCACTTACAAGTATAATTAGTGCCAAAATGTTTTCCCTCAGCAATTGAGATCTTCCCTTTAGGGCTTTTTGAACCCAGGCTGACATAGCGGAGGACTAGGTGGAAGAGCTTAGGGGAAGCCACAGTGACAGGTACAACCACCTCTGGCTGGCAAAAATAAAAAGAAAGGGAAAAAGGAGGAAAGGAAAGTATATCATTGGTTACTAGCACCCAGAGAAAGAAAAACCATTTGGTAAAGACAAACTCCACAACAGAAAAGAAAGACTTGGGCAGCTTATAAAGGAATATAGAACAAAACATTCCTGTGAAATAAAACAGCTGATTGAGGAACAGTTCATCCAGAAAGACCTGGAAGGGCTGAACTAGGAGGCTTGTTGATTTTGTACATTGGAACATGGATGGTACTGCTCCTCTCACCTCATGCACCTTAGAGGAGACATGATCTCAAGGACCATCTGTTCCCCTGGACTCCCAAGCACTAAGCCAGAATCATGGACCCACTTCTCACAGCATTCAGATGCCCCAGACACTCAGGGCAATTTCTTCTGCTCCCCGCTTCGCTTGTAGGGTGCTGATACTCCGACTCTCTCTTTGCCCTGTGGTTGAATGCTCATCTCTTGAACCTCTTCCATCATTGCCCAGCAGAAGACAGAACTCACATGGCCCACTACGCAGAGCTTGCAGAGCCATAGTGTCAAGGACAGAAATTTACTTAGAATTGGTACACACATCTTCAAAAGTTGTGGGTAAGTTAGAAAATAATACACCCATTCTAATGATAATCCCATTCTAATTGATAAATCTCCCTTCCTCAAAGTTCATCCACCATAACTGCTTCTCTGTCCTGTTCTGAAATGTTTGTGATATCGCAGGCTCTCACCACCATGGTCAATTCTGCTTCCCCAAAAACACACACAGGTTCTCTAAACTCCACACCTCTGAGAACTGAGCACAAGGCCTTATCTTCTCTTATACCTGATACAGGTGCTAGGCAAATACTATCACAAGCTCATACAAATGTTCTATTGACAGCTCTCATAAGCTACTTTGAATGTGTATTCTTAAATTGCACTTCACTGTAGAGACCTCTGCTTCCAAAGCAGAAAGCAAAAAAATGACCTAGGGCAGATAACAGGCCTGAGAGATCTACAGAGAGTAGACTGCAAGATCTGGGGGATCACAGAAGGGCAGTAGAACAGAAAATATAGACAAGTAGGGGAATATTTTACAGTTGTTTTAAATGTAGAGAAATGACTGTTGAAGAGAAAAAAGTAAGTGGGAAGGCACTTGAAAAATAGATAAGAACATAAAAAAAAGCAAAGGAAATTTAAAAATACACTTCAGAAGGCTTCGCATTCTAAGCATTTTGGAAGAATTCCAGAATACACAGGCGAGGGAAGAAAAGCAAATGCGTGAGGAGCAAGGAAGAAATGCTAGTCCTTGGCTTCAAGAAAATGCAGGAAGTGGGAAGAATTTGTTCTCTGAGCTTCGCCACAAACTCAGGCACCTTTGGCCAAAACTTTAAAATCCGAGTCCCACTGTAGACTTCTATAATGGGAATCCCATTTTGGCAGAATGATAGGGCACCTGTGACTTTGGCTGAAGTCATGCACAGGCCATTTATTGCACCTCGAAAACATTTAATTGCATTGAAACAGTTTCTTTTCAAAAACTTATGTCAGCCTTCCTTGTGACAGACATTTGTAAACTATTTGTCTTTCACAAGAGAAGGGTTGAGAGGAATATTGCAGGGTTCTGCAAGACACAGAAAAGCTATGTCAAATTTATAAAAGTTCCTTGATATGAAGAATGTCAAACTATCTCAGCTATGCAAGGACCTAACTGTAGCGTGGCTGGGACTAGCAATTACTTACATGAATGAAAAGCTTTATTTAGTTGAGCACAGTAATGTGCGCTTCAAAGATCCACAGGACTGGAGATTATGCCCTTTCACTACCTCTGCCAACTGGATATGAAATGCAAAAAGCAGCAGATTTAGAAAGCAGAAGTTGGGAAATCACAGTTGTTACACATTGCCTTCTGTGAATGTAGAGCAATTCTAAAGAGCCAACTAAACAAGCTCTGGGATAAAAAAAGAAAAGAGGAAAAAAATGAAGAGCAGAAAGGAAATGACAAAGGCTGGACACAACAATAGCCCAGGACTAGAAAATCTGATCAGCATCGAATTGATAACAGAGCGCTACTTCTAAGAAGAGTGAGCAAGTACCATTTATTGCTCAGATTTGCCATTCTAAAATCATGGTTCTCTTACTCAGTAATTCATGCAAAAGTCAGACAGGTCTCTTCTTATACAATTAAACTTTCTTCCTGCAATGTATTTAATTTATTTATTCCTTCTGCTTTGCCCAGGATGAGCTGCAAGTATAAGAAGGCTTCACAAACAGTGCTGTGATGATGCCTGAGAATCAAACACAGAGACTACTACAGTAATCCAAACCATTTTGCAAAACTTTCTAGGGTTTGGCTAAATGACTGTCCTGCTGCTGTCCTTGGCATAACAAGAATTTCTTCATTTAGCATTACACACTTTAAAGTTATTCTCTTGTTTAATCCTGTGGCAAAATGTGCATCTCACACACACACACAAAACCCTAGGAATGTCTCTTAAGAATAGACATTTGCGGTAGCAACGCACATCTCACAACAATACTAACACTAACACTCAATAATCCAAGCAGGGATACAGCACCAAAGTCCTGAGATTAGTTAGATCCTGTCGTTTATTTTTTTTCCCCCGTGACCTTGCACACACATAGCAGACAGGCATCCCAAGGACTGTTTTTAACCCAGAAGCCCAGATCCAATTACCAGCTTACTTGTATAGAGGACATCCGGGCATATCCTCTCCAACTGAAGCCGGGAAATTCCTCAGGATCATAACCAAACCGAATTCCCCTTCCTTTGACAGTAGTACCATCTTCAACTTCGAACTTCATGTGGTGCAGATCAGGGAAAAAGTAGTATTTTTCAGGCCTTACAGAGAGAAAAAGAATAACATTCAAGGACTATTCTTTTCCTCTGAATCTTTTAATTTCCCCTCTCACTCTCAGCTTGGGTATCTTCCTGGGCATAAAATACCAGTATACCTAGTGACTGAACCCTGATACTAATTTTGGAAGGACATTTTATGCGATTAGCCTAAAATGACATAACAGCTAACCCAAATTTATTCTGGCATGAACTCTCATTTCATCAATGTGTAGACTAAAGAAGACTGATGAGTGACATTTCTCCATAGTTTGTTATCTCTGTCACCTTTACACCCAGCATTTTGGCCTGTGTCATTACTCAGATTAGCAAGAAGCTTCCATCCACCATTGTAATTTGAAAGCATTACCAATCACTATATGGTCTACCTCAAAAAGAAGGAAGCACCAGAATGGAAGCGGTCTATGGACCACAGAGACATCCTTATACCACTGCCTTATAAATTCCAGACAGCAGTTAAGACAGGTGCAATAAGAATTCTTTTTTTCAATTACATTCTCTTTCCAGATAAAAAGCTGTATCTTTCTTATGCAACTCTTAATAAATACAGATATATATAAATATACACAATGCTATTGCAAAATAGCTATTGGTTATTTAAGAAAACAAGTTTTAAATCTGTATATATAATATTCAAATAACAAAGAAAACTGTCAAAAAGTATATAGATAATAGCACGATTTACTGGCTTATTTATCAAGAAATCCAGAATCTTATGTGAAAAGAGCACGAGGAACTCCTGGGCATTTTTCACCAAGTGTTTGGAAGCAGGAGCTGTTTGCTCCAGGCGCACTCACTGCTGGCAGGTGGTCCCCACAACGTGCTCTCTGCACTGGCAGGCACCCGAGGGCTCAGCGCACACGGAGCTGACGGATCCTCCCACATCACACCGACAGCCTGTCAGCAAGGAGCAGAAGCCAAGCATCCCATCAGAGAAAGTGGTAAATGTTATCAAAAAGCACACCTCGCTTCCTCCAATTAAACACCGTTGTCAAGTGATTTCCTTCTTCCGGAGCCCTTTAGACTCCCCTCGGAGTCCTTCAAACACACATTAACACATGTGCATAAACTGCAATTATTTCTGGACTCTCAGGTTTGTGTTTGTTTTCTGTTTTTTTTTTTTTCTCCCTTTAAAGTGACAAGAGCTAGATTCTTTTTCACTCACAAGTAATAAACCACACCACATTTACTATATCCTGCACTAAACTCTGAAGGGCAGCCTTCAGATGTCTTGCTCAGTAGGACGGAATTTTCACAGAAACAGCAGAGTACTAACTTATTTTCAAAAAACAAAAACAAAAGGAAAAAAAACATTTAGAAAATGTATGTAAGACGTTAACTTTGGACAGCCTGGTTCACAATATTTAATTTAGGTTACAAAGACTACATAAAACTAAAATATACTATTTATTGGACGCAGTCCTGTGCCACGTGCTCTAGGTTACCCCATGTGTGCAGGGGGGTTGGACTAGGTGACCTCTAGAGGTCCCTTCCAACCTTAACAATTCTATGATTCCATGTAATATGATGTGCATAGTTTTCAACCAATATTGGACAAGAATATTGAAAGTCTTATCACAGAATACATGATCTTTGACAAAAAATAAGAAACACACCTAAGAACGAGGTATAACGCGTCAAAGTAAGGAAGAAGTATGCCTGGGTTAAAAATTTCAAAACTAAATTGAAAGGTTGAAAGTTCATAAACTCATTTTCACATCAGCAGATCAGCACATCGTTATTTTCACATTTCACAGATGTGTGAGAATCTGTAATCACATTGAAACCAAGGAGAATTGAAGTACTCATCACTTTTGTGAAACCAGATCTCTTTCATTAGATCCTTGGATTGAAAATTTGGCAAAAAAGCTCTATTTGGTAAGCTAGCCATTATTTTTAACTGTGCATACACAAAATGTTTGCTGAAAGAACTTCAGTGTTTTACAGATAACCTCTTCTATCATGCCTGAATAGTACAAAGCAGCTATCTGTCTATTAAAGTGTTTTCAATAATTTTAAGAAACCCAAATTCTGGAGGAGAGCAAGGAGGGAAAAACTGAAGTAGCCCTGCAGCCCTCAAAACACCTTCTTTAGAAGAATGACAATTTTCTCCACATCATAGATATACCTGGCTCTGCTTCAAAACACTTTGAACTAGGGCTTAAAGCAAAAAGCAAACATATCTGCAGAAAATCAAGCTAGTTACTTTAGTTCCTTTTTAAGTTTTTATTGCAGCAGCAGATCTGGAAAAATAGCTAGGCGGAAGAGAGAGCTGCCACTCTTACAGGTATCTGACGCTACTAACACTTGGTGGAAAATGAAACCTCTCACACCTTGCGTGGAAGATTGCAAAAAGAAATAACTTTCAGCTATCTGGTTTGGAATCTCTTTAGCAACAACACTTACATATGTTGCTAGGATTATCTGCACATTATGCACTTCACTAAACTTTCCACTCCATTTAAAACCCTGGCTGTGGTGGGGTATTAGATTTCAATGGGGAAATACAGTATCACAGATAAATGAGGAAAGACTTACATATATTGCAAGCAACTACAAGCAACAGTGCAAAATGAGTGATGAGTGATTCAACAAATACATTCACATTTAAAAAAAATACAACCTATGAAATGGTAAAGAGTTTGGTGGTAAGTGCAAATGTTCTACTAGAAATGTTCATTATTCATCTTACCTCGGCAGCCAAAATAATTCTTGTTTTCCAGACCATAATAACCAGCTTCACAAGTACCACAGGAATCTCCGCAAACATTAGATTTGCAATAGCAGTGTCCATTTTCCTGTAGGAAAAAAAAGAAAAAAAACTTGATCAAAAAATGTCTTATCAACTTTAAGAACTTCATTCTTTCAATATTTTGTCCCTCTAATTCTAAAGAAGGTAAAAACTGCAATTAAAAAAAAGGACATCTCACCTTTCATTCCTCATTTTTAATGAACAGACTAGAAAGTACATACATTTGGGATTATAAACACATTCAGAACTTTTATACATCTTTAGAACGTCACCAGATACTTTATGTTTAACATAAATAATATACAATCAGTTCTAAGATATCTATCTTGTAAATGTTATAACAATTTATCTTCACAGAAATCTGTTTAGTTCATGTCTTTCTATCAAGTTCATTTTACCTGCTGACATTCTCCAACTCCACTTAACGTTCCACTCACATCACACTGGCATGCTGCAAAGACACAGAAAAGACAATCTGTGTTTCATCTTTCCAGGACACTTTGAAGGTTAAAAAAAAAAAAAAAAAACCTCATTCTTACCGCAACAGTGAGTCACAGGGCAGTAACTCTGGAAAGGCCAGAATAGCAAATAGACAATGGCTCAAGGTCAGAAAAGAAAATGAGAAAGAACAAAGACTATGTGTATGTGAGTTTTCTGACTTATGTTAGTATAGTCTATCTTGTGTTTAAGACAAACAGCTTGCATTTGGAGTTGTCTTTTTTCTTAGAAACATTCAGATGACTGAAGAAAACCTGTGTCTTCCAGTCTGACTGCAATTCTATTTTGCAGGGCTGCTTTGTGACTAGTACAACTCTTTGCATAAAACATAATTCAAGGAAATATTAAGGTTTCACAAAACCCCATATGCCCTCTGTCGCTGAGAGAAGACAAATTGCATGAAAGGTGCTCTAATTCCTCTCCGAGGAGATGTCTGGACTGTGCAATATTTAGAGCCAAGATGTAATGATATTGATGGCTGCTCTGACACTACTCGTCCCATCTAGGTAGCTGTTGTAGCTGTTTTCCCGCTGGAAAAGAAATAGATGGGAAGAAAAATAGGGCTCTGAATATAGAAAAAAAATCTTCTCTGCCTGAAGTTATTGTCTCACTGCTAGTAAGCCTTAAAAATTGCAAAGTGCTGATTATTACACAGGCTTAAACCCCAACAGATTTGTCAGTCTGACGCAACAAGAAGGCTTTCCATCCCTCTACAAGCTAGGAGAAGATTATTAATGAGTAAACACCTTCTTCTCCAAACAATGGGCCAAATTCTGGTTTCCGTGTTTATGAAAAAAACAAACCTGCCTGGGCAATACACATGCAACTCAGAGTACACTCTGGTCCAGTATTATTAAGCAATCATGGATGATGGCCTAATATTTAAAAATAACTGTTTTCATGAGCAACAGTATCAAATTTAAGCACTAAGAAAAACATATTGGTAAGAAGAGTTGTTAAACACCAAAAATGGTCACATTTGGTAGCCAAGACAAAGATCATTTTCAAAAAAATTTAACACATTTTGTGACCAAAGAAATAAGTCATGAAGCTCTGTACCTGTACATCCCCCAGGGTTTTTTTTGGCCAAGTTCCAGTACAAAGGTTTGCATTTACTGCAGGTAGGGCCTTCAACATGCTGGAGACATTGACAATAGGCCTAGTGACAGAAATGAGTCAATACGGGTCTTTTCAGAATAAAAATTAGAAACAAAAATAAACAAACAAAAAATCACTTAGTAAATGCATGCTATTGGAAAAAAATGAGCCATGACTGATGACGCAGAAATGGCTACAATGGCTTTCTAAGGAAAAGAACACCAAGTTGCTCTATGTTCTTTTTGCCAAAAGATTGTTCATTCCACACAGCATTTAAACAAAAAGATAGAACCTTTCTCTGTTATCCTGTCTTCACAAAACAGAGAACATTTACTACATGAATTTAGTAAATATTCAGAAAATCTCAGTTCCTATGTTTAATAAAATCATACTGCTCTTTCTTTTATATTAAACTGTCTGAAGTTCCCAAGAACAGGAATCCTCTCCCATTAGTTTTCTAGCACTCCAAGAACACATACATTGTAAGTACATACCATAAACAAAAGGTTAAAAAAATATGGCTCTAAACAGGTAATTGCATTGTTCAGACACAAAATTTATGTCCATCTTTGCTTTGCAACTAGGCTTTTGCAGTTCTCTCATAGTCTGAGATCAGGCTCTAGATGCTTAAAATGAAGTAAAAATATGCAGCAGAGACAGAGACAGTATATGAATTCTTAACATGCATTATTAGTTGCAAAGATATACTACTTACCAAATGAGACCCAAAAGTGCCTGCAGGGTTACATTCACTGTTGATTTCTGTAGGAAATTAAATATATACACATATACATACATACATATGTATATATATATACATACACATACACACACATATACAGAAAGATCTTTTTAAAATGAGTCCTGGAATATAGTACTAAAGAACTGCAGTGTGGCAGTTTTAAGTTTCAAGGGTTTATTTTTACATGTTTACTTTGGGGTGGCTGAAATACTTTCAACGTTAGAACCAGCAGAAGAAGGAAATCTGAATCATAATGAAATATTTTCTGTCACCAATGTTACCTCCACAGTAGGGGAAACTGTAGGCTCCAGAAAGGCATCTGTCACACCGCAGCCCTGTAAAGCCTGTTAGACACTCACACTGCCCCGCTGTTGGCTCACATGCGCTGTGACGGGATCCATGAGGAGAACACTGACAGGCTATATCACCAAAAACATTGACAATATTGTTAGGGTTCACCCTGTATATACCAAGCAATAACTTTACAAACCTCTAGTACTTTATAAGTTTTGAAAACTCCTTCTCTGCAATATGCTTGATTTTTCTTTGCAATAAACTCACAAGGTCCTTCACTTACACACAACCCTCGTTGAGACTTAGGCGTCTGAGATAATCCTACCTGTCAATATGGTAGAAGTTATGAGGAACCTTAATAAATTCCTCTTCCTCTACTTTGCTCCATTTTAAGACAAGACTGAGGCTATTTGGTTTTCTGTTTTCTTGATTATTTTATTGTTTACAGAAAGAACATTGCAAATTCTGTAGACATACATCTAAAAATATGACTGCAAAATACAGAATGTAAAATTGTACACCCAGCACACCTTTAGATCTGAGAGTCAAGATGGCCAGGAAGAAGCTTTGAAATAAATCATGGGATAGTCTTTTTGTTCCAGGTAGCTATGTAAGGCCTAACCTTTCCAATGATTTACATGAGTAAGTAAGAGTAACGCCACAAAAATGAACAACACTACTATAACAGAGAAGGCTAATCTTTGCTGGAGTAGAGCCTAAGCTTGAAATGGTTATGAAAATTGTTTTAGCCAGTCTCCTAAAGAGGAAGAACAGATTTGTTAGATTATTTTTTGCTACAGCTATGACGATTAGCAATAGCCAAACTTGGAGGAAATGTTGCTTCTTTAGCATTAATAGTCTTTTGGTTTCTAGAAAAGAACATTCCTGCTTGTGATGGCCAAGTAATTGCTGACTGGAGCTGCAGGTTTCACTCTCTCTGATGGGAAGAACATACATACACATTCCGGGCCTGACCAGCTGACCCACCTGCACAGTAATAATTGTCAATATGATATAAGTTTCTCAGGGTCAAGTCAAGCCCTCTTGACTGGGATTTAAGGTTGATGCAACAAGCACCTATAAATGCACTTTAAAAGCTTACACAATAGTGTATGAAACAGTAGAAGCCCAAAATAGTTGAAATTAACCTTGTGCTAAATTGAACAAGCTGGAACTCATAAAGGTGCACGCCCGTTGCTTACACTCAGCTTTAGATTTCCTATATTGAAAGAAGACACAACTACATCAAAGCCAAACATTCTCAAAGCCCTATTAGCCCAGTTACACAGATAATAGGAACAGAGATGATGTCTGGGGTGGGCTACCAGAGTGAACTGGCCATGGGCTGGAGCTTCACACGGAAGAATGGAACAGAATTAAACTTTCATAGTTACATGCGTAGTTTTACAGCAGAAGTATGTTTGAGGGAATCAAAAGAATATTTTTGGTGTAAGAGAAGTTAGAGAGAAAGGCCAGTAAAGGGAGGAAAGGCTGTTACTCACGTGAGCAGTTGGGATAGCCGTAATAACCTGGGGCACACTGGTCGCACCTAAATCCAGCATAGTTGCTGTGGCACAGACACTGATCTCTAGGACCACAGGTATTAGCCACAGAGCCACGGGCATCACAGTTGCATTCTGCACCAGTAAAAACAACAGGTAAATAGCCTGACAGATAAATATCTAAATCGGTATGATTTAAAACAGAAACCACCAAAAAACACCCTTGAATGCAAAGCAATCATGAGGAACCCACACAAAGCCATAGGTTTACCAGTTAAAATAAATATCTTCAAACAGATACTTACTATGTAACTGCCTTCTCAAATAAAGTTTTTACTACAATGCTGTAATTTATACTTTAGAAATTTAGTTTGGTCCCTTGCAAAACATTTGCAATGAACAGTAATTTACCTTAGAATGGAAAAATCACGAGAGAAGTACTTACTAACTCAAAAATACAACCTCAGATCAAAAGCATCCGCAAAGCTAGACTGAGTCTAGAGGCCAACAAGAAGCTTACTAGTAAAGCAGTGTGGTAAACAATGCCCAAGGTAAAAGTTGCTCATCTGCATGGGTCCTGTGGGGCAACAAGCTGCGTGGTGCAGGAATCAGCATGTGACAGATACAGAGCACACTGGCACTCTGTAACGAAGAGCTGGAGGGGTGCTGGTCATGGAGTTACTAGGCTCATGGCTCAAACACAAATAAGATGCCCTGTGTCACTCATATGATGCCTAAAGTTTAAATGCACATGAATGGGTGCCTGTCTGGAGATGCCAGCTGTCACAGGTCACAGCCCAAGATCAGCTGATTTCTTGACTTTTATGGGACCACAGGAGATGAAAGGTGGAGAAATTTCACTCAGCTCGATTCTCCCACCCAGGATGACTGACAAATATAAAACAGATGCTATTTAAGCATTGTCTTTCCATTCCCTTTTGATATTCCCGATTTCCCCTTTCAATCCTTCTCTCTCAGCAGCCCAGGATACCTGACTTTTCTGTGTATTTCAAAGGTTTGAGGACTTGCTTTGAAGTTACTAGGAAAGATACAAATATGGAAGCTTCCAAAAACATCATCTACACTGGAAACAACCTCTGGCTGAATCTATATACATCCTCTCTTCATTTGAATGGGAGTGATTAGTTTAAGGGCTTCATAATGATATCCCATTGAATAAATCTTCTATTCATTTCAACAAGGCAAGACGAGGGAGGTCAAATTTAGCTGTGGCAGCCAAAAAGATCGACCTCTCTCATAAAAACTGGAACTCCAAACAGGAGCAGAAGGCTAGCCTGCTCATCTTCCACCACAGTTTGCAGCCAGCCACATTAATTTAAATTTAAACCAATGGCAGCTTATTTTAACAGAACAAGTTGTGTACGTCATCCGTGAGGAGTGATTCCTTTGCCTGTGTTTTCAACTTTTCCTTTTTTCAGCTTTTACAGCTTGTTTTTGCCTGCTCCTTTAAGCTCTCCTATCTCTTTTCAGTTTTCCATGTGAAAAGTTCAAACACATTTAATATCGTTTGATCTGCAGACATGTGGGAGAAGAGGATACACAGAGGCCCGCCAGGGCAATCATTTTTGACACCCTACAAGGAGAATATAATTAGTTATAAGGCAGTAAGATTTTGTGGGATGTAACGGCAACTGCAGACAACTTCAAGAAAACTGTGAGGACTTGTAAATCTATTAGCGCTGTGTATGTTTAAGAGTTTGCTCCATTAAGAGAAGAAAATACCTTTTCAAAAACCAACATAAATTCCAATTCCATGAAATCTAATAGACAGCACAGAGAATAATGTTGATTTTAATAGCTAACAAAGGTTGCTACATTTTTTTAAGCCTATTAGCCCCAAATTGCATTACAAATACGTATTTAATTAAGGTCTAGCTGCAATGCTGGCTCCATTCTGCAGTATAATAATATATACTTAAATGTAAACCCAGAGACAATCTTTACGGATTTCAGACAGCTTTGTAGTGGACTAAATAACAAATATTTTTTAAAAATCAAAGTAATTCTTTGCCAGGGGCAATGTACAACTTGCCAGGTATAAGAGGACAATTCAGAAAGAGAGAGCAGTTAACCTTAAGGAAGAGATTTACACTGTGAAGCTGCCGACAAGTTGTACATGTCAGCAAGTCTTGATGGATTTGCTTGTAAGAGGAACAAACAAGCTGGTCAGCTGCTTCTGCAGATGTGTGCCGGAGGCTGGCCAAGCCTCTTTCGATCCATAACTCTTTCTGGAAGCAGCTCACTAATTTGCTTAGTATTAACATGACTATACGATTAACTTCTGGTAAGAACGAAGCCTCTCTGAAAGATAAATATCAATACTGGCAAAATTACAACATAAATCTACATGAAAGACTAAACATCATTGAAACAGTAGAAAAACAGTGAAACAAAGAAAAAGTGAAAGAGGGAAAAAAAGGAAAAAGAACTTGCCTATTATGTCACCAGCCACAGCATCACTTGGATTTGGAGAAGTAAAAGGAATACCTTTAGAACAAAAGAAGAATCAAAGTATACTTGAAACAGACAATAGATTTTATTTCTCTAAAGATCAGTTGTATGCTGTCGACACAAAAAGAATTATAATCATCTGACTGTAGTAACCAACTTCAGTTTAGTTTTAGTTAGGAACAGCAAAATAAACTTTTTACTTTTGATTTCCAACTGAAATTCAAACATCCCTTCTCAAAGAACATTATGAAGGGCCAAACATTCCTGGGAAATGCTGCCAGTTTGCTTCCCTGCTGCCTACTGCTTGGTGCAGAGAGCCTTCTCGTGCTACACAGCATTATCTTGGGAGCTCTGCATTTATTTCTTGGCTCCTGCTTCCAGTTCAAGGTTCTTCTCCTGCTATTTGGCCCTATCATTTGCTACCTCAAGTGCTAGAATTCAGGATGCGTAGCTTACATTTTGGGAGTATTTCTGAGAATCCCTCTGCATTAGGAATGGGAAAGACATCCAAAAAAACCTTCCCTTATTTAAGGCAGGACTGTGATCCTGACCCAAATTTGATGTGCCACAAACTCCAGAGGCATTTGATCAAGGTCTATCTGCGCAGAACATACTTTAAAACATTGGGTTATGAGCAAAAGGTGAAGTGAGCTGTGATAATCTAGAATGCATTGCACAGAATGTTATTTATTCTATTGCAGACATTGAATTAGGAACAATATTTGTTTGTTTACACTGCTTTTTCCCATGTTTTCTATTGCTTTCCCTCTTCATTCTTTTGGTTTTATAATGGTATCACTTTTCTAATGGTGCAAAAGCGAGGTAAAATTGAAACATCACAGTGGTAAATCAGACTGTAAATACTGCCTCAAACGATATGTCTTTACTGACTATCAGAAACACAGTTCTCCTGAGGGCACAAAACACTCCCAGTGATGCGTTTTTAGAATCCAATCATGTAATCACAAGCTGCTGTATAACAAGTAAATCTGGTATTATAGTTTCTTCCCAGTTATTGCATAGTTAATTTGTTCCTGAGAAAGCATTAGATTTTCTGCATTTCCAATACTTCATTTTTATATCCTTATCAAAATCCTTATTAAATTAACAGTCTAACCTTTAAATAATCTATAGCATTAGATACTCTGGTTCCAATACCATTTTGAATAAACAAAAGCAGTCAGCATTTCTCGGTCACATCACTTTCGTAACGTGTTTGGCTTTTTTTTGGATTTACAAACATCTTTCTTTCAACCATTTTATTGACAAATCCAAAACAAATCCTGTAACCCCTCCTTCAACCATCTATCAGCAACCACCATCAGTCCAGCAAAAATAGAGAGCATGTCTGAGAGTCTAATGCTGTCCCAGGAGAATCTTTCCAATGTTGCACACACAGTATTTCACAGTTAGAAACCTCTAAAAGTCCACACACTTGATTTATGGGGCATTAATCCTAAAAAGACTCAAAGAGAACACATAACCATTTTCTCCCCTCTCTCTGCTACAATCATATTTCGCTTCCCCGTCCAAATGAGTTATACCTTAAGACACTGAGACATATTTAAACAACATGTCCAGGCTGTTAGGACTGGAATTTATGATGTATTGAGAGACACATTCTAACTATAACCATAAAAAGACTATGCTCAGTATTATGACAACTGATTTACCAAAATGTTTAAACAACAGAATTCAAAATTATAGTCAAGTGTTGTGAAAATGGCTAATTCCTTAGTGCATGTTAAAAATACTTGAAAAGAGACATTTTTATTTGTATACTTACGGATACAAAACGGAAAACCATAGAATCCATCCGCACATTGCTCACAGCTCTCTCCCTGGAAATTCTGCTTACAGTAACAGCGGCCAGACCCTTCCTCACAGCCCTCTGCATGCTCCAAGTTACAGCTGCAGGCTATGTAAGTATCAACAATTAGACAATTTATAGAAAAGAATTAATTTGTCTTCTGTAGCAGTGCACAGTGGCATTATAATAGTGTTTAATTTGCAGTTGCAAATGTCTCATTATTTAAAGAATTAATATTTGCATCTACTTCACATTTTCCGAGTACCCTACAACAACAATTAATCTTTTTTTTTGGTGATATTCCTTAGGGATACCTTTGGGGTAAAACTGTGGGTATTTTCCCACAGTGCTTATTTTTCATTATTCAGAAAGTTGCACTTAATTACTCCACAGCAGTGCAGCAATTGCTCTTTCTGTGGCTTCTTCTCACCTTTCTCCATGGTGTGGGCTAAGCTTCTGTCCACCCTCCTTACATACAAAATCCAACGTCACATCAGCTTTCCCTCTCTGTTGCCTTCTCATTCACCTCAACATACAGACAACCTGCAACCTTCTCCTTCTTGTCAAAAACTTCTTCATCGTGTTTAGAATTTAACCTTTATCTCGTACCCATGGTCAGTTCTTCTTTTTTAAATGTTGCATTAACAATATCCTAATGCATTATTTATTACAGACACCAGCTTCAGCACTGCATAAAGTAGGAGTAGACTTCATGACCTTTTGAGTTACTGAATAAAATTTTCAAGGGACCAAGACTCAACATATATCAAAGAGCTAAGAGGAACAGGGTCATGGGGTGGAAGATGAGTGGCTTCTGACCAGTTCACTGTGGGGTGTGCAGCTGGACCCAACATCAATGATCTTATTCCCCCAGCATCCTTTTCTGGCTGACTTCTTCCTACTGCCCCGTCGTTTCTCTAAAGCTTATGGCTCATGTGATACAAATGTTGGACAGAGTATGATCAAAAACATCTAAACACAAAAATTCATTTGCAGCTCCTCTCACACATCTATTGGGCACGTTTAAACATTTCCTCCCTGAAAGGCATGTCCCACACTCTGATTACAGAAAAAAAGAAGACCAAAAAAAAAACCAAAAACAAAAACACCCTTCCCACTATGAGAAGATACTGTCTAGAGAAGGACTTACGTATACAGCCATCGGGAGCACTCACTGAAACACCATATGGACGATAGTAACCTTCTGCACATTTCTCACAGTTAATACCAGCTGTGTTATGCTGTGCAAAATAACAGAAAGAGCATAAAACAAAAGGTGAAAAAAGGAACTAAAATGGAGAATTAAGAAACAATAACATCCTTTTTGTTATTTTTATATTATCACTAAGCAAGGTTCAGACTGGCTGAACAAAGTTATGCATAGAGATGTCAACTGGAAGACAGAAAACATTTCTTCTGCTCATGTTAGCAAAGATACTTCTACTTTCTACTGACAGCCATTTGGACAATGTCAGATTACATTATGGCAATAAATGGGATGCCCAGATGGCCCAACTGTGCCCAAAACAAAGTTAACTCCAAGGTTAGATCAAGTTGCTCAGAGCCCAGTCTCATCTTTCCTGACAGCAGTTAGTCAGAATGGCATAAAAGTTACTTGATGAGAGACATAATATTCAGCAATGCAATTCAGCATAATATTCAACACATACAGTGTTATATCCCTGTTGACTGAACATGTTGACTGAATCAGGTGTAGTCTCTAAAATGGTTAGGGGGCTGGAGCAAATAACATTTAAAGAGAAACTGAGGGAGTGGCTTTGGTTAGCTTGGAGAAGTGAAGTTTATGGAAGGGTAAGGTGCCTAATTGTAAGCTGGAGTACAGAGACCAGAGGGCCTGAGTTTTCTAAGGTATGCACAGTAAAGGCATAAACGTTAACTCCCACAAGTTGCAACTGGGGAAATTCCTATTAAACAGTAGCAAATATCTCTTGATTTTGAGAGAGAATTTGAGAAACTTTATTTCTGCTTTGTTAAGCAAGGAAATGACAAAGTCCATAAAAACAGAAAAAAGTATTTTTTTTCTGTTATTTATTTGTTAAATGGTATGGCTTTATTAGAATCATGTACTAAAAGTACTAAAGTAAATAAACACATTTACTTCTAGTGCAGGCACAGTGAGATTCCAGTAACCATTTCTCCACGTGCCATTAAGTTATAGTGGCCAAAACCACCTTTTTACCTGACAATTAATGCAGACTCCTCCACCTTCATAGCGCCCCTGGATGTTTAAGCTTTCTTGACGCTGATCAACATCAGCATCATAGTAGCAATCAGTGGCATGTCCATGGCAATTGCAGGCTGAAAAAAATAGTATCTCAAGTCTGCTTCCATCATACTAGTGCAATTCAGTAACATAGCAGAAGTGAAAGAGAAGCTTTGATTATTTATACACATACATGCACTCATGTGTGTTCAAGTATGTTCAAATACACATATCTGCCTATCAGCAAATGGTCTCTCATACCTGGATCAGCATAAAATCATTTAAATATAAGAAAACCATATGTTGCTAGACTTGTCAGACGAAGCAACAGTTTTACCATCTCAATACTATATATTTATAGGTAATGCAGAATTAGGAAACTCCGAAAGAATGGACTCAACCAGGTTTTTAAAACTATCAAAAACATGTTCAAATGCTTATTCTATTTTTTCATGTTCAAAATTATCTCTAAGCTGAATCTGTATGCATATATTTTGTATTTAAAATAAGCAATTATAGATAAGCTACAAACATTTGAATAAAAAGACCTATACCAGAAACCACACATACTCAGCCATAAGTACAAGGATACCAATAAACCTAACTATATCTTTACCCATCTGCTCTTTTTTTCAATGGAGAGATTTTAAGAAAGAGTTCACTCTACTGCCTGAGAATTATAGATTCAGAAAGAAACTGGTTTTTATAAAGAATACGAACAAAAACAAAAATAAGAATAATAAATGACTCTGGAAAGGAATAGAGTTAAGCAACAGGGATTTTCCTAGTTTATGGCTGTTTACAGTTTCAGCTGTAATAAATTTTAATTTGTGTGGTTTTTGGTTAGCACGTTTCCATTGTTTACTTTTCTCCTCTATTAAACCAAATAAAAGTAACAACATTAAGCTCACAGATGCCCTGACCTAGGAGGTTCACCTACTGAAAACATCTGAAGTGCATCTATTGACTGGCCTTGTATGCATATCAGCTGAGTTCACCCTTAAGGCAGGAGATCTAAAGCCAGAAATGCTGTTGCTGTTCTACCCTTGGCAGGGTCATAGTAATATAAACCCCAGGACCCACGAAGTGTGTGTCCTTGTTTGCAGAAAGAATTAATCTGAAAAATAGCTCTGCATTTGGAATAGTTCCTGCAAATACAGTCTGAGTAAAGGGATGGACTGACCCAGAGAAGCATTTATCTGATTTCTTGGAGGCCTGTATTTAGTGTATCTCCTAACCTACTCATCAAGCAGCGTATTAGCTAAAACTAATCTCTGATCTTCACTCCCTTCAGCAAAGCAAAGCTCTGCCAGTATTCACTGAAATCTTCTAGATCTAAAATGTAATTCTGAATACAGACTAACTATACCAGTATGCAGGCAGAGTAAGTAAAAGGCAGGCCAGCAGTTTTGCTATAGCTTTTATCTCCTTTTTTTTAGATCTGATATCCTTTCCTTGCAGGAGACCACAGGGACATTTCTAAGAGAATGAAGAAAGCAAAGAAAGGCTTCCACAACTATCTGAATACTAGATGTGCTTTTAATTACAAATGTTCCAGTAATCCAGGAAAACCTTGCTAGAAAATTTCTGAAGTTGTGCTTCATGCTTGAGGAAGATGCTCCCTGCATCTGCACCAGGGGATATTCTGGAAGGTACCCAGTTCCTGAGCAACTCAGAACAAAACAGCCCTGGCCCTATTTTTTACCATGATGAGGGCAGCATATTGGAAGCTACCCTTCCAAATTCTACACAAATATCTGGCTCAGCTGGGAGCATAACCTGGGCAAAACTAATCTCCATGCCTTGCTACGTTACCATATAGACAAAAGAAGGGGACACTGGATCATTCTCTGTATCTCCTCTAGGCATTTACATCAGAACAGCCCTGAACAAGGAAGCCTCTTTCTAGGAACTGTCAACAACCTGGATGAGGAAATTTATGGGCTATCATCACATCCCTTGATCTGCTGAGAGGACTCAAATAGGTCAAGATTGGGTAACCTGGCTCAGTTGTGGTAGCCTATCTGGATCTTTTTGTTTGTTTTCTTCGTTCATGTAATTCTTTAAGAATATAAAACATTACACAAAAAAATGCTAATTCAAGACACTGATAGAAAAGGCACAAAGAAAACAACAGCAATAAAAAAAATTGGAAGGAGGGGTAGAATAGAACGAAAATGGAAAGAATCTGTTTGTCATCAGCCCAGCTGATGGACAAAATGAGGGTCTGTGCACAGGAGTGAACATTTTTCTTTCTCTGCACCATCTAAATAAAAGCTTCTTGTCTCTGTGGCCAAATTCTCTGAGAGATACAGCTCATAAGAATGTCTTTTAATAGTGTCAGGAAATTATTTGCTTTGATCAAAAGAATGGGAATGGCTTTTTTTTTTAAAGGTGAATAAAAACCCCTTCTGTCTCATAAAGCACTTTCTTAGAACTTTGACTCATTTGCTGACCCATATAATACTAAGAATTCATAGCAAAAATTTGGGCACATCCCTGTTATCTCCCACCTATCTCTTTCGATCATTGTTTCTCAAGGAATCATAGGCTTCTAGGAAGCTAAATAAGGTTCCTCACCACCTTCCTTTACCACCACCTTCCAGGGACAGAGGTCTCTCCTTGGCAAATACTCCCCAGGACTCCTAAAACTGATAGGAGAAAACTATACTAAAAAGGGTATTTTTCTGGAGGTAGTTAGAAACTAAGATCCTTTGGATTAGAATTTTATAGATTGCTTATAAACTGATTTTTTTAAAGCGTAACTTTTTTATGTTCCTTGTCTTTCTCTTCCTGGCAGAAAACAGTTTCCTTCAAAGAAAGGAGTTCATATGGGGTTTCAAATATTTTTCAGAAATAAAGTCCCAACATGCCTACCTCCTATCAAATGTTTTAATCATCTGGAGTTTATTCCACCCCTCAGTCTTGAAACTGTAATTTTTGATTAAAATATTACCGCAAGGTTTATTCCTCAAAACAATTATACAGGTACATCTATTTGACTTTCAAATAAGATTTCCCCATTAGGAGTTTGAACCCAGTGGCTATGCTACTATGCTAGGAAAAGTAGAATAGGAAAACAAACTAGGGCAGACTCAAGGAAAGCAGCAGACTGCCAACATGTTTGCTCAGAATAAGAGATGCACAAAGGTAGAAAACACCATCTGCCCCACAGTCTCTGTTTTCTGGATAAAAAAAAAAAAAAAACACCTGTGTGCAGCAGCATGTACCCTCTTATCTAGAGAGGCCTGTATTCTCAATTTAACCCTATGCTACTGTTTTTTCAATAAAAGAAGGAAGATGCAAGAATGGCCTGTCAGCCATATTCAGTCCATGGGCTAGCTAAGCTATAAGCACAGAAAGGTGAGCACGTGTGAACTTTCTCGGACGCCTCATCAGAAACTCAGAAACGCTTTTGTGTACATTTACATCAGGTCAGTGAGGGGCAACTGTCAGCATGAGAACAGAGTGAAGCTCAAACACCTTTGGGTAGAGTCAGCCCTAAACAATCTGCTACTACAGTGCTCCAAATGCAGAAGGGAACCTGCTTGAGAGCGCAAGGCAAATAAGGCAGAAGAGCCTTCTTCAGCTAAGAGGAAGCTGCCAGTGCAGCACTCTACTGCTGTAAGGCTTTTTAGACCCCGTGTCTGAGTAATTAGATCGTAAATTCAGGAATCTCTTGGAGAGATGACATGTTACATCAGCCTCTTACACAGGTAAGTACGCTTAACTCCCAAAACACAGGCTGCCTTCTAAAATACCTTCCTTACGAGACAAAAAAAAAAAAAAAGAAAAGAAAACCTACACATGCTCCCCTTCTATTGACAATACATAAAATCTGTCAGTCAAATGCAGAATCCTCCTTTGGCATGAGTTAGCAGCCGTATTTACATAATTGATCTAGTTATTTATACAGTCTGTCTCTCTAGATCCTGAATAAGAAGATGTTGGGTGATAGAGGGACAAGCTTTGAAGCTGTACAAGCAACTACAACCTTTGCTCTGCTGAGGAGATGCACAGTCTGCTAAGAGACACATCTGTGACTGGGGGAGACACTGACTCAGCGTGTCACTAAAAGCCTTCCACCTTTTTTATGTAGCATTTCTACTATCATTGTTTAATGAGAACAAAAATGAAACATAAATAATACTCACTGCATCACTTAATCCTTATTGCTGTATGGAAATAAGTTTTTAGTAAAAAAAAAGAAACATGTTAAAATCTGCAGTGTGTTAGTTATGCTCCATGAATGTGTGGCCTATGGTAAATCCCACTCACTTGTCAAAGTTGCATCTCTTAGGCTACTCACGTTCACATATATTTGTGTTCCCAGCTGTTGCAGGTTGCCACTGTTTCTGATTATATCCAGGACAGCAGTGATTGCAGGTTTCCCCACAAGTATTATGCTGACATTCACACTGAAATCTAGAGAAAGGAAGACCTCTTATTTGATTGAAGTTAGATTTAACACCCCTTTCTCCCAGCAGTTTTACTGCAATCTAAGATCTACATGTAAAATGAAAAGGACATAAACTTGCATGTAAAGAGGCCAAACAGTAAATCTAAAACATTTCAGAACTTTTCTAAAATTCTTCAAGATCGACTACTTTAATTACATGATTTTGAAATTATTAACAAAAATGACTTGTAGAGAATATTTATAATTGGATGTAATAGCCCAGATTATAAAACTTTCTCCCAGGATATTGAATCAAGGCGACGCACAACAATTTAAGATGTAATCTATTTTAGCATCATGCCAAGGTCACACTTGTTGTCCTACTTTAAATCAGAACATTTATTCCCTTTATTTGCATGCCCTCATCACTTTTCCACTATGCTTTCTATTAGTGTCTTTAGTAAGCCAAGTTTGTAACTTCGTCCACTTGTTTTTAAAGCAGTGTACGCTACTGATCAAGAAACTGTAGTTCAAATTTATTTTGACTTGGCTGAAAAGCCTCTATAAGGGCAGGGTCTCATTACAGGCTAGGTTTTACTACCATCCATTGTACCTGAATACCAGAATTAACAAAGAGACTTTGCGACTGGAAAGATCTCTTCCAGGGATGCTCTGTTGTCTGTGTAGCCTCATATCCAAGGACAAAACAGTTGTCCATACAGCCATTCTGTTGTGGTAGATTTTATGTCTTTTTCACTTATTTTTCTCTAGAATAGACATCTGAAAAGGGTAAAAGAACCCAGCCACTCACTCTTCCTTAAAAAAAAGACTGAAAATATTGTATCATCCTGGTAAGTTTCATGATGTGTAAGAGTAACAGCTGTTTTAAATTAGGCTCTTAAAGTATGTTTTAGGTAGGGTGATTATTCACTGTCACTTTCCTATAGCAGAGATCCACAGAGCGGATCTAACTCCCTGCGAAATCTATATGGAGGGCATAAACTTTGCAGGAAAAAAAACTTTCCTATATATTTCAGTTAAGTGTATAACCAGTTGTCAACCTATTTTAACTCAAGATCATTCACAGAAAGCGATATTTGTAACTGAAGTTAGAATGACATAATATATTCATTCTATGAAATGAATATACCGCTACTGCCAAATCATATTGCCAAAAAAATTACATTTTTCACATCTGATGTTTGCTAAATGCTCATGTATGTGACAAGAATGAAAGCACTTCTCACACAAAGACATGAAAAGATAATTGTAAAAATATGTCATATTTATTACACTTATAGAATATCTGCTTTTGCAATTATTGTTCTAACCAAATGCTGGTTAGAGCCAGATGTCCATAGGTCCTAAATAAACAGTGTTCCCAAGTTCTGCTCACAAAATATGTTCAGGCAGAAAAATACAGGCTGTCTGAGTTCTGTTAAATTCATGGCTGTCCTCCTCATGTAAATACTAAGGATATTGTACCAAAGGCCATGCTTTTCTCTTTGAAGTATTTTAATAGTCGGTTCAGCTTTAAGGTAGCATCACCTTGTTGCCAGAGAGGAGAACAGGATATTGTTCCTTCAGTTTCTGTTTTTACATTTTCTAGTAATAATCGATAGCTGTTGGATCTTGGCTGAGCTTGTTTATAACTCTCTACATCTGCAGGAAATTCACTAGCTTTGTTCTTGAGATGGCCTTCTAATTTCCGCTGTTTAGATGTGATACCAATCCAAGTTTTCCAGAAAGAAGCAAGGATTTTTAGCAAACAATTCAATCTACAAAATTCTTATTTCAGTTTTTTAAAAATCTCAAGTATAAGACTTTTTATTATTATATTTCACAAACAACAGCTCTTTACACTTCACAATTACAGCTCTTTACATATTTTCATATCAATCATTAATAGATTCTCATTTTTAAATATTACAAAAATCCCTGTAAGAGTGTCATACTTTAACAAATAAGGTCATTTGAAAGTATACCATTAAATTAATGTGATGCTCCATTTACTTACTGGTATTGGTTTTCAGCACTCCTTGCATCACATACTTCAGCATGACCATGGCAAACACATCGACCGCCAATACTGATGTCCTTTATACTGTAGTAATACTGTGAAGCAACAAGAGGCCCATATGGATCTTTACTTTGCTTGTATGATGACAGATGCCTCAACATCAGAGATATCTACCTTGTTAAATCGAGCTTAATTTTAAAGGCATGGCTTTAGAAAATGCCTTAGACAATCAGTGCCAACTCTCCACTGACGTCTGCATTTCAGTATTAATTCCATCAAATCAAAGCCAAGGCACATGGGGCACCTGATGAGAGCAGAGCACGTCCGCAGGCTTGTGCAGCTCCCGCTCTATCCTGCCTTCTGCCTGTTCCCAAGTAGCTACGCAGCTACTGGCACCTAAGCTCAAAGCCATTCCAGACCAACTTGAAGACATGAACCCACACAGACATAAAGTGGTCACACTTCAACAGACTGTAACAAACAGGACAAGCTGGTGGGGGCAGTGCCATTTTCCCATTCAGTGAGTCATGATCACTGGATATAGACTGAGATTACCAAATCAGACAAAATCTGTCATGACTCACAGTGGATCTAAATTTATGATCTGAAGTTGAAATACTCTGTATCTCATCCTCATGGCTTGCAGGTATCTGGGCAATAGGACATAAAAATGTAATCACTTGGACTCAATGTCAACATCACCAGCATAAACATTTCAATAGTAACTTCTGCATCTTTTTTGGTAGCTCTGAAGTTGTTTCCCTAGCGCATCAGTTTAGAGACCCAAGAAAGGAGACACCTAGAGCACTGCTAAGTCCTGATCAGTGTGTACCTCCAGCAATAAAGGGGTAGATTTATTTTTAATGCCACTGGAGGATGAGGAGAACAAAGATAAAATTTTGCAGTTACCTCTCCAACTATGCTCACTCTGTTCACATTATAGGCCTCTAGGTGGTCTATACACCTACTCTCTGGATATAGCAGGAGTTGGCAGGCACAAAAGAGAAGCTTCTCCAAGACTGAGAGATTTTGCTCCTAGCTCTCTTTGGCTGCTGTAAAGAACTTTGCCAGAGGCATCCAAAGACTGGTAGGTTGGACATATGGACTAGGAAATACAGTCTGTATTTTGAATTATCTCTATGTAAATATACATGTTAATTTCTAATTTTGCTTATTGCTTCCAAACTCTTAACAAAACCTACATTTACAGTGTTTTCAGCATAGCAAGAAATGATCACTGTGCCTCTCTGCAGCATATTTGACAGTGTTTGCTCTAGGCTAAGGGTCCTCACAATGCAGCCTCTATTCTGTTAAAGCTCTGTACAACTATGCTGCACTACTAATAGCTGTTGTACTGTTACAGGTCAGTAGAAAGTCAAATTAGCAAAAGACCAAAACTAGTTAATAGGCCAAATTTCCACAGTTTAGACATAAAACATAGCCTAGATAATTCAGAGTGTCATAAACTCAAAACATTAACGGGAAGCCAGGCAGTTTCTTGGACAGGAGAAGAGACAGGTCTGGTTTTCAGTTGTTTCTATAAGTTAAATGCACAGACTCTCCTTCAGAATATTAACCTTTTTTCCTAGACTCTGAAGGTCTCTCTAATGAATACTTGTGGTCTTTCTTCAAACAATTTAATAAAACAGTGGATCTTTTATTTATCTATGCTACAACCCATGGCCACAATAACATAAAAAGTTCCCTACACTTAAGCTTGCCAGGTAACCTAAATACTCAATTACGTCTGCCTGTAAGCAACTACTTAAAATGCACTTAAGACAACAAAGGTAATTAATGCTGTCAAATAACTGGCATAGTTTCACAATTTCTTATAAAGAAGCCACATATATTTGCGCAGTGCCTCAGCCCAGCATTTCCTCCAATTGTTACTGAACCTTAATTTTAAATATAACAATAAAGTATGAAATCTGCAATCAGTTTAAGTATATTTAATTCTGTGCAGTGTTCCCTTGAGGGGTCTGAATTTCCTTGTATTTTCCTTATAAATTTCATATATATTTCCCACTGAATGGAAGTGAGATTTTGTCTTTTGTCTTTGTCTTGGAGATTTGCCCCAAATCTCCAAGAAAATTCCATGCATCTCCAACGATGTGTGGTCAGACAGCACCTTTCCAGCATATGCTTTCATTCACTGTTCCTTCAGAAACTCAAGTACAATTTCTGAAAATCTTTCTTTTAGTAGATAGAGCAGTGTAAAATAAAGCTGGCAAAATCTAAACTATCTTATACAGAACTAAGGAGCAAGATAACCTCCACTTTGGCTCCTTATAGTTTCCATGATGCTCCCAACTCCTTTCACTATCTGCAAAAGGTTTGTTAGATAGGGAAAAGAGCATCTGTTACAAAATCATTACTTGCTCTTCAAACTTTGTGCTGTTCCAATTACCTTTTCATCACAAGCAGGACAAGCAGGAGAAAATATGGGGATTTTGATTGTTACAATGTTTGCAACCTAAAGAAGTTCGGTTTATTTTATGCTCTCTGAGAGGCTGAATAAAATTGTGGAATCTCTCCCTGTGAAAAGAGTACTTACCCTGCGGGTTACAGTGGGGTCTCGTTGAGCTTTTGATATCAAGTGTCCAAGGAGTGTGTTGGTTCTGAGAAAATGAAGGCGGATGTTTGTCGCTTTTGTGAATTCTCTAAGAGTAGGGGAGAAAGTGAAGTTTTTTGCTCCTGGACGGCCATTTATCAAGGATACTACAATCTATCAAAACAGTAAACACGTATTTGTTAAAACATATCAGCTGCAGGTATCAGCAGTAGGCACAGAGCCAAAAGTCTGACTACTAAAAGAATCAAAAAATTGGGTGTTCCTCCTCAGCATATCTACAGTAACAACTACACTTTTCGTACTAAAATCAGGACATCAGTAAAAATAGTCACTAGTCTTGAACCCTGTTGAATTCTCATTACCTGTATCATGCATTCAAAACTGAGTGCCTCTCTCTGTCTTGAAAAGAGTGGGTAGGATGCACAAAAAAAATCCATACAATAATAATAGTCACAAACAGCAACACTAAAAGTTGATCGTGTCAATGGGAATTTTGCTTGAGTAAAAACAAGAGATTTTGGCTCCTTCCCAAAGCACAGTTATTTTTGGGTTAAGGCACAAACATTCCTGGAAAATATTATTGTTAACCAGGTCCAATGCCTGGGAGTGCATTAATGGTCTTCTGGAAGAAAGTACACAGTGTTACTTTAGAAAATCCCTTTCACATGAAAACAGGCTTATATGACATTCAAAACAAGTGCTCCAGTATATTTTATTTTTCAAAGACATTGATGTCTGCAGTCTAACAATCATGAATCTGTTAAATTGACAATCCAGTATGCATGTACACAAGTGAGCAAGGGACTTCCACCTATTTAGAACTGATGAAATAACAGATTTCCACATCCAAATTGCTCCTATAAACTGTAAACAGGTAACAGAGGACTGGTGACACCTAATTAAAGTACCTTTCTTTAAGAAAAGGGATACAGCATCTAATAGGGGATGAGGTAATGGCCACAAACTAGAGGTAATGGCCACAAATTGAAGCATCAAAAGTTCCACAGGAACTTAAGGAAAAAATTCTTGACAGTGAGGGTGACAGAGCCCTGGCACAGGCTGCCCAGAGAGGTTGTGGAGTCTCCTTCTCTGGAGATCTTCAAAATCTGCCTGGATGCAGTCCTGTGCCACGTGCTCTAGGTGATCCTGCGTATGCAGGAGGGTTGGACTAGATGATCTCTAGAGCTCCCTTCCAACTTTAATTTTAAAGTAGAAATTGTCTACCAACATTTCTGTAAAATTGTCCTAATAATATGTTTTTAATAATAAAATCTGTAAAAAATCTTTGCTGGTGTCATAGAATCATAGAATTCTTAAAGTTGGAAGGGAATTTCTACTTTAATTTTAAATCACAACTTTAGAAACCTCAAAACTCTGAGGAACTCTGAAGGAGATCAGGTCTGTATTCTAGTTTAATCAGAAGTAAAAAGAGAATGACACCAAGAGAGACAAGTATGATCACTAGTTTAATATTTGTTCAAATAACATAAAACAAGTTTCTGCCTAGGAAGGAACAACTGCTAACATCAGAGAAGCACTTTTCCAAACATGTGTGCTACATTATAAACAAGTATCATTTTTAATGTATTTTCTTACAGTTATTTTGTCTTGAATGCTAGATATCTGTTTCTATACTCTTTATGCCTATGAGGAATTCTTATGCAATAAGTTATATTATGTGTATTGGAACCGTTCAGAAAATGTGGCCAAATGCAGAAATGTGGTCAAATAGGTTCAAATGCACATGTCTAAAGTCAGATGTATAAATAATAACAAAAATCTACACAGGTGGCTCTGAGAAGTCCTCACCCTCACAGGAAATGGCGTAAGTTGGGAGGAGTCATCAAAAATCCTACCACATACTTAAGTGCCTCACTATTGATTAATTAAAGTAGTTTCAGTCAATCACAACTGAAAATTAACTTCATTTTTAGGTACTTATTGAAAGAGCAGAGTTCCAAAAGTAATGCTGTTTGTTTGCTTTCAACATCACACATTCGTTCTCGAAAAACACTTACCTCTCCGTTTTCGAGAGGCACAATGCGAGAATACTCTGTAGTGCAAAGGACATCACCGTCCCTCCTCACAGGAACATTAGCTTCCTTTCCAAAACGTTCCAAACAATCTGCTTTGGAGTCTAGTCAGGTAAGATTGAAACTATTTTTATATGTGAAAACATACGTTATTGTTCTAACTTAAATTACGAAAGATATCCTGCATGTGCTTTCAAGTAAATTCTCCCCCTTCGTAGATGATAGCAGTCATTGCTTCACTCAGTGCAGGAATACACAAATATTACTGCAGAAAAATGGAAAATACTAACAACAAACTTTTTTTTTCCTCATCCTGACAAGGCACTGCACCATCTTTACATTATTAGCCCTAAAAAGGCACTGCACCATCTTTCCATTATTAGCCCTAAAAGAAACTACATGTGTTCGAAGGTGCCGTGCTTATATCTCACTCTGATTTTTGTAAATAAGCTTAGGCTCCACTAGGATGCATAACATTGCAGCTCTGATATATTAAGAGAACAAAATAAAAACAAACAAAAAAGATGGAAAATTTTTGCAAAATATGTCAAAATACCATTTTCAGTTACGCTCTTGACATTAATTTATTGCGGATAAGCAAAACAGGTAGGAGAAATATACTTGACATCATTAGTTATCTTAGCTACACTTGAAATCTTCAGTGAGACCCGTGGGCTGATTTTCCTGTTACTATGCAAATAATTAAAGAACCTGTCTATAAAACGGAGTGAAACAAGAGTAGATACTCACGAGCAAAATACTGCCAGGGAGTGTAACTTCTTCCAAAATCCACTGATCTTTCTAAGATCCAGAGATCTGGGCGAGGAGAATTTGCAAACTTGATAAGGATGTAGGCAACATGGAAGAGCTGGTAACAAGATACATACAAATATTATCAAGAGCCTATTGAATTTTATAAAATGATAGTAAATAGTAAATAATAAGTAAATAATAGTAAATAATAGTAAAATTAATTTCAGTGAACGCCTTTTCTTTGCGGACATTAAGTATGTTAACTTCTACAGTTTCATTCCCACTGAATTAACAAGCCAGATTATCTGCTGGTAGCCTCGAGGCAACTGCATTAACCTATCTCACCCAGCAATATGCTTCAGTTCACCAAGAAAGCCACAACAGTTATGTTAAATGCCATTTTTACATTTCAGAATAGCTCCATCTTGCATTCAACAGTAACTGAGCCAACTGTTTCCTCACTACAGGAATGATTCTAGGTAACTGGCTACCTGAAAGACCTTCCAAGAAACAGGAGGAAGTCTCTGTAGAGCTCTGTTTTTATCAAACGAATCAGGAGGGTTTCTTACGACTGGTAGTTCATTTATTGGCTGAAACAGCTCAAAAAGCTCCATCAGATTCAAGGTTTCCAAGGCCCAGAGTTGTGTCCATCTTCTTTAATTGCTCATTCTATATCATTGTGATGGACCACAGCCACAGTAAGCTCCCAGGCATACAGAGCAAAAATAGATTTTCTAAGGAAAGAAATCTTACTGTGAACATCTGGGGATATGAAAACCTGGTCATCAGCTAACCCAGGGTCACAAAAATATGCACACTAAAATTACTTCTACACAAAAGGCTGGCAGAGTACAGCTATACTAATTGATTATAAGGGTCATTTAAAATTTAAACAATGATGATGCAGATAGGAGGTGTCAATAAAAGTGATTAGATACTAAGGGACTGTCAATATTGAAGTGAAGCTTCACTGGAATTTCTTACTCAAAAACATAGATTCATTTTATGTTTGTAAGAGATTCTTACTTTGGTGGAGGAGGCCTTACTGGGACTTACTAGTCAATGCTTTATGAAATAACTTGCTGTCAGATACCTCACATCAAATAGATCTGCAGTTTATCTTTGCTTAGGCATCACCAATGTCATGGAGGCTAATATCTTCCATAGACTCCAAATCACAAAGTTGTCCAAGTCTCCAACCACAGACTGGGTACAGCAGCCCATTCACCTGCCAATTGGGGCCAGCTCAACTGCTCTTGTAGCACCTGGGGCCACCAAGAGCCAGATGCAAACAGCAAGTAGAATGGGCATCTAGTAGTCTTCATCCCTAAGCACAGCTACGAGCCCAGCATGATTACGTGGCTACCTGCAGGTGACATCTTCATATATTCACCTTCTAAACCTTGATAAAATGGTCAAAAACACACATAAAAATAAGATAAAATCTTTTCACAGAGAAGTGGGAGGAATTCTGGGACATCATGGAGCACATTATCATGACAATCACATGCCAGCAGAGGAAGCAGCTTTTTCACTGCACTTTCATTTAATGTAGGGTGTGCATCTACTATCCACAACTGGATCTACACACACCAGGCACTACTGCAGCGGGTGTTGCACCCTGAAAGCCATTTCAGTAGCTGCTGATTGGCTGAATGCTGCTGAGCAAGGTCAGTGGAAGAGGCAACTGAAAAAAAAAAATAACTCTTATAATAAGTAATGGAATTACCCTGTCTACTTAACACAGCCTGACAACCACCAGACTTCCTCTTCTGTGATACCAAACTAGCTAGCTAAGTAGCCAGAAAGCACCTATATATTGGAAATGACTTACTAGATAACAGTATCAAGCCAAACAAACAACAGATACTCTGTTAATGGAAACGTTCCTTTCCTCAGCACTGCACCAGTGACAGCACAGACAGTGCACTGTCCTTAAAATACTGACCGCAAGTCCCTCAGCTGACTGCCAGAAGAGCCACACAGCTGAAGCCACATTTGCTATTTCTGATAGTCTTTGTCAAGTAACTTCCACTACTTTACTGGCCACTTTCAGAGAAGGGATACTGGCCATGTGGACCTTACATGCCATCCAGTGTGGCCGTTCAGTGTGAAGTCTGGTAACCTCACAAGATGGGTAACAGTTCTGAAATTCCTAAAACAATCTTTTTCCACATTCTTGCTTTTGGCTCAAAGAGCACTGTCCTGTCAAAACCAGCTTCCCACTGGACAGACAAGTACTCATCTAATAATGTCTTTGTTTCCTCTAAGCCTTAAGATCTTAGGGAGTTCCATCCTTAAATGCATACGGACAAAGATGAGTAACAATATATGTGCTGATCAAGCCAGATTTTATCCAGATATGTGTTTTAGAAAGCACAAGGGGGAACAGAAGAGTTGTATAGAAAAGGTAGACTATGTTTTTCACAACTCCATTACTGGTATTTATATTGTTGAATCAACAATATGCTCCCGCCTACTCACCAGAAAAAGCAGGTGACATTTGCTTCAGCCTGTCATATAGTTACTATATTTTTTTCTACTTATATGCTACTCGAAGCGCTGACACTGCTAGTTTGGCCTCGTACAGTAGCAGGTGACATCTTCTCATAAGCATGTGCAAAATAGTAACAGCGAATTACATTTCCACAGTGCTTCCGCACTGCTGAAGAAAGGAAATATGAGATGTGCTCAGTTACACATCAGTGTCACCCTGACTATAACCTTCTCATAAACAATTAAAGAAAATAGTGGCCAAAATGAAGGCAGCAAACATTTGTCTATGGAATTTTCAGGATGCAGTGCCCTTCAAACACCTGCATGCCACATCTGCTATTCAAACACAGAATTTGCTTAATCCTGGGACTACAAATCACAAAATAGAAAAGTAAAATTATGGCAATCTCAAACTACCACTGCATAAAGAAAGTTTCAATTCATGTTATCTCACCTGTCAAGATGCTGGCATAGCCTGAAACACTGCTCAGAAAACATTTGCACAATCACATTGGAAAAGGAGAAAGGGAATAGATCTGAAGATCTATTAAAAAGTGAATTAGTAATAGCTGATGTCAATCCTTCACTAAAACTCATGTCACCAACCTGCCTGGATTCTGACAGGTGCTAGTGAGACAATTCTGGCCTGGCCAAGGATGCTCAACAGCCCCTGAAAGTCCAAATGGCAACTATGCTTGAATGCAGTTCAAGCTGATGAACGGTCTCTACCTAGATTGAAAGAGGCAATAAAGGAAGAAGAATAATCCTTCATTTAGCAAATAAATTCCAGCTAAAGATAGAAGAGTAACCTTTCTGACAGACCTAGAACAGCAATTGATATTTCCGAAGTTTTTTTTTCTAATTTAATTTTAATTACCTATCTTAAGCTGACATTTCACTAATTTAAATCTTGATCCTATTACACTGACAGAAATAAGGCATATGGTGAGAAAAGACATAACAAATTCAAAGTACAGTGAGTTTATTCTCTTAATCCTTTAACAGTCAGTTATTAAGTTTCAAAAAAAGGAAATGCATTTCTTCGTATTTGAAAAATTATTTTATTTGGTTATTTTTTTAATTAAGTTTCCTTCACTACAGAAAAGCATGTGAGCCTTGAAAATGTAACGAGGCATTAAACAAGGCACACCTTTGAGGCAATTATCAATTAACTTGTTGTCTCTGTAAAAAAAAAGAAAAACAATCTGAAATATGATTTAATCAAATTTCTTACAGTTTTCTCATATGAATAAACAAAGTCAGAAATAAATTATGTTTCTATTTTTAAACTATCTGCTCGGGAAATGCATACTTGAAAGAGTAAATATAGGCATATAAATTTCCCAGTACCACATCCTGTTGTAATGTATCAGCACTGATCAAATTTGATTAATTGTCAGCAACTTCTGTATTTATGTAACTTTTCCTGTTCCTTCAAGTTCATTCAGACTGCAAATTTTCTTGCAGGCAGTAGCCTTGAAGGTTCATAAATATCCAAAATTTTAAAAAATCATCCAGTGAGCAAAATGTCTTCTTGACCTGAGAACTCAAATAATAATTAATTGTTGTGAATTACCAATATACAGATAGAAAATTTCCATAAAACTTTTTACAGATTAATTTAAGACTTTTAGAAGAACTCACTTAAAATGACTAGGAATCACTCTGTGTTATGATTGTTAATAAATGCTTTACCTAACAGAATTGTTAATAAACGCTTTACCTAACTCAGTAGAGAGAAGACTTCCTGCAAGACATTGTATCCTCATGAGTATTATGAAAAATATAATAAGGTCTTTTACAGATCTTATCTCCATTTACTCCTTAAAACTTCACACAACTCTTTAGCGGAATTTCTAAGAGCTCCTTGAACCCTGAAATATACCTGCAAATGGAAGAAAGTTAGATACGTATATTCAAAAGTATCTCATTTTTATCCTGTCCTACCACTATAAACTCAGACTACTAAAATAACGAAATGGTCATTCATTAAACACTGAACAGCTACACAACAAAAGTAGAGTATGTTCCAAACAATCATTAAGCGGCTCATGTAGGAAAGGTTTAACAACTGTTCTCTCTTTTTGGTTCATGAAATCATTTAGTCTGGTAGACCAACTATCTGCCAGACAATCTACAGGTTTCAAGATGTGTTTAAAGAATTGCAACAGTGATCCCTCTTCACATAAACCTGCTTCTAAACGCCAGACAACAGCTGTTTTCGACAGGATGGATATTTCCTATGCAGGACAACATCTCCTCAAGCTGTATTAATAGACAAAACTATACTAGCAAAACTTTCCTCAACACAATGTATTTGTTCTTGTAAGCTTCGTACTGACATCATCTTGAATGATACATTGTTGAACATCATCCAGAAGACAGTGAGGTCTCTATGCTGAAGAACGTCTGCCAAAGATGTCCTTCCTTAGCAGACATGTGACCTTACCATCCTTGCAGCATCTGAAGCTACTGAAGCATCTGCAGAGACTGAAGAGAATGAGAAAGGAGCAGAAGTCTGATGACCATTTGGTAATTAAACTACAATTCTTAGAGGATTTGTTCTTAGCTCACAAAAAAAAAAGAGCAATTAAAGTGTTTATGCACCTGCTCCAGAAC